AAACACAAAACAGTAAAAATACCTTTACGACCTTCTCAACCAAGTTATCCAACTTAGCAGCGTCAACATCATCTACATTGTCATCTCCATCATCACCTTCTCCCTTTCCCTCACAGCTGTCCATCTCCACCTTCTTAGCATTCTCAGAATCAACACTTTTTTGTGTCATCTCCATTGTCAGATTATCAAGATGATCATCAAGCCCCTTCGAATCTGATACTCCCTTAGCAGAGGTATCATCATCAGCAATGCCAGCAGGATCATTGTGACCAACATCTGGCGACGCACCATCCTTATCCATCTCCATTGACAAATCATCAAGACCCGGGGACTTTGGATCTGATACTCTCTTAGCACCAGTCTCATCATCAGCATTTGCAGCATCTGCATTGCGACCAACATCTGGCGGTGCACCATTCTTATCCATCTCCATTGATAAATCATCAAGACCCGGGGACTTTGGATCTGATACTCTCTTAACACCAGTCTCATCATCAGCATTGGCAGCATCTGCATTGCGACTGACATCATTGGTTCCCTTACCAACAGCAAGATCCTCAACAGTATCAGTGAAATCGACATTATCTTCAGGACTATCCTCTGGTTGCTGCCCCTCCAGCATCTTTATATGCTCATCAACTTGTTCAATGCTCGAACTGTAATGAGTAGCCATCCTCAACAAAGCCCTCTTATAACTTTCCATGTCACTCTTCAACTGATATGCCTACAAAAACACGAAAACAGCCTAAAAGCAAACCATAAACCTTCTAAAGAATCTCAAATTCCTTTTAATAAACACCTAAGACACACGTATACAAACCACATATGTTTGAATTCTCACAAAAAAACACCTACCAAATGTTGAGTACCATAAAGCATTCCTTTAACGAAGTAATGCAAACCACTATTCTTTTAACAGAAACCACAAGTACATTAAAGCAACCCAAAGAACAAACAACATAAAACACAACTAACCAACACATGAATTAAATAAAGTATTCCGTAAACAAACTAATGCAAACCACTATCCTTTTAAAGCACACTGAAAGTATGCTAAAGAAAGCCATAAAACAAATAAAACAGCAAAAAATACTCACATCTTCAACCGAATGAATACCATCCAAGTTGATGTCAAGATAGGGAAGCTTCGGAAGATCCCCTTCCCTCACCATATCAAGATCATCTACTGACCTTTTCCTCTTTGTACCCTTCACACGTCCTCGTCCCATTGGTTGACTGGTGGTTGCTTGTTCTTCCGCCACTACATCTCGATGACCAATAGAGAGATGACCTTCTTCCATCAGTACTTGAAAAGCAGCACTTGCGACTTTGTACGACCTGTGCCTACAGGTTGGTATGGGCAACTCAGGAGGGTTCTTCAAATGATCAAGAATCGAAATCTGCCACAGACAAACAGACAGAAGTCAAGCAACCACAAACAAACCGTGCCAGAAAGATTATAATACACACCACATAAAATGAACAGGGGGCAAAACCAAACCATAAATACTCTTAAACAAACCATAAACATCTTCAACCACACCACAATCGTCAATAAACAAACCATAAATGACAAACTGCAGAAACATTATAACAGGGGGGAACCCAAACCATAAATAGCTTTAAACAAACCACAAACATCTTTAACCACACCACATTCGTCAATAAACAAACCATAAATGATAAACTATACCAGAAACATTATAACAAAGGGGGGCAAAAAGCAAACCATAAATATTATTAAACAAACCATAAACAACTTCAACCACACCACATTCGTCAATAAACAAACCATAAATGAAACAGTAAACCAAACTTCGAAAAGAGGTATATTTTTCTACTTACAAAAAGAAGATGAACGTCACTAGGGAACTTTGATTTTGATTGAACCACTTCAACCATACTTTCATTGAAATGGTCAGCCACATGCTTACACCAATTATATTGGTTGAAGTCATCGACCATTTCATCTTGCAAAAACCCAGCATAGGAGAGGTCAATCTTCAAATTTCCACTGGGGCACAGAACTGCCTCCATTGCATACAGCACAAAAAGATCCCTCCACTTCTTATTGTCCCTCTCCTCTTCCAATGCCAGTTTAACATTCGCCAATGTCGCCTTTCCTTTCCTAGTATTGCAAAGCCCTAACTCAATTCCCCACTTGTGCCTTTGGGATGCACTAAACATATCCAGCTTAACAGCATACGGTCCACGCGGCAAACCATAAACTCTCTCCACATCTGCCTCTCCAATTCTAAACTTCCCTGACCGAAGCAGCGGGAAAGACCTTGAACTGACATCAAAACTTTTGCAAATCCATTCAGTAAAATTATCCGGGAGTCTCGTAAGCTTAACCCTCGACACACCCCTAAAACCCAGAGGATCAAGCATCTGTAGTTTTTCTTCAGTTGTACTGTCAGCTTCCATGATGGCAAGAATACGATTAGTATTACTGCGATGCCTCTTATCCGGCTTTCCAGCCACAGGAGAAACACCATCTTTCTTAGGTGTCGATACTTTTTCCTTTTCTTTCCCTTTTACTGCACGTTTCTTAGCAGGTGCCATTGCCTACAAAGCAACCAAAACACAAACCAACATAAGCAATCTAATACCAGAACATATAAAATGCAAACCATCAAGGGCCTAATGCAAACTGTAAAACCATGAAAACAATCCATTAATCAAATTTAAAGGAGACAAACAACTGCAAATAAACCACCAACATCACCCTGGAAATACACCATAGTTGTATTAAAACCATACAGAAAGGCCCCAATCGAACCCACAAACACCCTAAATGTCACCAAACACAAAACGCACCACATAAATAAACAACAAAACAACAGAACTACTGAACACCACCACAAACAACTCAATAATCAGATGTAAAAGAGACAAACAACTACTGCAAATGCACACCAGTAAATCTCCTAAACGAAACTGTGAAATCCGAAACACTAACCACAAAACCTTTTAAAAGAACCACCAACAACAGCCTGGAAATACACAATAGTTTCATTAAAAACCTCCAGAAAGGTCCCAATCAAACCCACAAACATCCTAACCGTCACCAAACACAAAGCAAACCACCAAAAATAAGAACAAAACAACAGCACTACTGAACACCACCACAAACGACTCATGAGAAACCAGAAACCCTAAAACATGCAAAGCACACCACAGAAACCCTAAAACATTCAACAAAACCTAATCAGAACACACAAAACCTAACCACAACGCACAATTATGAAATTTCCTCGTCTCCTACAACAAATCTAGACTGCATGCGTCAAAACATCGCAGAAAAGTGGAAAACGAAAGTAACAGAGAGCAAACCTGAAAACGACAGTTATAAATTCAATAGCAGCAGCAAGCAACGACAATGCTAACGAAAACGACAACGGCGACGCCAAACTAACACCATACAAGTGGAACTCCGGCGACGCCACAACGACAACGGCGACTTCGAAGGCCAAAACTGACGACAGAGGAGAAGACAGTTTAGCGGAGGAAATCACCGGCGGAATACCTCGAAATTAACTTCGCCGAAGGAGGAAACACAATCGCGCGAACGAAATCCACAAGCCGCAGACGGAATCGCCGACGGAGGAAACGGAATCGCGAGAACAGGGAGAGAGCAACCGAAGGAGAAGTCGGAGAGCAGTTCGTGAGCAGAGGGGAAGGGGAAAACGGAAATGGCAAATTGCGCGCTTCAATGAATTTTTATCATTAATTTCGAATTTCAAATTTAATACCAGGTAAAAGAAAATAACTTATTAATTAATATGTGTGCAATTGACCCTTATACCCCTGTTGTTATACTAACAACACTTATGGTGTTGTTATGCTATCCGAAGCCTTCGTTCTAATCCCCATAGCTACTTTTTCCCTTTTGTTTAGCTTCACCCACACGCTGCCGTTTTGGCTTCATGTTTCACCCAACAAAGCCCTAACACGCATCTTTTTTCCATTTTGTTTAGCGACATAGACACGCCGCCGTTTGGCTTCCTCCTCCACCTAGCAAAGCCTTACCACGCCTCTTCCTCCTCCGGTCGGCGATCGAGAAGCTCCAAACCACCTCTTCCTATTCCAGCCGGTGACCGAATCCTCACCCTGCCTCCCTAAGAAGCATATTTTCTTATAAAGAAACACAAGTGCTTAATTAATGTAACATGTTGCCATGTGCTAATTTCAAAGCAAGCTCCTTCTCCCCCTTTGAGCCTATGAGTGCGGATTGAACCAAATATTTTTCACGATAGATGAGATTTTAGGGTTAATTTTCTAACATCACATATATTTGTAATGACCTGGTTGTAGTTAATTCTTCCTTGTTCAGTTTGGCCGCTCTGTGTTGTTGCTCTCTACTAGACGCCTGTTTTTGAGAAAAGAAATGGGATGTGAAATTGGACATAATGTTGAAGATGGAAGAGTTATATTGTGCCCTTCAAATTTGATTGAGATAAGCTATGAATTTATTTTCGGTTTGTGAAGAAATTTGGATCTTATGCAACAATGGCCTTTGTCCACTCTATCTATCTTCAGACCCTCCTTCCTATTTGTTTATTGGTAGGTTAACAACTATCTAGTTCGTATGAAATATTATAATCATGATTAGATTCATATAATTATCAATAAACAAAATTGTGGTAATCAAGTACCAGAAAACAGTATAAAGTAACTAAACAGGTTTTCATTTTCAGAATTCAGTTTCAGAATGCAGGAAAATTCTCAGCTAAACAAGTTTTCTTCAGATTTTGTTTCTCAAGAAACGATAGCTCCATTTTCATTTCAATTGGTTTTCTGTTGTGGCAGCTACAATAGATGAAATGGCATGTGAACGACCCATTAGATTACCTTAAGTTTGTTGGCGGTGTTGGCCGAATGTGAAGTTTATTTAGAGTTACTTCACATTGTATATGTAAATAGATAGTGATAACACCTAAAATTAGTATTATTAACATTATCTATATATTTCAATGTCTTAATTATGCATCAACGAACATTAAACCTCACATTTTAGTATATATATGCTTTCTTTTGCATTTGGACTTGTCTAGGTAAAGATGTATAGGTTTAATTATATCCAATATGACCAGAATTAGGATATTGACTGAATGTACCAAGGTAACAATCTTTCAATCTAGCTAGAAGGATGAATCCTCTGTATGGTCTTCTCCTCACTTGTGGAGGAGGTTCTTCTTCATTCTCTTATAGTGGAACCCATTCAAGTTCATTCATGTCATCAATACAGCTTTCATGCAAGTCAGTGTCATCCTTATCAATTAAATCACCAAGTAACACATCATCACATGATGCATCAGGTTCATAGCATGGTCTAGAATGACGGGATTAAGGATTATTGACAGGAGGACTGTTGAAATGACGATTGACGAATGCTAACAGGTTGTTTAGATTTAGACTTGGATGGTGAAAGATTAGCTTCCATTGGCTTTGCGACTTTAGGACTATTGACATCTATAAGATCCCTATTTGGGAAAGGAGTAGTGACAGGAGGAGCACCATCACGGGGAATAGGAGGACTATGAAATGTAGGAGACAGATGAGATGGATCTTCATTATCATTCCTGATAGGTTCTGCAGATTCCCTGAATGGAAATATATGTTCATAGAAGGTAACATCTCGAGATATAAGAAAATCACGAGTAGTTAAATCAAATAGCTTGAATGCCTTTATACCAGCAGTTAAACCCAAGAAAATACATTATCTTGATCTTTCTCCAACTTTGGTCCTCCCATTAGGTAGAGTTGTAACATATGCTAAGCAACCAAACACTCTCAAATGTCCCAAATAAGGAGGTGTGTTATATATTACTTCAAAATGGGGATTTACTATTTAAGATAGGAGTAGGTAATCTATTAATAAGGTAGATGGCATGAAGTACACAATCACTCCAAGAAATTCAAAGGAACACCTGAATGAAATCTAAAAGCTCTGGCAACATTCAAAATATGTTGGTGTTTATGCTCAACCCTCCCATTTTGTTAGGTGTGTAAACACAAGACATTTGATGTTTAATCTCCTTGCCTTAGAAGAAATCACACATGCAAAATTCCTTACTTTGATCACTCCTAATGATATTGATAGTTTTGCCAAATTGTGTGTGAACTAAGGTAAAAAATCCCATATACAAACCTCTAGCTTCTGATTTATATTTCATGAGATAAAGTCACATAGATTGAGAGTGTTCATCAACGATAGTGAGGAAATAGGTAAAACCATCATGAGATGAACAGAAATTGGTTCCCAAATATCCACATGAATAAGAGCAAAAACATATAGTGCAATATTGGTCTTGGAAGGAAGGTAAACGTTTCTGTCTAGACAAGTGAAAGTATTCACAATGCTTAACATGTTCAACAGGAATGTTTGAATCACATTTTTCAATAAGCTAAAACCTATTGGTACTAGGATGACCCAATCTCCAATGCCACAAATCTATCTTGAAGTGAGCCTCCAGGGTGACCCAAAATCACTATCCTCGAAGTTGGAAGAAGGATGCACCTCGCGTAAGCAAAAAGGGCGAATGAGGTTAAAACCCTCGACCACAGACTTCAATTCCCGACCAGGGATCATGAGCAGCACAGACCAGGGATGGCGAATGGAAGAACCCCGGGCAGCCAAGGTCCAATTCTCTGACCGAGGAACAAAATGAAGCGATTGGGAATTGGAAACAGAAGAGCCCCCGATCATTAAGGTGTTATTCCTAGGTCGGGGAATTGATGATCGACTGGGGAATGGTTGCTTGCCGAGTTCAAATTTCCTTTTGTGTTTAGGATTCTTTTCCCCTTCTGTGTTGTGTTTAGTTTTTGTTTTCTTGGCCTATTTAAAGGGGCCTTAGTAGAGTTTTTAAAGAGACTTTGAAGATTATTGATTTTATCCTTGTTCATTGAGCTTTGGCTTGTGAATTGGGCTTTGTATCAATTGAGTATTCCCCTTGATTGTGGTCAAGCTTCTATCATACATTGACAAAGCCTTCTCCCAGGTGTGAAATTGCACTTCAATGTTACCTTTATCCTAACCCTAATATCGCATCTTCAATTTGAGATTGTGGCTGCGTGACTTTGGTAACTACAAGTGGATTTTCGCTCGTATCATATCTTTTGGGAGTCAAAGTTGTAGACAGAAGCAACTTGAGGAAGAACTTGTTGGTTTGAGATGGTGGAAGAAGGTGATAAAGTCCCCTAGTTTCATTGGCAAAACAAATCATCTGGATTGTGATAAGGTCTTGGATATGACACATATCAGATTTGAAAACAAACAAGACAGGAAGGTCATGTGTGAGCTTACTGACAGATACTAGGTTGAATATGAAGTTTGGAACCAGGAAGACATTGTGCAGAAAAGACCAGTTAGCAGGTTAACTGACCTTATATGACTAACTTGAACCTTTGTTCGATTAGGAAGATAAACATAGACATATGCTATAGGAATAAATTTAGTGAAGAGTTGAATGGAGCTTGCTATGTGATTTGATGCAACAGTATCAAGGATCCATGTTTGTTTTAATGCATTATTGTGATGATTCAAGTAGGACGATAAGACATATTTACCTGCATGATTTGAGAACTGTGGAAGGTAATTGGTCACAGAATGTGGTAGATTATTAATGACAGGACTCTGAGGTGAAGTAGGTGATGAAGATGAACTTGGTAACTGCAAGAGTCCTCCAATCTCTGCATTTCTTCTATAGTGAAACAAAAACTTGTCTAAGAATGAGCACTTCCAATTTCCAAATTCATCTGCATGTCTCCATCACTACTCTCATCATTTCTAGTATTCTGACCAACAGAGCCAATAAATCAGCTATTTCCTGTAGTTGCAGCTTCCTTTTCTTGTTTCTTCCTTTTAAGTTTACAACAATCCTTTATAAAGTGGTTGGTCTTCTTGCAGTAATTGCAGAACAACCCACTTCCTTCTCCTTTTGTCTTATTGGTTTATAATTGTTATTGTTCCCATTGCTTATTGTCAAGGCGACATATTGACTTCCCTCCTGAGTTCCTAGGTTCCCTCCACCCTTCAACTTTTGTCCATGTTGCAACAAATTATCACAAGCAATAATAATAGTGGGAAATCGTTTCATCAGGAAGAGTTGGGAACTTCTGTGGTCATATTTAGGGTTAAGGCCCCTCAAGAACCTGATTAGATAATCTGCGTCTTGCTTGATTCTAAATGCCTCCACAACATTGGAGGGTATAATAAGATTAAACTAGGGATGGCAATTTGAACCCGCCCCGGTAAGTATTACCCAACTTGACTTGGGATGAGACGGGTATTAACCGATCCACAATAACATGGAGCGGGGCAAGAGTATCTACTTCCGACCCGACCCGCCGTGCCCTGTCCTGTCCTGTCCCATTCTATCTCTATTTCTTATAATATTTATTCATATTTATCCTATTTTGTTTTTTCTTCAACTAGTTAAACTCAATTACCCAATATATTATCACTATTTTTTATTTACAAAGTGTTTTCCTTCGTTTTATCATAAAAAGTAAAATTTTGTGTATATTTTTTCGGGTTAACACCTTATTATGGCCCGAAGTATACACAAACTTTCTATTTTGGCCCGTGGTATTTAAAATTGCTCTCTTGGCCTAAACTATGTACCATACTTCCTTACTTGGCCCAGAGCCGAGTTTGACCGTCAAATTGGAATGTCAACTCCATTGTCCGTTAGTCAATGGCCACCTCACTTGCCACGTCTGCGAACACGGAATAAAAATATTTATTTTTTGAAATTCTGTATTCATTTTCCTTTCTAATAATTAACTTAATAATCAGAAAAAATTCAATTGGAGTACAGAATTTCAAAAAATTATTTATTAAGTTTATTATTAGAAATGAAAATAAATACAAAAATTCAAAATTAATTTTTTTAATACCGTGTTCACTAATGTGGCAAGTGAGCTAGCCATTGACTAATGATCAATGGAGTTGACCGTCCAATTTGACGGTCGAACCTGCTCCGAGCGAAGTTAGAAAGTATGATACATAGTTCGGGCCAAGAGAGCAATTTCGGATACCACGGGTCAAAAGAAAGTTTGCGTATAGGTCAAGACAAACTAAGGTATTAACCCTATTTTTTTAAATAACATGTAAGAGTGGGTTGACTCGACCTGACCTGCTCTTGGTGCGGCGGGTACTGATATTGAGATACCCACCCCACCCCACCCCACCCATTTGCCATCACTAGATTAAACTGACTTATTCCTCCCATAGTCCCTTTAACCGAGTGTAGTACTGAGTACTTGTCTTGGTTCCTTTTTTGCAAGAATATATCTCATCCTGCAGATTATCTAGCTTGAGAGCATTAGCTTGTCCAAAGCGATTCTTGAGCTCATTCCACATAACTTGTTCCATTTCATGGGTTTGTACACTTCTAGTCTTATCAAGAGAATTTGTTATCCAACAGAGCATTATGGTATTTCAAGCATCCCAGATATTAGACATGTCATCATTACGATCTAGAATTGGGATAGATTCATCTATGAAACCCAACTTATACTTCGTCTTAAGAACAACCCTTACAACTCTAGAACACATCTGGTAATTTGGACCATCCAAAACTATAGGAATGGTAGGTTGAGCAAGGTTTTCATTTGCGTTGATGTAGAAAGGATTACCAAACTCTGGATCTGATGGACCTCGAGCATTGTTGGTGTTGGTGTATTGACCAATGGTGTTACTTTGATCTCCATAGCTTCCAAATAAGATCCCACATGTGTTCCCTCCGGAAAGAGTAGAAGGGATTTCCACCATAGCTGTTTAGAGCTTTTGTTGCTTTGATACCATGTAAACTTTTAGGTTTAGGAAGGAAGAAGATAAGATAGGAGAGTGTAGAGGAATTGGCAGAATGACCTCAGCCTGTAAGCTGGAAACCCCTCTGTATATATATTGTCTAGAGTATACTGTACCCAACGATAAGTAACATGTGTCCAACAACAAGTGGTCTGTACATAATCTAACAGCACTAATTACAAACATTAAACTGAAATGAAGCGACATTGTTTGGACAACATCTTCTTCTTTGTTCAAGTTGACGAAGTTCACCAACTTCAACAGATCTCTCGGCATGCATTGCTGGAATGTCAACGGTCACGTTCACCGCATAAGCGACCCGACTATATCTATGAACGTCTCCTGAAGTATTAGCATGCTGCTCTTGTTTGCGTTCATAGCCTGCATGAACAAAACAATTAAAAAAAAACAAATAATAATACGTCACAAAAGGGTGTAATCAAATGTAGAAAGAACCTACAACAACAAAACAACACTCAACTTTTTGGTTTAAATTGTGCTCTGCCTTCTCTCATCCTTCCGCTTTGTTTCTTTAGCCTTTATTTTGTGCATTTTCAATCGGATTTCCATTTGTGATTTATCCATGTCGTTGTGGCCTTCTGTTTTGCTACAACTCTTCTTTCGGGTCTTGGATTCTTTGTTATGGGCTTGCTCATTGTAGGATCCGGAGATTGCAACCTGGACGCATCATATAGATCAGGATGGTGATGCTTCTCCCAGGTTGGTGGTCTCATCCTTTGGTGAAGCCATTCCCTGCTCTCCCCCTCCGACCTCCCCTGTGTGTTTGCGTTGCTTGGTGAGCCACCGTATCGTGGAGGGTATGGTCTTCCCTAGTGGTTGCGGTTGGGAATCAGTGTTTTTCGTGGTGATCTGTGGCTCTATTGGGATCCCCTGCTCGGTTTCAAACCCGATCTCTCTGTCTTGACTTTCATTTATATTTACTTTCATACCTAGTACTAGTATCAATGCAATTTTATTATTTCGAGGAGAAATGCGTAGAAAAAAAATCGTGGTTGGGAAGATTATAGTAGCAAAAGCCCTTGGAATTTTTTTTATATAAATTGGAAGAATCTGTTTTGTTATTATAGAAAAGGGTAAAAGAATAACTTAAAGAAAAAAAAACCGATTAGTTATTATTCAAAATTTCTTTATTCAATGACCAGAATTGGACGAGGATATATAGCTCGAAGGAGGAGAACAAAACTTCGTTTATTCGCATCAAGCTTTCGCGGGGCTCGTTCATGACTTAGTTGAACTATTATTCAACAAAAAATAAGAGCTTTGGTTTCAGCCTTTCAGGATAGAGATAGACAGAAAAGGAACTTTCACAGTTTGTGGACCACTCGAATAAATGTAGGAATTCGTTAGAATATGGTATCTTCAAGTTATAGTAGATTAATAAACAATTTGTATAAGGGACAATTTCTCTTTAATCGTAAAATACTTGCACAAGTAACTATATTACATAGGAATTGTCTTTATATGATTTCTAATGACATCTTCAAATAAAGAGAGGTCATCTGAATATTTTTCATTGAATTCTTTGTAGAATTAATGCCAAGAAGGTAGAATAGATGTTAGTGTGTTAAAATACAATAATAATATGATCAAGTAGGTAAATTGAGCAAAACTTTAAATAAAAAAAGAGTTATTCGATCTAGGGTTGAGTTCGGAATGGAATTTTAAAGTTACCCGTCTCGATAATATTTTCCCTTGTTTACTAATAAATTGACTAATTAAACTCATGTTTCTATAATCAATGCGATCCCCCGATTGGATCGGGGGCAAACGCGTATGAAAAGATTGCTTGGATTTAATAAAAAATCGCTTAGATTTATCCATGGTTTTTTCCTTATATCGAAAAGACTATTCTTAATTCTAATATTAAATTTCTAAAGCATTTTTTATCCGATAAAATAAAATAGGATTTCGCTTCTTTCTATTTATTATTTATTTATAGTTAGGGGGAGTCGTCAAGGAGTTAGAGGGAGCCGAGCTGAAGGGTTTTTATTGGGACCGAGGAGTGAGAAACAAGAACACCATAAAATGTAGATGGATCTCTCATGCTAAATCTGTCTTTCGAGCAGAAGAAAAAGACAACTGAGGAATATAGTCTGTCGAAGATGGGAGACAATGTTAAAGGAGATGCACCAGAAGCGGTCGATCTTGAAGATAGGTTGACTGATGTCAACAGAGATGATGTCGAAGGAGATAAACCAAAAGAGGTCGACCTTTCTGATAACATCTTTAAAACCGATGGTTCATCTGATGGTTTGTGTGGCTTGCAAGATTGGATGGCTGCAGTTGATGAAATAAAAGGAGGTATGTGAAGACAAAAAAAGAAGATTTATGTAGACTTATATATGTTTTGGTTGTTGTTCTGCATTGAATGTGTTCATATGGTTGGATTTAAGGTTTGCATTTATTATGTTTGTGTAAAATATTTATGGTATATATTTGCATGGTGTTCTATGTTTGCATGCATGAATACTTCTTCATGTTTCATGACTATGAGTTGGTGGATGAACAAAAACATAAATCTCGCTGCACTAAATATATATAATACATGTTTGCCGTAAGAACCATATTACTTCGTATTTTCATGAAATACGCATTCATCAGTGAAGAGTATTAGTTGACTTTTGATGAAATATGCATTTATTTGTAAAGAGTATTAGTTGACCTTTTATAAAATACGCATTCATATGTAGAAGAATATTAGTTGACATTTTCAATTTCAATTTCCTCTCACCTTGCGACCTCACCTCTTTCCCTCGACTCTCGGCTCAACTCAGCCGGCTTTCCTTTTTCCCTTTTTCTTTTACATCTAGCTCGATCATTCCTGCTAATCATTTATTACTTGGATGACGTATCCCAATGAGAGTGTTGTGACTCGGTGCACACTAAAAAAAATTATGTGCACCACACCGAAATTTCTTATGAAGGAGACAGAGGTCACAGGGAGAAGCAACAATCAAAGAAGAGCCAGCATAGGAGAAACAAAAAGAAAGCAACATCCTGATCCCAAAAGACAAAGGTTGGTGCTCACTAGTCAAGCAAACCCCCAACTATCATTATAATTCTTAATAGCAAAACAAACATCAAACCAGACCTACTTCTTTGTCTATTATTAGTTATCTATATATCTTTTCGTTTCTATTCCACCTTATTATCTTTAACATTTCTATATAATTCATAAGTAAAGGTTGGACTGTGGACTCGTTTCTTTCTTTATCTTGTTTTAATTGCTTTGCTTTGTCTATAAGTTATCTATACTTCTTTCCACTTCTATTTCAACTTATATTTTAAGCTTTTTATGTTCAAGCATATCATAAGCAAATGTTAGATTCGTTTTTTTTACTTTAATTGCTTTGCTGTCAATCTCATACTAAGTAGCGCCCTCTCTTAACTCTAGACCTTTTCATATCTAAAAGTTCTCAATGAACTACGCTAAGAAACCTTATTCTCGTTTTTTAACACCTGGCATGGGGTCAAAGGGTCGGGATAAATTTATTCACTGTCCTACTAGCCTATGTCTTGATAACCACTGTTTTGATAACCAATATCCTTACATATATTTATTCACTGTCTCTTCTCTTTACAGGTAGCAAATGGCGGATCACCACAGAAATCAGAGATGTGAGCCATGCAAGTACAGCAAAAGGATTGCATGTCCAGCTTATTGTCGATTTAGGCCCTACTTTACGCCCAGCTCAATGGAATTTCGAAGGGTGGTGGATGTATATGTGGATACCACAAGCAAGGTTCTTAGGAACCAGATAAGGAGCCTTCCCAACATTCAACCGATTGAGGACACAACCTATTTCCCCAACAATCCGTCAATTCACGATAGAGCTTACTTTCACTCTCTTATGGTGGAACTGAATGTCTGTCTAGGGAATATGGTGTCTGACTCTTCTGGCAACGACCAAGCTGAACAATTGGAGAATCAATATCTTCAGCAGGAGTAGTAACATCTCTCGGGTGAGAATGATGTTTTGAGACATAAGTGGAAAATTTTGGAGTTCTTATCTTCTTTGGGAAAAAAGAAGAGGGATATTTTGGTACTTAAACTTTTGGGAAACGAAAGAAGAGGGAATTTTGGTGTTTTGGTTTATAGGAAGAAAAAGAAGTGGGAAATATTGATGTTTTCAACTTTTTGGAGAAAAAATAAGAGGAAAATTTGGTGATTCAAGTTTTGAGAAAAGAAATAAGAGGGAAAATTGGTGCTTTGGTTTATAGGAAGAGAAAGAGGTAGAAATTTTTATGTTTTCAACTTTTTGAGCAAAAAAGAAGAGATGAATTTTGTGCTTCAAGTTTTGGAAAAAGAAAGAAGAGGGAATTTTGGTTCTTTCAATTTATAGGGAAAAAAAGGGTGGGAATTTTTGATGTTTTTTATTTACGGAAAGAAAAATAAGGGAATTTTTTTGTCATTTTCACTTTTTTAAGAGAAAGAAGGGAGAAAGTTTATCACAATGTTTACATATCATGGTTTACGAGTTTAATTAATTAACAATTAGAGTATCACAATGTTTACATATGATGATTTAGGAGCGTAACATTTATTTACTAAAATATTGTCTATACTCTATAACAAACCTTATCATAGCCTATAGGCATGACTAATTTAAATTAGTAGATTTGAGAACATGTAAAGAGTTATCGTATCTCAAATGCATATTATTTTACATTTAGGTTGGAAACTTAATCTTACTCACTAATTCTCCCACTACATTTTCAATTAGGTGTGAAACTTCCCCCTCTCATTTTGATATCTTCATCCTAATTTCAGCAGGGGGAGCAAAATCTCCAGCGTGAGAATGATGTTTTGAGACATAAGTGAAAAATTTTGGAGTTTTTAACTTTTTTTAGAAAAGAGAAGAGGGAAATTTTGGTACTTCAATTTTTGGAAAACGAAAGAAGGGGGAGTTTTGGTTTATAGGAAGAGAAAGAAGTGAGAAATATTGATGTTTACAACTTTTTGGAGAAAAAAGAAGATCGAAATTTGGTGATTCAATTTTTGAGAAAAGAAATAAGGGGGAAAATTGGTGCTTTGGTTTATAGGAAGAGAAAGAGGTAGAAATTTTGATGTTTTCAACTTTTTGAGAAAAAAGAAGAGATAAATTTTGTGCTTCAAGTTTTGGAAAAAGAAAGAAGAGGGAATTTGGTGTTTTCAATTTATAGGAAGAAAAAAGGGTGGAAAATTTTGATGTTTTTTATTTATGGAAAGAATAATAAGGGAATTTTTTGGCATTTTCACTTTTTTTTAAGAGAAAGAAGGAGAAAGTTTATCACAATGTTTACATATCATGGTTTACAAGTTTAATTAATTAACAATTAGAGTATCACAATGTTTACATATGATGATCTAGGAGCGTAACATTTAATGACTAAAATATTGTCTGTACTCTATAATAAATCTTATTATAGCTTATAGGCATGACTAATTTGATATAGTAGATTTGAGAACATATAAAGAGTTATTGTATATTATTTTACATTTAGGTTGGAAACTTAATCTTACTCACTAATTCTCCAACTATATTTTCAATTAGGTGTGAAACTTCCCTCCTCTCATTTTGATATCTTCATCCTAACTTCAGCAGGGGCAGCAACATCTCGAGGGTGAGAATGATGTTTGTACTAAAATATTGTCTGTACTCTATAATAAATCTTATTATAGCTTATAGGCATGACTAATTTGATATAGTAGATTTGAGAACATATAAAGAGTTATTGTATATTATTTTACATTTAGGTTGGAAACTTAATCTTACTCACTAATTCTCCAACTATATTTTCAATTAGGTGTGAAACTTCCCTCCTCTCATTTTGATATCTTCATCCTAACTTCAGCAGGGGCAGCAACATCTCGAGGGTGAGAATGATGTTTTGAGACATAAGTGGAAAATTTTGGAGTTTTTAACTTTTTTTAGAAAAGAGGAGGAAAATTTTGGTACTTAAATTCTTGGAAAACGAAAGAAGGGGGAGTTTTGGTGTTTTGGTTTATAGGAAGAGAAAAAAGTGGGAAATATTGATGTTTTCAACTTTTTGGAGAAAAAAGAAGAGAAAAATTTGGTGGTTCAAGTTTTGGGAAAAGAAATAAGGGGAAAATTTGGTGCTTTGGTTTATAGGAAGAGAAAGAGGTAGAAATTTAGATGTTTTCAACTTTTTGAGCAAAAAAGAAGATAAATTTGGTGCTTCAAGTTTTGGAAAAAGAAAGAAGAGAGAATTTTGGTGTTTTCGATTTATAGGAAGAAAAAAGGGTGGAAAATTTTGATATTTTTTATTTATGGAAAGAAAAATAAGGGAATTTTTTTTTTGGTATTTTCACCTTTTTAAGAGATAGAAAAGAGAAAGTTTATCACAATGTTTACATATCATGGTTTACGAGTTTAATTAATTAACAATTAGAGTATCACAATGTTTACATATGATGATTTAGGAGCGTAACATTTAGTGACTAAAATATTGTCTATACTCTATAACAAACCTTATCATAGCCTATAGGCATGACTAATTTGATATAATAGATTTGAGAGCATGTAAAGAGTTATCGTATCTCAAATGCATATTATTTTACATTTAGGTTGGAAACTTAATCTTACTCACTAATTCTCCCACTACATTTTCAATTAGGTGTGAAACTTCCCTCATCTCATTTTGATATCTTCATCATAACTTTTCACTTCTCCAATGTTTCCCCTCCCACTTTTGGTTCTTCTCATTTTGCTTTCCCTCTACAATTTGTCCATACCAAAATAAAAATCTAATGAGGGGAATTTCTCCAAATTTGACCGACTAACGTTTCAATTCCTTTATTATCAAGCCCGATTTTCCTACAATATATGAATCAGTGAACCTTGAGTCATATATTTTTTTTTTGTTAATAAAAATTTATACTTCACTGAGAATTAAACTTGTAATTTATTATATATATTTCATGGATTTTTTTTACTCAATTTTGCTTCCCGTTGCATTGTTGTCCAATTTTCTTTTTGCTTGATATATATTGCCGCCCAACTTCTTCATTCCAACTCCTAAAGGCCGCCCAATTTTCGTTTAGATTGATCTATATTGCCTCCCAATTTTCATTTGGATTAATCTATATTGCCGCCAAAAAATGTTAAGACAAGAAAAATAGTTTTCCTTCTTTGTTTTTAGAGTGAGTTTAGTTTGGTTGGCTTGCCTAGTGCACTATACCAACAACTAACCACCTCTCCATTTTTTATGTGGTTGACATGCCTTATTAGGAGATCCCCCTCACGATCTCTCTTAGACGAGGAGCTGAAGCAGAGCGTGTTCTGTTGATGGAGTTGTTATCTTTGTTGCCATCAAATTGGATATCCATGGGACTGGCACGATTGGTTTGGCCATTAGAGTCGTCCTCTGTCTTTTTGGTTCATTCTTTCACAACTAATCTTATTAATGGTGCATTTGGAGGTGATGTCTTTTACCCTTCCAAGTTGGTTTGAATTTCTTCAATTCCCTCCAAGATCTGTTGTTTCATCTGGATGACATCCCTCTCGAAGATCTCTACCATCGACAACCTGAGGAAGAGATGTATGATTCTTACCAACTGGTGCTATCTATCCAAATGTCAAGAGGAGTCTGTCTCACATCTCTTGTTCTCATGCTCTTTTTCGGCCACAATTTGGATAAAATTGACAAAGATGTTTCAGTTTCATGGCCCGTTTCCAGCTTATATCAGTTGTTTTCTCTCAGCTTGGAGAGGCTTGTGGTGTGATCCAAAACTTAAGGATTTTGCCAAGTTCTTACCACATGCAATTTTTTGGTCCATTTGGAATGAGCGAAACAATAGGATTTTTTTGTGACTTTGAAGCTTTACACTCCGAGGTTTGCAATAAGATTGTTTAGATGGTTGGTAGATGGTTGCAGGCTTTCGGACTAATCTCTGATGACTATTTTCAGCAGTGGCTGAGGATTGGGGCATGCTGAGTAAATATCTGTGATTTTTTTTTTGTTTTTAATATTTACCCCCTCCTTTTCAGAACTTTCTTCACTTTTGTCATAGGTAGGTTTTGACTTTGTTGGGTGAATATGTTTTTTCTTTTCTATTGTTGTAGCACGTTCTCATCTACCTCTTTTTTTATTTTCTTTTTTGGTGGCCTTGTCTGTAACATCCCGAACCTTTTCCAGAGCAAGATATTGTCGGCTTTGAGCCTCCACCCTCACGGTTTTTGCATTGGGGTTGCAATTCAAGGTGACTTCCCATAATGTCACCCATTCTTTTTGTACTCCACACTGAGCACGTTTAACTTTGGAGTTTTTGCAAGAACTCCTCCATTTCACCCCAAAATGCGTCTTGTCAGTTAAGGTCGGTTTCTTACTTATGAACCATGGATCTCACCCGTGATTTGTCGATGTGGGATTTGCCTAAAGTGTTACATACACCCCCCCCCCCCCCCCCCGGGACTCAACGCCCTCGTTGAGGTTTGCCCCACCATCGTTCAAGAGGGACGCGGAGAGGCTCTGATACCATTTGTAACATCCCAAACCTTTTCCTGAGCAAGATATTGTCCGCTTTGGGCCTCCACCCTCACGGTTTTTGCCTTGGGGTGCAATTCAAGGTGACTTCCAATAATGTCACCCATCCTTGTTGTACTCCACACTGAGCACTTTTAACTTTGGAGTTCTCGCAAGAACTCCTCCATTTCACCCCAAAACGCGTCTTGTCAGTTAAGGCCGGTTTCTTACTTATGAACCATGGATCTCACCCGTGATTTGTCGATGTGGGATTTGCCTAAAGTGTTACATACACCCCCCCTGGACTCAACGCCCTCGTTGAGGTTTGCCCCACCATCGTTCAAAAGGGATGCGGAGAGGCTCTGATACCATTTGTAACATCCCAAACCTTTTCCTGAGCAAGATATTGTCCGCTTTGGGCCTCCACCCTCACAGTTTTTGCCTTGGGGTGCAATTCAAGGTGACTTCCCATAATGTCACCCATCCTTGTTTTACTCCATACTATGCACGTTTAACTTCGGAGTTCTCGCAAGAACTCCTCCATTTCACCCCAAAACGCGTCTTGTCAGTTAAGGCCGGTTTATTAGTTATGAACCATGGATCTCTCCCGTGCTTTGTCGATGTGGGATTTGCCTAAAGTGTTACATAGTCTCTGTTTTATTTTCATGTTTTTCTTATTTTTGATTTGGTAATACTATTGAGTCTCATCATTCATAAAAAACAACTAACCACCTCTCTAACAATAGCCTGATTGTTTGCTTCAGCCAACATCATCACCGACTCAGTAGTTTAGTGTTATATGTATTGTTATAAGTTGTCAGGGTCTTTTTTTTAACAAAAGATAATCTTATATTGATTGAGAGAAATAGACAGTTACACCCTGGAATTCAGCCAGGCCTGATAATCAAAATGACTTGTAGTCGGGTACAAAGAAAGGGCTTTCCAAGCCACCAAATGAGCTACCCTATTGCGACGCCGACCTACAAATCGTACACTAAAACCCATGTTCATGTCAAACAGCTGGACAACCTCCTCAAGAATCGATCCCACACGATTATCCCTAACATCCCGCCGAAGAATCTTCTCAATGATCACCTGGGCATTCCATTAAAGCCGCTAGCCGAGCACCATACGGCTGCCTCTCGAAGAACAAGCGCCTCACTCACCATAGGGTCATCAATCACAGGGAGCTGATTCCCCTTGACTAAGAGGACCGCTCTATCCGGGCTCATGATAACCATCCCCCCTGCTGAATGGGACGGGATTTTTCCAAAAGTAGCACTGTTTAAAAAAAAATTCCAAAAAAGCACCCAACTCCGAAAAATTCCAAAAATAGCACCCTTTCTGCAAAACAACCACCCGTACCAGGGGTTTAGGCGAAAACCGCCACCCGGGGGCGCGTTTTTTGATGAAAACCGCACTGGTAGGGGGCGGTTTTACAGACCGCACCCCCACCATGCGGTCTGTTTTTTTTTTAAAAATCCTAACCTGGGTGAAAACTTCAAACGAACGTCGCAAATTTTTTTTTGATTCCGCATAACCTTTTGAGATCTTGCAAGCCGATGACTGCCGAAGGTGGTTTGGTCCCGCCTTCGTCCCAAAAGATGTCGTTTGCTACCCCGAACGAGCTTTTTTCCAATTTCGTCAAACTTTGGACAACCATAACTTTGTGCTCCAAAATCCAAACGGGTAGCGGTTTTTCGCCTAAACCGCTGGTACGGGTGGCGGTTTTTCAAAAAGGGTGCTATTTTTTGAATTTTTCAGAGTTGGGTGCTATTTTTGAATTTTTTTTAAACAGTGCTACTTTTTGAAAAATCCCGAATGGGCCCGTTTCGTACAGCCACATCCCACATACAAACCGCCACATTTGATCCAACTGGATCTAAGGGAGGAGTAGTCGAACACGGGAGTTGGGAGATCTGGGTCGCCGGAAGGCCATTCCATTCCTGAACTTGTTGATTCAGCTGACGCATCAAGGCAGGGATCCGAAACTGTTTGGCTTCTAAGATAACCCCACTTACGAGATCGCCATATCTGCCATACAACGGCAACCACCAACATCAATGATGATGGCTGGTGAAGCAGCGCCAACAACATCTTCAGAAAGAGCGAGAAGGTATGACGAGGCAATCCTTCTCCCAGGTGGGCAAGCCCAGAATGATCCAAAAGGGCCCGAGCAACCAGACAATCTAGAAAAAAATGTTCCAGAGTCTCCGAAGCTACCCAACATACTGGACAACAAGGCATGACATCAACCTTTTTTTCAATCAGGGCATCCGTAGCAAGCAAATTCTATGAAAGATCTGCCAGACAAACACGCCATAACTTTGAAGGGAATTACTTTGTTGGATACCTCCCGTATGAGAAGGCTGTGGCAATATTTGAATTTGTTACGGTTGAAGCTCTCAATTTTCTCAAATTTAGCAACCACAATATAATGTAGCTTCCGCAATATGGTAATTGCACTTTTTTTCTCACCAAATTTATCTATATTTTCCATTTTCCATTCCCCGTTCTGTCCTTTTGTGTGATCTGATATTGAAGGAAGAAGTTGTTTCCTCCTTAGGGGAACTAATATTATCCCTTTATCTAGCTTATGCCGTAAGTTTCATTCAGACAACTACTAGTTTTATCTCCCATAAACTTATCTTGGATAGTTTGTTTAAACGTTTATTTCTAATTTTACAATGCTTTAAAGCATTGGTGCTTTATGTTTTTTTACCTTTATGATACAACTTGAAGTTTCACCTTTAAGGTTATGGTACAACTTTAGCTTGTACCTATACTCTTTTATAAAATCCCTTTATGGTACAAATTAAAGTTGTACATTTAAGTTATGGTACAACTTGAAGAGCTGAAGTTGTACCACAACATAAAGATCAAATTTCCTTATGATACAACTCTAACTTGTACCTTTAACGTTGTGGTACAACTTAAAATTGCACTTTAAAGCACCAATACTTTAAAGCATAGTAGAAGTGTTCAATATAAAGGTCTGTTTATGGCTCGTTATTTTCTACAGCTGGCCGGTCCCAGTACTTCTTTGGTGGCACACCTGATTCTGAAAAATAATTCCCCCATCATTCCTATTTTTCTCCCATTAGTTTCACACATATACCTCCTCAACACAGACCAACACATATCTTGATGGTTGTTGTGTTAATCTCAATTATCATTCTAAAAATGCAAATTGATAACAACTAATGTTGCGGTTTATATCTGGACATGTACTGGACTTAATTGTCATTAGTTAATGTTGGTGGTAGTAAAGTGTAGTTTACCTAAACTGATCGTGTTATTTCGTTTTCCGCGTTTTATGTATTTTACATGGTATCAGAGCTATCAAGATCGTAAATATGCTAGTTCATGATGAGCTACGATGAGAAGAAAGAAAGAGACCGCATTGGGCAAGGCATCCATTGAGTCGATGGGTGGTTCTTCCAAGCTTGATAGCGATCTCACCTCACCGTATTTCATCAGTCAGTCCGATAATCCTAATCAGGTATACGTTGGTGAATTGTTGAACGAGGTTAATTATACTGATCGAATTCATGATATGACCAACGCCTTGCTTGCTAAGAATAAGCTATTTGTTAATGGTACTTTCCCGGCGCCTACCGATCCGCTTGAACTGCGAAGTTGGCGTCGTGCCGATGCCATGGTTAAGGCGTTGCTGACCTCGGCCATGGATAAACAAGTTCGTCGTGGTTCTCGTTATGCTCAAACCGCAAAGGAAGCTTGGATTGATCTAAAGGAGCGTTTCGCTCAGAGTAGTGCTCCGCTGGTATATGAGCTTCGTTGTCGTATTAGTCGTCTTCCTCAAGACAAGTTGATTGTCCCTGCGTTCTATACACAATTGCGTAATCTATTGGACGAGGTGCAGTCCATGGCTCCTTTACACCCCTGTACGTGTGGTTAGTGTTCTTGTGGCGCCGACCGTAAAAATCAGTAGCGCGAAGAAAAATTTCATCTCTATAATTTCCTGATGGGGTTTGATGATTCCTTCTCCACCGTTAAGACTCAACTCCTTTCAATGAAGACACTGCCCACATTATCAGAAGCTTACCAACTTGTTTCGAATGGTGCTCATCAGCATCGTCTTGCGGTTTGTAATCGTCCCAGTCCTGAAGCTGCTGCTTTCCTTGTTCGTGATGATGTGGCTCGTGGGGAGTCTTCTTATGATGGTCGTGGTCATCATAAGTGTACACATTGTGGGAAGACCGGTCATCTCAAGGATCATTGCTTCGATCTCATTGGCTGGCCTGATCATCCTCCTACTAAGGATCGTCTGGCGTAGCTCAAGGATTTCTTGGCAGGGTCTTCGTTCTCATCGGAAGCCTCAACGACCATGCTTACGGGTTTTTCCTAATGGTTATCAGCCTTCTGATCTGCGGGTTGGGATTCCTAATGGGGTATCGGTTAATGTTGCTCAAGTTGGGTATGTGTGCATGGGTAACGGGATGGTTTTGCCCCGTGTTTTGTTGGTTCCTGAGTTCAAGTGTAATCTGTTGTCGATCAGTCGGGTCACTAAGGAGTTTCCCATCGCTCTGATCTTCCTTCATGATTTTTGCATTCTACAGGACTTGCATTGCAAGAAGATGATTGGGATGGGCCAACAACGTGAGGGTTTATATTATCTCCGCTTATTTGATGATGTAAGGGAGGCTGCTGTTCATGCCGCGACAGGAGAGGATCGTTCGTCAGCTCCATTGTGGCATGCTCGCTTATGTCATCCGTCCATGGAGAAGTTGTCTTTGTTGCCTTTTATTTCGGGTTCTAAACAGTCTATTCTGGATCGTTGCTCTTCTTGTTTACGAGCTAAACAGACAAGTAGTCCTTTCCCGTCTAGTTCTATTAAGACTTCGCGTCCTTTTGAGTCGATTCATGTTAATATTTGGGGTGGCTATAAAGACCCGTCGTTGAGCGGTGCTCATTATTTTCTTACTCTGGTGGATGATTTTTCGCGTTCTTTGTGGGTGTATCTTCTTCGATATAAGTCGGAAGTTGCTGGCTAATTGATGATGTTTTGTCAACAGGCTAAGCGTCAGTATAGTTCATCTGTTGTTCGTATACAGGCTGATAATGGTATGGAGTTCCAAACTAATGTTCTTAAACAGTACTACGAGAGTGATGGGATTGTGTTACAAACCTCGTGTACTGACACGCCACAACAGAATGGGATCGTTGAGAGGAAGCATCGCTAGAGACAACAAAAGTTTATACTGCAGTAATTTTTCATGACTAAATAATTATTTTCGTGAAACACATTTTCATACACGAGATTTTTAGTGATGAAATAACTTTGTTTTTTCCTGTAGTGTCATTTGGGTGATGATTCTCACAAGTTCTATCTTTTGACTCAAAGGACATGACACTCAAATGAAACAAGATACGTGTCATGCGTTGATGGGTGTGACTCTCCAAAAGCGTTCGCTTTTCCAAATGAAGAAGGGCAAAAATCATTATTTGCCAAAGCGGCCCACTTCCACTACTTGATAGAGAATTAAGTTCCCGTTGATATTCCAGCCATCGATCCCAGCCCCATAAAATCCTCCAATATCGTGTCGTCAGGCTGCAGGCTAATGTTGTAGCGCGGGATCGAAGAAAAGATGAGAATAATCTCCAATCGGCCCTTTGATCTAGAGAATAAGAAGTATAGCTAGCAGTAATCCAACCAAGTCGGCGTATGGATTGGGTGCCCTTATCCAAAATGTAATATTCCTCCCCACGCATTCAAGGCAACACATTCAGTGGACGAACCCTCTATAAATTTGATAGACTGCTGCTTCTCCACAGACACACATGCACTGAACTAATTAAGGCGATGGATGCATCCAAACTTTGTTAGCTTGCTGTCCAGTGCATAGTGACTTCCATGGAGAAAGAGAGAGTAGAGCTAGAGCCAAGAATGACTTGCCGCCATTTAATTTGCGGCTGCTTAGTGTATGCTAGCACCTCAATTAGCTAGCTAGGGCAAAAAGGGGGCTGAAATGGGTCTGTGGGTCTTTCTTGGTTCTTCTTTGCTCTCTATTTTTCTCGTGCAAGTCTTCTTGCCTGCTCACCGAGAAGAGCCTATCACGAATGAACATCATCCCGGGCTTGCGGTTTGAGTTTTGTCAGGATGATTCAGGTATGCAAAAGTTTTCATCATCTTCGACATCTATTTCTCTTAATTTATTGTACATATATGTATACGATAACGACTTAGTACTCCAAGAGTATATTATACCCGCGGTTCGAGTTTTGTGATAATGATTCAGGTATGCATAAATTTTCATCATCTTTTATGTAATTTTCTTCTTAATTAATTGGTGTATGTATGTATATGATAATGATTGCATAATCCTACAATATACTATGTACTCAATTTTACGAGGATGTTTCAGGTGTGCAAAAGTTTTCATAATCTTCTACGTACCCTTTCTTCTTAATCAATTGATGTATATATGTATATATGGTAACAATTGTATACTCCTACAAGTATAATATACTTCTGATCTTATAGTTAGATATAGTTCGTTATGGTTTGATGAATCAAAACCATCGTATGTAGATCAAAATGAATGTTATAGTAATGAAACGACATGACTTAACCGATGAATCACGCCGTGAAACTAGATCTGGAGAACTCATGGTTCTTTTCTTTGGCCATAGGAGCCTTCAACTAATTGAATGATAAGTCAAACCCAGAATATATTAAACAATACTCATTATTTATTAGTATGACTATCGTCATCATCATCATCACAAGAACGACAAATAATCTATAATAATGAAACACTCATCACTGCAACTCAACTCAAGCCCAAAAATTTACTACAAACGCGAAAAATTTAAAAAGGACGTACTGGCCGGTAGGACTGTTGCCGGGAATTAATTAAACCAAAACAAAGAACAACAACGGCGCCGCGGCGGCGGCAACGGTGAGAACGGACAGGAAAGCACGAGACGACGAAGAAGGCGGCGGGGGAGGAGACATCATGGTGGTGGGACCCGCCGCTTCCGGTGCGGGAGCGCAAGCCTCGTCTGGCGCACCACCGGCGGCAGGCGGAGGGATCATGTTGGTGGGGGTCGACGGCGGATTCGTGGTGGGACCGCCGGGGGTGGAGGCTACCGTAATGGCCAGCTTCTGGCCGGCGGCACAGTGCCTGCTGATGGTACAGATGTAGTAGTGGTCGCCGGCGGTGTCGAGGGTGACGTTCGCCGGGCCGGTCATGATGACGCTGCCGACGGCGTCGGAGGAAGTGCATGCGTCGAATGAGGACCTTTGCACTTGGAGCACGTCGTGGTTGTTGGTATCGAAGTTGAAAGCTGTTGATTATTTATTATTACAAAAAAAAAAAAAAACATTTATTTCCGCCCCAATATGTAGGAACTTGGAAGATAAGAGAAGTAAGTAATGAGCTTACTGAGAATGTCACCGACGGCGAAGGTTTTGCCGGTGGCCCAAGTGGCATAAGCCTGCGCGCCGCCCTGGGGAACAGTCCAACCCATGTTGTCGCCGACGACATGCACCGTTTGTGCCGCCGCCGTGTTGACGAGTAAGATGAATATGGCGGCTGCAGCTGCCACCGGTGAGCACGATCCGCCTAGGCCAGACAACCTTGCCATCTTTTCTTACGTTTGTAGAATGAAGTATAGCCTTTTTGCGAGTGCGAACTGCAAATGAAGTAACCTTTGAGTGGATTATGTGATATTCTGATTGGTGGCTGTGATGCCATGAGATCGATGAGAGGCTGGCTATAAATAGTAGCTAGCTGCTATCACTATAGCGTCCATGGAAGAATATTGCATGCAATGAAGGAAGGGAACTTTTCTCATTTGGGTTGCTAGACTGCTAGGCAGGAAGCTAGAAGGTCGACGGAGGAAGAGAGTAGAATTAGTCTCATAGCAACGACGCGGAAAGTCTATTGAGAACTTATCGGTTTAATGGGGACGGAAGGACTTTCTGTTTTGTGTGTGTGTGTGGCAGCAAGTAACTACCGAAGTTCAGCGGAACAATATATATGTATGTGTCAAAAACAAATGAATAATCATGATTGTATTTATTAGTCGGGACAGGATATGGTGGTAACTGTGACAATCAAGGGCAATATAAACACTGTGAGTTCTATATAATAAATCTCTCTATTGATTACATTTTGATTCATTGTGTTTTTATATGAGTAAAACACTATAATAGTAAAAATACTAGTACAAAAATATGTTACAGCAAAAAACCAATACCAATTAATACTAATTCAACCAATACTAACACCACATCAACCAATATAAATAAGAAAACTAGAAACCAAATGCCAACATAAACAAAACCCAACACCATTAAAAAAATCATATCTCTAACGTCGACATTGGCTGTAGAGAGTTGATCACGATGTGGGCAGCATGTGATTGGTTGAACCGTAGTTTGACATCGATCCACCTATGAATAACGTAACTCAAACCACTATAGGTGGGTGATTAATGTGGGTGTATCATGGGTCATTAAATCCCATATATATGTGTAGTTAGTCGGGTGGGTGGTGGATTTGGTTGTAGGTCACCCGAATGATTCGCACCCTACTTTCACATGAACAAAGTAGTTGTTTTTTTATATTTTAAAAAAGTCATGATATTTTTCTAAATGCAACACTCACTAACCATTAACTTTTGTAGACGAAAAACAAATAATATTGCTAGACTACTACTATTGATTAATATGTTGTATAATATTCACAAAAAATTGAGACCCGAATTAAAAATCATTTGTAGTATCAAAGTTGGAAAGCATCAATTTTATGTATAATTGATTAATGTAGTATTAATGAAAGATTTGGTACATTTGCCAAAAAAAGTGAAATTCATATGCATAAAGGGGAAATTTTACAATGCTATATAGTATTGGTGCTATAGGATTTTGTCTTTATGGTACAACTTAAAATTGTACATTTACGTTATGGTACAACTTCATATTGTACCTATACTTTTTATACAAATTCTTTTATGGTACAACTTGAACTTGTACCTTTATGTTATGGTACAACTTTAAGTTGTAAAGTTGTACCATAACATAATGGTACAAATTGCTTTATGGTACAACTTAAACTTATACATTTAATATTATGGTACAATTTTAAATTGTACATTAAAACACCAATACTATATAGCATAGTAGAAGTGCTCATGCATAAAGAGCCTCAATCTCTAGCTAAGAATATGTGGTTAGTAAGATTCTTTTCTTTGTGAATGAATACTTCATTTAAAATGGACAAATAAAAATTAGGTAGGAGTAAAAAAACCTTTGCACGTCAATGTATTAGTCGTATCTACGAGATACAAAGTGAGAAGGAGTCTAATTAAATTGCTATGATATTACACAAAAGCTTTTTTTTTATTACCCAGAAACTTCAGCCCCACGTGTCAAATTCAACGCTAATGGGCATTTGCCCTCAACAGCCGTGTACCTCCCGGAACACCAACGGACCTCGCTTGGATTCAAACCTGTGATCTACAACTCCCGAACCTTCACTGTCGCAACAGTTTTACTGTTAGGCTATCTTACCTTTGGTAGCATGAGTCTAAGCTAACTCTGCCTTTGCTGATATTAGTGTTGGTGTTAGCAACTTTGAAAATAATTAACAAATAAAATAATTATTCTATTATAACACGATTTAATTATGAAAGTAATAATTTTCCTAATTAAACATGACTTATTCTTAAAAATGAGGAAATATTTTGGGTTACTGCTCCTATAAATTAATAGAGCACTCCTCAGACCCTCTAAATACAATTCGAAGAGCAGAATTATATGAGAGGGTGAGATTCAGAAAGTTCTGGGTCACATACAAAACCATCGATAGAGCAATAAATTATAGAATGATTGTTTTATCCTAAGGAGGCCGACTAGGAGTCTATTGTGCACAAAAAGACAGTACCGCTAATGTATTAAAGAGAAAGATGTAGTCTGCGTCTCAGCCAAACTTAGGTAACCCTAATTTCTTTCCGGTTTCTAACAATTAGCCATGCCTTGCGGACTTTGAGGAGCACTCGCCAGACTAGAGTCTTTCCATGGAACTTAATGCATAAGGAGACGAGTAATCAACAAGTTGTGACTTTAGGACTCCAACTTATACTTTGAACATATCAACCACGCTAAGCTGAAATTTAGGTGGGGATTGGGAAACACCAATGCATATATCTTTGTCCTTATATTTCATAGCCTGTGGAGAAAAATGTGAAGTATGAAAGTTTCTTCCGCTTACTTTGATTTTTTCTTTTTGGGTGTTTAGTGGGTTTTCCTCTCATTTTTTGTCACTGGTCCTACGGGGCTATAACTTGTGTTCTCCTCCACTTGGGCTGACGAAGACTCCCATTAATGTACGGACCACTCCCCCTCTCCTTCCTATTTATGAAAAATATTAATGTTAATTCACTTAGTGGCGAATTTGTATTATGAACAGTGTAATTGTTGTAGGCAAAATCATCTGTGTAGTTAAAATTTTGACGTTTGTGACAATATTAGTCACTATTGAAAAATACTAATAATAGCCACAAATATAAAAGTTTGATAACAAAAATAGCCATCTCGGTTACATAGTTTAACGACGCCAATGACACCTTTAGTCAAATTAACGAAATGATGATCTGGCTGCCAACTCACCTTCTCTTTCTTTTCCACCTTAGCATTCACTAACGGCTAGACGACACGGCATTTACAAAAGTAAAAAAAATCGTTAAAATATTCCAGATGAAAATGTTTATCTTTTTATTATTACTAGGTTTTTGACCCGCGCTTCGCTGCGGTAAGAAACTAATTATATTTATAACTTCTTCCACTTATTTAATAATTTAGCTGAAATCAAATAATTTATAAAATTACTGTTGTAAAATACATAAATAAGTGTTAGGTAGTGTCTTAATCATTAGGAAAGATATACGTCATACATATGTCTATGTAATATTTTAATCATTACCAAAGACTTACATATTACATTTGTTTGGTTGATACATAAAAAATTAATATCAAGAAGAAAATTATCACATATATATAATATTTTGTAAAAATAATTGATTCTACAAAACCGTTATGTGTAATGCAAGTAATCAAGAGTTTATGGTAAATTTGCGAGGTTTATACAATATATTTACAATCACATAACTTTTATAGTACAGTAACGTACTGTGTGGTCTAATAATAAAGTCAAGTAAAAAAAATCAAATTTGATTAACTTATTATGTACAAAACAAATTACCTTACATATACTTAGTGCAAGGCAAATAATAATGAGACAAATGGTGAATATTGGAGCTTATATTTTTGTAATTATGTAACAGTTGTAGAATTGTGTTATAAAATCTTTCATATTATGTGATCTAATTATCATAAAAAGTTTATGATGAAAGTGAAACTGGGATCTTCTAATAATATATAAAATTATAGAATTAAGTTTACACAAATCTTTCATAATATTTGATCTAATTTGTAATTACGCAACTGTTATACAATAGTGTTACACAAATCTTTCGTATAATATGGTCTAATGATAAAAAGCGTGTTGTCTAATGGTAAAATCATATAACATTTGATTAACTGGTGTTTAAAAATCTAACTTTAGAGAACGTTAATGTAATTCTATTAAAGGTTATGGTGAAATTAGGAGAGCTTATGGTGAAATTAGGTGGAGGGGATAAATACCTCTTGTGAACTGTACATTCGGTAATAAAAATTAGGTTAAATACACTTGTATATCCAAAACTTTCACGGTTGTGCCAATAATATCCAAATTTCCCGAAATACCACTTATATCCAATTCTTTCACATCCTTTAACGGTGTTTTTGGATATACAAGTGTATTTAACCAAAAATATATTGGGAAATGGATAGATTTGGCAAAGAACAACTTTAAAACATGGATATAAGTGGTATTTCGGGAAATTTGGATATTATTGGCACAACCGTGAAAGTTTTGGATATACAAGTGTATTAAACCTAAAAATTATTTATCGTTTTATAATTTTTGCATAATTTATTTGTACTTTAGGTAACAGTTCCGAAATTACATTACTTGAGTCTTACGTAATGAATGATAACATCATATTACGATAAAAAGTCATATCATTACGAAAATCTTATGTTACATGTCTATTTAAAACCGTCCATATATTATACAATCATCTAATCTAATGACCAGTACTCTCGGAAAACAATGCACTACCCTACTTTTTCGTAAGGAACAGTGCACGACTGATTTTGGCCGCTTGCACTATTAATTAAATAATTAATTACATAAAAAAAAGGAGATGAACTCTCCGTCTCTTAATCCCCTTCTTCATCTTCTCCAATCCAACTCTCTGTCCCCTATTCTTTCGAGAATCAAATCCAGTATCTCCCATCGATCGACCAACGAACGAAGCGATCGGCGAACCCTGCTTTTCCAGATCTGATATGTCTTCTCTGGCTCTTGTTCTTCGACGAACAAAATCCAGCCGCAAACAAGGCTGAAAACGACCATCCAGAGCTCTTACTTTGATTTTTTCTTTTGGGTGTTTAGTGGTTTTTCCTCTCATTTTGTGTCACTGGTCCTACGGGGCTATAACTTGTGTTCTCCTCCACTTAATGTACGGACCACTCCCCCTCTCCTTCCTATTTATGAAAAATATTAATGTTAATTCACTTAATCGCGAAATTTTATTATGAACAGTGTAATTGTGCATTACAACTTACAAGTACCGCCCAAGTAAAATGTTTCTAACGTGCTGGATGGTTGGTACAAATGGCCTTCTTCTGGTCTCAATATTTTCTCTCAAATCATACACCTAATTGAATGCTAATTCATAGAGATCACAGTGAGATACACTTTTCAGCCAAAAAAATTTACACTCAAGGACAAAAAGTAAAATTAAAAAACCCAGCTACGGTGATCAAAATGAGGCGAATACTTCAATATTCATACTCATTCCGCACTAAATGTGATTCAAATGATAACAATGTGTTTACTACTAAAAAAATTACTTGATACCACATTGATTATTTTCAATGAGTGGTAGTGGTTTATAAGGCCAACTTGACCATATTAATTAAATTGGTTTAAGTTGGGCCTAAATGATGGAATTTTGGGCTTAATATGAGGTATCTCAACACACACCCCTTGACCCACCAAACACCCGCCTGTCATGCAAGGGGGGTCAAGCGCTAAGAGTCGACACCTTTCAATGTCAATCACCCAAGTCGACATGGTGAAAGCAGAATTTGGCTACCCCAACGTGATGTCATTCAAGAGGGGTCAATCATGATTCATGCAAGGAGGGTCAAGCACAAAGCACCATGGCTGACTATCTACCGTGTACTAGGGTGTCAAGCATTATGTCATACGTGCAAGGACATCATCACGAGTAGCAGGCATGTTATGCCTCATGGGTAGTTATGCATGGTACATAGTATACAAAGTCATTAAGTGTCTAAGCGTCAGCCATGTATATCATCACATGGTAGACCACCTTGTAAAGACAATGTAGGCTGTAAGCATGATGCTACCCAAGGGGGTCAGTGCGCATCCATCAATCCCCAAAGCACCTTGGTCTCGAGCATTGCGTTGTGCAAGGGTTGTCGAGGCATCCAAGTCAAAATGAAATCAAACGAGATACCTCCATGGCACAAGTTAGCTACCTGCTAAGTGAAGACGTCAAACTCTCAAGGTACCGAGTGGTATGCGTGCAAGCAAGGTGGTTAAGGTGTCAAGCATGCTACATCTAGCATCTAGCAGTGAAGTAGCGATTACCAAGAGGCGGTTACACGACAGTTACAAGTGATGGCTATAAATAGGGAAAGCGAAGACGAAGCAAGGGTTCCACAATAAACCATTTGACACACAATGTCAAACTTTTATCTTTTCTTTGCAAATTAGCCATATCCTTAGTTTTCAGAGCTCTCACAGAATCTCCATAGGAGTAGAGTAACGTAACTTAGATTTCTCAGCCATCAAAATCATCAAACACCCTCGTTCGTATATTCTTCGGAGAGGTGTGAACCATGTTGTTAATCGTTGTTCAAGAAGTCAAGGTGCAAATCATTGAATTCAAACACCAAAAAATTTCCTCGTCTGGAAAACATATTGGCACACCTGGTGGGACACTGTGTGTTTGATTTGATGGCTCCACGACTGAGAGAACGAGAAGGTGATCTTTCACCTTGATATATAAAAGAGCTAGTGGTCAGGTATGATCTTGGCCAATTAGCAAAAAGTGACATCGAAAATAATGGCGGGGCAAGAGGTCAACCATCAACGGCCCCATGTTTGGGTGTAACCGCCACCACCTTGTCTCTTCACCAGTCACTGGTTGTAGAAATACAATTAATGGAGGAGGCTGTGATGGGATACACAAAACTAATTATATCACAACTTGATTGTTTTCGTACTAGTCTAAATCGACGTTTGGATGAGATTTGCGAGATAAATGAATATAATTGTAAGAAGTTTTGCCAACTTTTGATTAAACCAGTGTTGAGATTAAAGGTTTTGGCGAAAGATGGTGTAGATCCACCTTTCTACTGGGGATACGAGTGCTCTAAACTTCAGTGTCTGTACTACTCAGCCACGGTCAGACAACTCATTGTTTCCGATATTAAGCAATTGCCTATACATACAGTTACTTTAGAAACTGCCTCGGAGGCTAGACCATGCCATAATGTGAAAGTTGGTGGAGAGCCACTCACTACATATGTGTTCCCGCAAGCTTGCCCAACACCACTACCATTCATGCCCATGAAGCCTGATGAATGCCAACCGTTAGGGGGTTGAAAGGGTGGTATGGAAGCTTACAACTTGACAAGTTGACGGTGAAATGTCAGGCTGGGGGCATGTTGATGGCAAGAAAAATGGAAAAAGTGATTTTTCTAAGGACTCACCACACTTTTCAAAGAAGTGTGGGAAGAAGGGCATATCTCCAGCTCAATGCAGTAGTAGGCAGGGAGGCATGTCATCAAACGTGAAGAATGAAGTGAGTGGAAAGTCTAAGCGGGTGTTGCGTACCCATGCCACCCATGATTTTCATAACTTTTAGAGCGTGTCAAAGAGTGGACAATGAGGCAAGTTCGTGGCTAAGGCTCCGCATAACATGCCAACCATGAATGGTCGACAGGGGGGCATGCATCAACCACAAATAGTGGACAGATAGACATTCCCAAGAAGCCACAACAAACCCGAGGCACACATGCTTGTAGTAAGCATGATAGTTTATCCAAGTGTGGCAAGGGGGCACGTCGACAATCATGAAGAAGGGTATGAGGGCATATCTCCAACCAGTGGACAAAGGGGCATGTCACCGACAGTGAAGAAACAAGTGGGGGCAAGTCTAGGAGTGTTCATCACACTCAATCCCTCTATGATTTTCACCATCACGAGAGTGTGATGAGTAATAGACAAAGAAGCCAGCCTATGCCTAAAAGCCCCCATGGCATGCCTGATAGGCAAGAGGGCATGAATAATACACATTGGCATACACCAACCAGGCATGATCTCACAAAAGACCATGACTGGTTATACTTTAAGTGTAAAATTCGAGTAGGCATAGGAGTTGAACATACTCAAGTTGGCCACATGGGTAGTCGTCGATTCGTTAAACCCAAACACCCGTCTTCCCAACCGTGCAGGGAGAGTAAGCATGTGCCAAGTTGAGGTAAACTAAGATAGATGACAACTCTTGGCCCCTTTGATGAGTCGAAGGAGTTGAAAATGTATTGTCAGGACGAGGCAAACACATCGGGTTCAACATCAACCCAACATGTCTAGTAAGGTGGCTAAGGCAGAGGATCATGAGAACCCTTTCAAGCCCACCAAGACGGGAAAATTTGAGAGGGTGCCATACATTGTTAATTTGAAAAATTTGAAACCAACACCAAAGGAGTTGTTTCCCCTAAAGGAGGGAAGACAAGTAGTGTATGGATGGTTGGTCTCGTTTAATCCAAGGACTTGGCAGTGGATATACTCCTTTGGCACTCTGGTGGTTGCCAAAGGGTATGAAGAGCAATGACTTATGTCACTCCTTACTATAATAATTAAATATAATAAACATAAAATAGAGAGAACAAAAATAAAATCTCAAGCCAATCATGGCTAAACAAAAATATCGATGTGGCAAGTTGAGTTAGAGTTGTAACACTTGTGATGTGAGGATATTGTCATAACTGGTAAACAACAAGTCACGTGGTTGGGTCTATGGAGCCTCCTACACTCATTTGATTGATGTGTACACCATGCCACTTCATGACATTAGTAGCTGACTAGGTGTCCAACATGGATCGTTACTTTACATGCCACTCGTTCAAAGATGTCTACTTGTTGAAAGATGATGGTAAGCTACTTGATCAATTGATCAATGACAAGTATCTCAAGCCTTATTTCTCTTTCCTTTTTGTACATGAGATGTCAACTGGTTCAAAGTTAACCAACCACCATGATAGCCGGCATGCCAAGCCTCCCACACGCTAAGCCATGACATGATACTCTTTTGATAAAATATGGCTTGAGTAGCTAGCCATGACATGGAAGGAAAATTGAGCAAGTTAAGTTTTATTTTCTTTGCTGGGACCTAGCATTCTACAAAAGGCTACGGGTGCATAGCTTTGTAATCAAAGCAAAAATTTGACTAAGGAAGGTGGTGACGAGATAAGTGTATTTAATTTTGCCTCGCGGTCGAGTGGTAGAGGAATGAATAAGGAGATGATTTGTTCATTGTCACATGTGGCTGTGCAAGCTAGCTATGACAAGGAATTAGAAACAAAAAGCCTTCCCAAGCTCTACACGATGGCAATTGGGTAACTATCAATCTTGTGTTTTATTGGTTTTTTTATTAAGCCAAGACGTGAGCATGATACGGTTTATGAGTTATGGGTTTGATGTGGGTGCCCTAATGAAGGTGGTACTTGATTTTTAGTGGTCTTGTTGTTGTTAACTACTTAGTCCATAATCCTTACTAAGTAGTTGGGGGCATTTATTTACTACTAAAAAAATTACTTGATACCACATTGATTATTTTCAATGAGTGGTAGTAGTTTATAAGGCCAATTTGAACATATTAATTAAATTGGTTTAAGTTGGACCCAAATGATGGAACTTTGGGCTCAATACGAGGTACCTCAACACACGCCCCTTGACCCACCAAACACTCGTCTGTCATGCAAGGGGGGTCAAGTGCTAAGCGTCGACACCCTTCATTGTCAATCACCTAAGGCGACATGGTGGAGGCAAAATTCAGCTATGTATGGAGACCCAACCACAAGGGGGTCATGCATGACGTCACACAAGGGGGGTCATGCATGATGTCATGAAAGGGGGTCATGCACCAAATACCATGGCCGCCTACCTACCTTGCACTCGGGTATCAAGCATGATGTCGTGCAAGGAGGGTGATATCAACTACCTCAAGACATGGAAGAAGGCAAATTTTTGCTAAGTGTTGAGACTCAACCACAAGGGGTGTCAAGCATAGAGGGGCCAGCGTGATGTCATGCAAGAGGGGTCAATCATGATTCATGCAAGGGTGGTCAAGCATCAAGCACCATGGCTGACTATCTACCGTGTACTAGGGTGTCAAGCATGATCTCGTGCAAGGACATCATCACGAGTAGCATGCATGTTATGCCTCATGGTTAGTTACGCATGGTACATAATATACAAGGTCATTAAGTGTCTAAGCGTCAGTCATGTATATCATCACATGGTAGACCACCTTGTCAAGACCCTGCAAGCATGATACTTGTAACATTGCGTTGTGCATCCATCAATCCCCCAAGCACCTTGGTCTCGAGCAGTGTGCATCCATCAATCCCCGAAGCACCTTGGTCTCGGGCATTGCGTTGTGCAAGGGTGGTCGAGGCATCCAATTCAAAATGAAATCAAATGAGATACCTCCACGGCACAAGATAGCTACCTGCTAAGTGAAGTCGTCAAGTTATCAAGGTACCGAGTGGTATGTGTGCAAGCAAGATGGTTAAGGTGTCAAGCATGCTACATCAAGCATCAAGTAGTGAAGCAGCGGTTACCAAGAGGTGGTTAGACGATGGTTACAAGTGATGGCTATAAATAGGGTAAACGAATACAAAGCAAGGGTTCCATAACAAACCATTTGACACACAATGTCAAACTTTTTTCTTTTCTATGCAAAATAGACCTAGCCTTAGTTTTCGGAGCTCTCACCGAACTTCCATAGGAGTAGAGTAACGTAACTTAGATTTGTTAGCCATCAAAATTGTCAAACGCCCTCGTTCGAACATTGTTCGGAGAGGCGTGAACTGTGTTGTTAATCGTTGTTCAAGAAGTCAAGGTGCAAATCCTTGAATTCAAACACCATTGTTTTCCTCGTCGGGAAAACACAATGATATTAGACATGTTTAGATCCTTTTAATTTATGTGTCTATTTGACATTCAAATGACGAAAAACTCATATTTGAATACTAGCGAGAGACAGCGAGCTTGCTAAGCTTTAGGTGAAATTTTTCATCAACAAACCTCAAGAAGGAGTGGGAAAATCAAAACGTAGAAAATGAATCCAAACTTGAAGTGTTTTCCCAATAGAGATCATCCTTGTTGCTGAGCATATGATGATTTGGACCGAAGGGCGGGATGAGATTTCGATAGCTATTCTGAATTATCATCAAGACTTATACAAAGAGCTGTTCACCAACCGTCCTTTTCCAGCAAGCTATTGTGTTTCTAAGCTGGACAGGGTTGAGGCTATTGCCATTGTAAAATCATTTACTGAAACTGAAATTTGGGAGGCTGTACTCGATAGTGATGGTGGAAAATTCTTGGGACCTGATGGCTTCTCTTTCGATTTCTATAAGAAGTGTTGGGGTTTTTGGAAGAAGGAGATCATGGATGCTTTCAATGAATTCTTCCTTGCTGGATATATTCCCAAATCGACTACTCGCTCTTTTATTAGCCTTGCCCCTAAACGTGATTTCATAGAGGAGGTTAAGGATCTTAGGCATATCAGTCTCATGGGCAGTGTCATTAAACTTATCAGTAAGGTGCTAAGTTGCAGGATGCGGGGAGTGTTTCCATGAATTTTCTCCGATAACCCGCAAGCTTTGGTGAAGGGGAGACAGATTACAGAAGAAACATTAATTGCCAACGAAGTGATTGATAGCAGAAGGAGGAGTGGGAAATTGGGTTTATAGTTCAAACTTGATACCGTAAAGGCCTTTGACAAAATTGGGATGTCTATTCAAGGTTTTGGCAAAATTGGGATTTCCTCCTCATTGGCAGCAATGGGTTCGTGGAGCGATGTGCTCTCCGTGCATTTCTATCTTGGCTAACGGTGAGTCTACCGGTTTTCCCCCCTCACAAGGGGCTCCGCCAAGACGATCCGCTTTCTCCGGCGCTCTTTGTTCTCGTCATGGATATTCTATCTTTGATGCTTAACAAGCTCAGAGAGGGGAATGGGATTAATGAGTTTTTCATGGACGAGGATCACTATAGAGGCGAGGTTACTCATCTGCTATTCGCAGATGATACCCTGATTTTCTGCGATGCTTCGGCTGAGCAAGTGCTGAATATTCTGGCTACCTTGGTGTGTTTCCAAGCTGTTACAAGCCTTAAAATCAACTTGGAGAAGAAAATGATGTATACTGTGGGTGATGTGCTGGATCCGAGCTTTTTTGCTTCAATCTTTGGCTGTAATTAGAGTTCCAACACTTGTATATATCTTGGGCTGCCGTTAGGAGCTAAACACAACATGTCTTCTATTTGGGAACCTATTGTGACGAAATTTCAGCAAAGGCTCGAAGGGTGGAAGGGTCAGTATCTTTCTGCTGGAGCTTGACTGACCCTCATTAGTGCAACACTTCCCAACCAGCCTATCTACATTTCTCCTTGATCAATGGACCACGTTCTGTTATTGCCAATTTGGAGAGAATAGAGAAGATGTTTTATGTGGTGCGGAAGTGGTGATTCTATGAAATACCAATTGGTTCGTTGTGACATTTGCAAAACTTCAAGGAAGTGTTGCGGCCTTGGGATTACTGACCTCACTATCATGAACAAGGCCCTTCTCGGTAATTGGTTGTGGAGATACGACTCTGAAACTGAGAGTTTGTGGCGGAAGTTAGTTGATATCCAGTTTCCAAATCCTGATTCTATCTGGCGGACGACTAGTGCAAGTTCTGGTTTCGCAAGGTCAGTTTGGGAAAATATCTCTAGGGAGAATGGGGACTTCTTAGAATGGGGCTTTTTGGAGCCTGGCGAAGGAGGATGGGTCTCTTTTTGGCATGATTGTTAGATTCCTGGAGGCACCCTTGCTGAAGCCTTCCCTCGTGTTGCTACTGCCGTGCTGAACTCTGCAGGTCAGGTTCCTGACTTTATGTCTAATTCTTGGGAGGGTGAGAGGTGGGTTGTTCCTTTGAGGGTTAATTTGAGAGGGGGTGCAGAGGGCGAGATAGTTTCTTTCTTAAATAAGCTTAATTCTATTGATACCAATTGGGTTTCTTGTGGACCTAGTAGAATGGTTTGGCCCATTTCTATCGATGACTAGAATAAACACCCACGGCTACGCCGCGGTGACTTAAATTATATCAATATCATTTTCTAATAAGTAGTTAGGAGATTGTATCGGTGACTTTCAATGGGAGCAAACATCACACTGAAAACATTACCAAGAGAATGCTCAATAATTTACCTAAAATGGTCAAAGATAGAGCCTGCATCATACCACAATCCAGTTGCAATCTCATTGTCCACGTTCTGCACCTGTTGTGCGACAATTCCTGGTAATTTGTTGAAGAAAACACCAAAGATGTCTTTCCTTCCTCTGCAGGTTGAGTTTCATCATTTAGAGTATTTCCTTATCCTCAAAATTATCAAACTTTGATATCCTAAAAAAGCTTGTTGATCAGAACTGTGCCACCACAAACAACGTATTTTTTTTAATTTGATACTGATCTCATTTCATCTAAATGAGATAAGTGAAAAGATGCAATTCAAACTCAAAAGTAAAAGACAACGGTAAATGACATCAATTCAGTTGCATGTAGAAGAGCATAAAGGTAGAATGATAGTTAAGAACATATGAGGTGTAAAGAAAGGAGATAACCCTCTAAATAATAATAATCAATCATAAGCAATCATGAAGTTTTCATTATATCCTTAAAATAACATCTTCTAAAAATCTTCTCCTGAAACTTGATTATGAAGTTGCACAAATCCAACACAGTGACATGAATACATTATGACTTTGACAAAATGGCTTCAAAAGATCACTAAAATCAACAATCAACAAAAGTCATTTATAGCACAATCAAAACCAATTTCCATACTGAAACAGATACAAATATTTTTCTCTAATCAATCGATCATTGCAGCACAACCTCTTACAATTCAAAATATATAGCAATTTTGGAGTAATTGGATGTGTCAAGTTGCTCCCGCAATACAGTGTAGTTGTATCATTGGAGAAACCATAAGCAACTTTGTGAATGTAGGCGATTGTGTATATCCACCCTCAAGCTTCATCTTCCTGTGAATGAATGTTAATACTTGTACCATCCAGGAAAAAATTAAGCATTATTTTTCAAACTGCTGTGAATGAATGTTACAAAAAGTTCTTTGCAGAGCATACAGGCCAGTCCAATGATTTGAGTATGCTCTTCCACCATTAATTCAAAATGTAATAAAAAATAGTAAAACATCCATCTTTAATCAAGTTGGGAATTAGGAGGGAAAGGAAATTTCATTAGCAATTAGTGAAAATCAACCCACTTCGGCCAACATATGAGGTCTTAGAGAAACAATATACCGTCCGCTATTACCCTACCCAAAAATGACCCTTAATAGAAGTAGGCACTCAATCAAATGTCACTTACATTCTTCCAAAAGGAGCATAAATCTCAACCTCAATAAAAAAAGAACAAATGATTGTCAGACAGGTAGATAGATCAATAAGTATATATGTTATGCACTTGCATCTTGTCTCAACTATTGGAGCTGCCGAGAAAAGTACCAATCAATGCTTCTCCAATACCTGCTATTCATCATCAAGGGCCATCTTTCGGGCACCAGAAGTTTCTTGAGAAGGCTTGCTGGTTTTATCCTCTTCCACCACTGTTGTGGTTATTCTAGTGACCAAGGAGAGCCCTCCAGGAGAAGTCAAGGTAGTGCTTAGCTTCTTGTTCCACCACTTTTTTGGGTTTACTAAGAGAATTAATTATAAGAGTTATCATGTAAACCTTATTGCAAGTGGTTACTTGATCATAAAAGTATTATCTGTTAAAGTGAAGCGGCAACTGGAGACACAGGAAGTAAAACCTACCAAATGATCTCTTGATGCTATGTCTCGTTAGCATAAGCAACCATCTCCCTTGCCTTCTCACCTGCAGTACCAACCATAACAAAAAGAAAGGAACAATAAGCAAGCACCAGATCGCATCTAAAAGTACAGATAGAGATAATCAATAACAATATCTAAGTCAGCGAGAACAATAAGGATGGATGCAAGTTGTGATTTAGAGAATTTTTAAGAATGGAAGCATAATGTATATATAAGTCAACTTACTGGGTCCAAGATCTTGTTTCCAACAGGGAAGAAAAGAAGAGTGGGGCACCCATCAGACTGCAAAGGGTCACAAAGATGAGAGCAGATTCAGTTTGTTAAAACATTCATAATCAAAGACATGCCTTTTTATACCAAGATTCAACACCTAACTTCCATTTGGTTGCTGAGAAAACAATGGCTAGAAAGATTGTAGAGAAAAGATTGGAACTTTCTAGCCTTACTATAGCAAACACCTGTCCATTGTTGTTCACCTAAAAGGGTTAGCTATTTCTTTGAGAGTACCGGAGAACAGAGACTTACCATGGGAATGCAGGGAACTCCATCTCCGTTTTCTCACTCCACAATCCAATCTCCATCTAACCCATTTTTGCATCCCTCTTGAACTTTGAAAAGAAACGCACCAGAACATAATTAGTATTCAATAGTGGGAACTGTGACGGGGGAGAGAGAAATGGACGAACAGGAGAGGAGTGGGGCTGAGCAGGTCGCTCTTCCATTTATCAAGAGGAGCAGGGGAGGGAGCGGAGTGGGTTGGTCAGTGGTAGAGTGGCGTTCCCGGTAGAGAGTTCAAAGGAACTCAGCATGGTGAAAGGACGAAAGGACAAATAGGTGACCCGTTCTTGCATATTTCCCGATAAGACCGACTAGGGTTTGTGTACGAAGAGCATGGTTGTTGATTCGACGTAGGTGAACCGGCGACAACACTTTAAACGGCAACCACTCTGTTGTGGGGAGCTTCCTGCGTGAAGAAATAAAAATATTTTTTTTACTAAGCGACGAAAAGTGAAACAGTAGCTAAAAATTGGAGGCAATAAAGTGTACCCAACTTTTATATTTTAAAGAATTGTTTTTCTGTTAACTCTTATTACAAGCGGTTGCAGGAAGATACTTTCCCGTGTGATCTAGACCTCCCTCACCTCTCAGTTTGGAAGCCGGTCATTCCTCCTAAAATTTGCTTCTTTGTTTGGCTAGTGTATTACAAGAAAATATTAACTCAAGATTGCTTGAAGACCCGTGGATGGATGTTGGCTAATAGGTGTGAGCTTTGTTTTCACAAGGAAGAATCGGCTAATCACTTATTCATCGACTGCAATTTTGTCCATGAAGTGTGGAGCAGGGTTAGTTTTGTTGGTCGAGGTGTGTTATAATTAAGTGGAGACATTGCGACAACTATAAAGGATTGGCCGAATCACAGAGATGGGTCCATTGGTGATTGGATCCTTTCTTGTCTACTCCATGCGGTGTGCTGGGACGTATGGCTTGAAAGGAACCGACGCATCTTCCGTCATGAAAGTCGATCGACTACAACAGTCTCCAAGCAAATCGTTAAGTCAGCTCTGGAATGGGTTGTTGCTAATGGAAAAGTTGAGAAAGATTAAGGAACACAGTGGCTTACGGACAGGATTTGATGGCTGGAGTTCGACTCCTTAAACTGTCTCTTTTTGCAGCTCTGTGCTTCTTTTTGCAATTGCGATTAGATTCTGTTGGTGTTCCTTTGTTTGCCTTATGCTTTTCGGGTGTCTTTTGTTTCGTTGTTTGTGGCCTCCTATTCTTCACTCTTTCTTTCTTTCCTTTTTTTTCTTTATTTCTATTTGGCCGCCTGGGTTTTTTGGGCAGACCCTCACCTCTTGTGAGGTTTGTTTGTACGTCTGCTGGAACACTTTTTTTCATTTCTCTAAATTTAATTTAATTCTCGCCATTATCAAAAAATAAGTAGGAGATTGAGCCAGTAATGGTATTTTTTGCCCTATTCAGAGTTGATCATAGTAAAAAAAATTCTCTTACAATCCATTGCCCTCCTCATTGTGGGAATAACTAGGTTATACTATCAAATACCATGATGCTCAATTAGAAAATGAGGGCAAATCTTCGCACATATCTTTTACTCTTGGGGAAACCTTTCATAGTTTGAGATAACATGGCATCCAACGTTAATCCCTCGAAAAATTTTGTAGGACATGAAGAGGTGGTTTGTTTCATGAATTTGAGACATGGATTTTGGTCCAAGTCTATAATCATCAAATGTATAGATGTGGGATATGGAACATGGGTATAAACCCGTGGGGCCATTATAATAACTTACTTGTATATCCTCTTGACCTTGTTACTGTTATGTATACAATAAATAAATAATGATAGTTGGGTAGTTTACATACTAAAGCTATAAATCCATAATAACAAATCGATGAATAAAATCCATTAAACAAATATAAAACTTTTCGAATCTATAATCAACAAATCCATCTCAAATTCAAGGTATTCCAAATTTAACTCAAAACTCTCATGCCTTCAAATCCATAAAGCAAACGACCTTGAAATCGTGCTACCTGAGATAGAGTGGATGCTTAGTAGAAATTTAGTTGAAGGTAGAGTTGAATGACCTGTAATTTGATGGCAGGTGTAAGGCAGTTTGAAGAGGGGATCGTGTGTCTAGCACGTGCCTGGGTTTGATGAAGACGACTCTGTATTTAGCGATTAAGAGGAGAGGGCAGCTAAGCTAACTATGGCCTTAATTGACTCAAACAATTATAATCTCACATACAATCAATTTTGGTAACTCCTAACAGAAATCCCAATCCATCATTTAGTAGCTACCCTATTAAATTATTGATTACAACTACGTGTTCTCCCTGAAAGAGCGAGATGGTAAGACTTCAAGCATGTACTGTTCTTATTTCTTAATAGCTGAACCACTGATACGAACTCAAAATGTGTTGAGCTACCCTAATAAAATGGAAACCATTAAATTAGTAGAGCTACCTTAACCTGGATATCCTAGTCACTTGTACACCCCAAACCCACGAATCATCATCCCAACCCCAAAATAAGAAGAACAAAAAGCAATGCTACAATGCTTGAACGAACCTGATTGTTAACAGCCTTCGCCATGGACTCGAACTCCTTCCTCGTGGCCGACTTGTACTTCAAATTGGCAGGCTTATTCTGCTTCTTGGTCTTCGTGGTGGTCAGCACAACTGTTGGAAATGTATATGAATAGCTTTGAAAGCTATAGAGTCTCAAGTGGAAAAACTACCACATTGGTAGTTTTACTTGGTGAAATGGGTATAAAGATAGGAGCCTCTCTCCTAAGGGCATGCCCCTTGGGGTGACCCACTTTTGTGGGAGAGAGAGGACCTAACGGACCACCACACACACACGCGCGCGCCGTCCGTACTATCGATCGGTTGGTCAGTTCACTTGAGACTACATATATATTTTTGAAGAAATTCCGAACGAAATTAATTATTTAATAATTAATTATTAATCGGTTATTCTGAGGAGTATTCTAAGGATAATCGACTAAAACGGAATATTTGAAGATCCCACCGGATTTATCTTAACCGACGGTTTTAATTAAGGAAGTAATTATCTTCCTTAATTAATCCGACTTATTCCCCATTTTGTTGTTCCGTTCCTAACAATTTTAAGACGTTCGACTGCTGCTATGTCGACTGAACAGAACAACATGGCCGGATCTGGTGCTGTCGATATCAATCGACCCTTCCGCTTCGTTGGGGTCAACTTCCGTCGCTGGAGCCGTTTGAGATGGTAATTCTCGTGTTTTAGGCCGATTTCACGCTAGGTTGTGTTTGTTTGTGATATTTCAGGTCCTAACAAGTGAATGAAGGTTTAGGAGCGAGTTCGGGGTCGATTGGACGAAGATCGGGCGCGAGGCAAGTCACAAAGGAAGCCACACGGGCACACACACAACTCACACGGCCGTACAAGTGACCAAGGAGGCCGTGTGGGATTGTGCGAGCCTTCACACGGGCACAAATAAAATCCACACGGCCGTGTGAAGTTGCAATTTGGCCGTGTGGAATTCTGCGAGGCTTCACACGGCCAGGCTGGGTGAGTTACACGGCCGTGTGCCCCTGGCCGTGTGGGAAGCCTGAAACCCAATTACTCGGAACACGGCGTTTTGACCTCACACGGGCAACTGGGTATGCCACATGGCCGTGTGGCCTGCCCGTGTGAGTCGGGAATTTCTGGTTTTTACCCAATGTCGGGCTGCAAGTGAGGGAATCGAATTTTCAGAGCAAAAACAGAGCCCTAGAGAGAGAAAGTACGAAGAACACATCCTAGAAGCCATCTTGGAGCTGGGTTTCATCAAATCGAGCTTGGAGATCGTCATAGGAGTGGAAATCATCATCCCAGAGCAGATTCTTCCCATTGTTATGAGTATGACTGCTTTGTATTCTGTTTCCCCCTCTCTCTCGCTCTATGGAGTAGAAACCTTCTCTCACTTGGGTATGAAGAACCCTAGTTCCATGTGTTAGGGATTTGAATGTAATGACTTGGGATGATTATACTGTTTGGTTTTAATCGGATGATGCATGCTTATTGAGTCAATTGAAGTCTGATCAGCTTTTCCTGATTTCTGCTGCAAACTGAGATAGATAGAATCTGATTAGGTTGTTAGAGCCTCATCATTCGATAGTAGGAGATTGGCTATACGAGAGTTAGCCAGTTTACTGCTTTGTACTGGAATCCAATTCCAGTAGTGGAGTTATGTGCTTATTGCTTCAGCTTTCTATCCCGGTGAAGACTAGTCGTTTGCCGGGTAGTTAGACTAAGAGGGCTTGGTTAGCTTAAGAGATTCCAAGCTACTGTCGGATCTTTCGCAGTCTAATCAACAGTAAATCAACCCAGAGAAAATACAATTGAAACCTAACTAGGGAGCTAGGGGGACTCATTCCCGAGTGACTCTTCTTTGCTTGAGAAAACCGTACCAATTCCTGCTTTCTTTCTGCTTTTGCTTTAAACAACAATCACTTAACTTAGTTGGCTAGATAATAGATAATCACGGAGTAAGCAATAGATCTAGACCTCGGGTTGATAATAGAACTTGCCACTTTACTGCAATCTCAGACTGCGATTACACTTGGTCGCAGTTTGGTGTTGTGTTTTGGCGTGTCAATAATCCATCCATACATAGTGGGGGAAACCAAGTGCCAAATTCAGTGTGCATTATCATAAAAGGTTCGCTACTTGGAAATTCAATTGTATAGATATTACGGTACTGCACATTACCAACATTCCAAGGATCAAATCCTCATCCTACATTACAGGAATTAAGTAGTCAACAAGAACCTCGTTGTTGAGTTGAACGCTCATCCGACATACCATCCATAGATCCAAGGTAGATCTCAAACCCTGACCATAAACAAATATGTAATTGGAAATTCAAGTTCAATACATTGGTTACTAGGAAAGAGCAGAATATAAAAGATATGGAAAAGTAGAATTCGAAACACTTAAAAGCTGCCCGGGTTAGCTCCTATATCTGGCGGTTTTATCATGAATGGTTCGAATATTGGGTCGACTTCGCCTGCTGCTGCCATTTTTTGGAAGAAAAATAGAAACTTTGCTGGGTTAGTTCCTTTTGCTATTACTGCTCGCATAGCCTGTTCATACTTTGGGTCAAACCCTTTTGATAGCAGGAACTGCATGCATTCTTCAACCACTGCGTTAACAGTTACTTCCGGTGGCATTTGTAGCATTGAAGCTTTTAATTCCTCGAGTTGCCTCGCTCTCTCTTGCAACTGATTCTTTTCTTCTACCAGCTTTAGATGTTGCTCCCTAATTCGTGCACAGTCACAAAGATCGCATGTGTCTTCTGGACATGGCCTTTCTAGATTGAGCTGTTCAGGGTACGAATAATCATAAAAGTTAGCGTTCATTATAAAAAGTAGTGTTTGTATAGATAGTATTTAGAACAGAATAAGGAACTAACCAGCTGATGAAATAAAGAATTAAAGGAAACCGGTTTTTGGCTGTGTGCATTCATCATCTCACACGAGCTTTCCATGTCCTTCTCACACATTTTCCTATAATATACACAATTATATTAATTTTCGTATTCATATTTCCTAACAAATCTCAGTTAATAATACAGAGAACATATCCTCACGTTAGGAGTGCCCCAACAGTCTTGTATGAATTCTCACTGTACTATTGGTGAAAGAAAAGAACTGGCAACTGAGTCATAACTTGTTAGGTTGAGTGAAGTGTTCGCTACTAGTGCAACTGAAGATGAGATTGCCACAATAGATATAGAGGTACACTACGTTACCAACCAAAATAGAAAGTTATAATTACGTCTGTCCAACATATCCAACACTGTCCAACCTGAAAAATGAACTTGAACTGCAGCTCCTTCCAATAAATTGCAAACTTATATGATGGTGTAGTGCACTACAAAACAAGCTTATATGATGGTGTAATGTAATACAAACTAAACTAGTCTCTAGAGTAAGGTCAACACAAGTGTAAGAAAAGAGAGAATCTGGAACGTTGGAACGGCAAATGCAGCTTCAGAAGGAGAAGCAAATTTGCATTCAGAAAGTCGCTTGACAAGATTGTGCTTGGTTTACTAAGATCCAGACATGCAGTGTTTAATGAACGAAAAAGAGGGCCTTCAAACTTACAAAGGATCATATCAAATCATGAGGTCGAAATCCTATAATTTGCAGGATAGCGTGATATTGCTTGTAATGTAAGGACATTTTTAAGAGTGTACTTAGATAGTTCTTTGTTATGAGATTTCATGTTGAAAGCAGGTATCAAGTTTATATTCTTAAAATAACAAGAATAGCATAAAAACTGAGGTTATAACTACCCTTTCTCTTTTACGGCATGGAGATCATTAGAAAATCTACACTCGATGCTAAATGATCCTTATCTTTCTCTGGCTGAAATTCTTATGTCAACATCTAAACATTCCAGCCGAGATTTCATGTATCCGTGCAATATCAAAAGATAGGACTCAGAAAGAGCTTGAGAGTTAAAGCACAAACCAGAAGTTAGCTGGAAAACCGAGAAGAATTCAAATTTTAAGCAGACAGAGAATCGTCCAAGCAGTAGCAGACCTGGAGGGATGGGGATGAAAACGGAAGAGGTGGAGCAAATGCAGATTGAAATGTCAAGCAGCTGAATCTGGAACTTGACCAAAAACCATCGAACGAGATCATGAGCAGGTGTTGCAGGGTAAATCCTGAAAGCAAAAAGAAGATGAATGTCATAAGCAATGTGATGATGACCAGCAAAAGTACAATTCCTCATTGGTTTCCCAACATCCATTCGACAGCAATGGTTTCAGCAGCAATATTCAGAAGCCTCCCCTGAGATACTAATCTATAATACGAAAAGGCAATATCATGACAGGTAAGGGGCAATCCACAGAAACCCAACGCCCAAAAGGACGACAGTACCATATGAGATAAGGATAATATTAGAAGGCAACCTAATTAAGCACCGCATGGAAGACAAACCCAGATAAGCCGAAACAAGCAAAGCAGACAGCGGGGATGAAGAAGAAAAAAGAGCTGCAGTTTCGTTAACGTGGGGGAAAGGATTACATCATTGGTTCTGACATGGCTTCCCTTCATGAAATCATAGTACAATCACAATAATGGAATCCACAGCAGCAGTAAAAGAGAGAGGGAGAGCGAATGCGATTCGACATTCTACCTTACGCAATTTCGGGAAGCAGCGGCCGTGAAAGTGAACACAAGCAGCTTTGTGGTTTATTCACTTTCAGTGACAGAAGTCTCCCCCTCCCGCTATCAAACCATGAAATTCGAAGAATCTGTAATCCCTAACATTTTCCCCGCTTTGGTAAATTTTGCGTTTTTAGGGGTCGGTTTGCTTGTTGGATCATGGATTTGGTACCCAAATTCTAAGTTTGATGGATTTAACATAAGTCCATTGTTTGTTGAAGGGTGTTAAATTCGTAGGGTCCACGGATTTGGTCTTTATTTTGGAACTAAATCCGTGGACCCCACGGACTTGTAAATCCCACATATTGATTTGGGATTTGCAAATCCTGGTTAGTTATTTATTTAACAAATTCATCACAAATCCATCATCAAATCTATCATGCAAACATTAGATTCTTCAAATTCATAATCCAATAAATCCAACATAAATCTCAAGGTTTTTATTGGCCAAAACCTTCATTTTTCAAATCCAACAAGCAAACCACCCCTTATTCTAAATTTATGTAATTGGGTTGAAGCCTGAAGCAACAACCAATATTGGGCGGGCTTCTGCCCTTCTACGCTACAACCATTACAAGGAATGAAGGGGTGGCTCAAGTAATGCCATCTAACTATTGTAAGGCTAACCCAATAATGGGCCCAAAATATGTTATTTCGGACCATTCAGCATATTGTTTTGGGCCGAAATCTGTAACGTATCGATATTCCAATACTAAATACTGAAATTTCGAATATTAAATAGCACCCTAAATCCAATTTCAACCCAAAATAAATTTAGTATCCAATCTCAATCCCTAAAATTTTGTTCGGTGTTAGTATATACCAAATTTATTTCCTTCAAGATTACAAATCAAATATTTTTTTTTTTTTAACAATAGATAGCTTTTATTACCAAAACCAAAAGATAACACTGTTTACATCACAAAAGAATACCAACGATCAAAATCAAAACTCTCCACACTAGCCGGCAACAAAGAAAGGGTCTTCCTGGCCACCTCATGAGCCACCCGATTGTTACTCCTGCCAACAAAAGCAATGTCAAAACTCGCAAACCTCCGCCGAATCCCACCAATCTCCTCCAAAATCCTTCCCCCTCGCAAATCCCTAGTATCCGACCGCTGAATCTTGTCAATGACTACCTTTGCATCCCCATAAAACTTCACTTCAGTAAGACCCTTCATAGAGCACCACTGAATCGCATCACGGAAGGCTATCAACTCAACTAAGAAGGGATCCACCAGACCTGCATAGGAGAAACCTTTAACAAAGCAAACACTACCCATCGCATCTCGGACCACCAAACCCCCCGCACCATGAGACCCCGGTGCCACCGCACCATCCACAAAACAGGAATACTGTATAACATCCGGCACCTGCCTAGGCCAGCCACCACCAGTCATCTCCCCACCCAAACGACCTGACTCTTGCTGCCGCTGAGCCGGTTGCACAACCGCCAACCATTCCCTAACCTGACTTTCATACTGCCGCACCAGCCGCGGAATGGCATACTGCACATGATCAAAAACTACCCAATTTCGGCTCTTCCAGATTCTCCATAACAGCGCCACTAACCGAACTATTCTCTCAGTACTAGGATTCTGCTCAACCAATCGACGAAAGAACAAAGCGAAGTTACCAGTTTCAGGAAAACTTACCCCTCCGCCAAAGCCCGAGCTATCCCAAAGCGCCCTAGCCACTGTACACGAAAGAAACATGTGCTCCAAGGTCTCAATCGGCGCCCAACACACCGGACATTGTGGCGAAGTCAACTCTTCATCCCCAGCCTCCTCCACTACCAACGCTGGCACCTTTCCTTCCTTCTCAATGATCGCCTCCATGGTGGGCAGAATACGCCGCATCATTTGCCAGACAAAGAACTTTAATTTTGGCGGAATGGGGAACTCCCACACCTTCTTCCAAAAAGTACTGTAAAAAAAGGACACCTCATCCTTCCAACCTGGCAACTTGCGACTAAGAGAGACAGCTAGATGATACCCCGACCTGACACTATACTCCCCGTCATTCTCCCGCGACCACACAAGCTTATCCCTCACCGGCTGCACCGGCAATGGGATGGAGCAGATTCTAGTAACAACTTCTGCCGGGAAACACTGTTGCAGGCACTCTAAACACCAACGCCCCATTCCCGGGATCATTAAAGACTGCACCGTCGCAGCCTCCAAACTAGGTGCAGAAGATCGACAAACAAGCTCCTCCGGCCTCCACCCCGGAACCCAATTGTCCCCTAACACCTACACTGAAGCCCCATCACCTATCTGCCAAACCAACCCTTGCTTCAATAAATCCCTCCCATGCAATATGCTAGTCCACCCCCACGAAGGCCTCGATCCTCGACGCGCTTGAAGAATATCCGATTTGTCAAAGTACTTGCCCTTCATGACCCGAGCCAAGAGAGACCCCGGCTCTTGTCCGATTCGCCAAGCAACCTTTGCCAACAGGGCTTGGTTAAAGCTTTCAAACCGTCGAAATCCAAGGCCACCATCGAATTTACTCCTGCAGAGATTCCTCCAAGACACCCAATGAGCCTTATCCTTGTCCGCCGAATATCCCCACCAAAATCTAGCCATGTGTTTATCCAATTTACGGCAGAGCGTCACCGGCAAGAGGAAACACGACATAACGTAGATCGGCAGTGCAGCCGCTACTGCTTTCAAAAGCACCTCCTTCGCTGCCCAAGACAACTACTTCTGCTTCCAACCTTGAAGCTTTGCAAGCAGCCACTCCTCCAGATATCGAAAGGTCTCCATTTTAGACCTCTGAACCAAAGAAGGGAGTCCCAGGTATTTATCCTGTACTCCTATGGCCCCGACACCAAGGATTGCCGCCATTTCATCAATGTCACTGGGATCAACATTACGACTAAAACAAACAGCCGACTTACTCAAGTTAACTTTCTGACCACTCAACTCCTGGTAGTCCCCCAATAACTGAACCAATGTCTCACACTCCTGTTTTGACGCCCTCAGAAACAGGTAAGAGTCATCAGCAAAAAATAAATGAGAAATGCTCGGACATCTCGGATTAACTTTAACCCCCGCTAATCTCTTCTCCCCCACTGCCTGTCGCAACAAAGCCGCAAACCCTTCAGAGCATATAGCAAATAACAGAGGGGACAACGGATCCCCTTGCCGGAGCCCTCTCGTCGAGCTAAAGTAACCTGCCGGCGTACCGTTCATCATTACAGAAAATGTCGCAGTTGACACACACTCCCGGATCCAACCAATCCATTGGTCATGGAAACCCATCTTAGTCATAATTGCGAATAAGAAATCCCACTCTACTCTATCATAGGCCTTTTCCATCTTAGTCAAATATATTAACGCAAATACTAGCTCCACAAACCATTCTAAAAATATATAAAAACAAAGAATTGAGTGGTGCTAACACTCGTGCAAAAGGAATAGAAAAAAAAACTCAACTATAATAACAACACACGAGAAAAATGCGGTGCCTAAAAAACTATTGGGAAGAGTTTAACCAAATTCTTCTTATCACTAGTTGTATATGGGGGAGACATTCTGCATAGATCTCTACCATGTGTCACTAATTTGACAGTCAAGAGATATAGGGACAATGCATAAGTGATGCATTTTCTCTAAGGTCTTAATGATGTACATGAGGGTGTTAGGACCAATTTGTTTATGATGAACTCACTTCCTCTAAGAAATTGCATTCCATTATGTCATTCAATTACGAGAGGCAATTGGCTGCTAAGGAAACTCAAGAGTCTCAGGTGGATTCACGGGCACTTATCGCGTCATTATTATCACAAGGTAAAAGAAAGCAATCCATCAAAGAAAACTTGTTTTGTCCATACGACAAGAAAGACAATCATGTTATAGCTGATTGTTTTAAGCTTAAGAAGAAGAACAAAGAAGGAGGTGGTTCTTCTGGAGGGTTTGCTGGACAGTTGAAAACTAATGATAGATTTATGAAGAAATTTTGTCTACGCCACAAACTCAGTCTGCTGGGGGATGGGAAGTGGTTACGCTAATTTAAAATTTTCCATGGAGGACATTCACAAGCTATAAAATCTACTTGGTCAACTAAGCTCACCATCCTTACCTACTTCCACTAGCTCTCCTCAACCTGGAACACCATTAAGGTAATCACAAAAACATGTCCCAATGAACTCAGTGCACAAACATATCTATGCAACTCCTAATGTTGATGTGACTTGAATCGGACTATCAGCCGCTATGACTGTAAGTTAAGGGGGTCTCATTGTCCGGTCAGTGAGTGGGGTCCCGGTTGGCCCCCGGCCCACAGTGTATGAGCTCAATGTTATTTGGGTTCGGGTTCTGGGCATGGTTGTAATCGCTTTTCCTTTACCATATTGGGTTAGGGATAGACCTAGGAGAAGTAGTATAAATACTCTCATACTCCTCTGTAATCTGTATCTCCTTGAAGTATAGTGAAACTGGCTCTCTCCTGTCCGTGGACTAGCTAACACACATTGTGAAAGTGAACCACATAAATCGTGTGTCGTATGTGTGTGCGCTTTTGTTTCTTGCATTGTCGAATACTTCTATTTCCCGGTCCGCAGATCAACAGTCGTGACACCTAACTATGCAAATAGATACACTTTGACCACTTACTATCTAGGGTAAATACAATGTATTAGCCACAACTATTAAGTAGCGGGAAATTATAATCATAACTATCAAAATACAAATTATTAGCCATAACTATTGTTTTGGGTAAACAGATAGCTAACAATCCTGTTACCGTTAACCATGTTGCTTACAGAGTTCCACATCAGTATGGAGTGGCGACCCACGTAAGATATCATTAAAATAAATTAATTTTCTTTAATTAATTTATTATAAAAAATAAAAAATACTCTTCCTCTACCAACGCTCCCTCCCTACCCTCCCACTCTTTCTTTCTCTCTTTTCCCTCATCTGTTCCCAATCCCCTCTTCAGCCACCACTACGACACCGCCGACCGTCGAAGACCTAGTGACGAAGATGTGGTGCCAGGCTCGATGAGCGAAGGCCTTCTCTTGTCCATGGAGAGAAACCCCCAAATCTAAACCACAAATCCTCAAACCTCACTAAACCCAATCTCTTTCCTGAAAATAAAAAATCCTCAAACCAACCTCATCACGCCCATATCCAAAACCCCTCTTCTATCTCTATCGGTGACGACCAAAAGAGCTGGCAGAGTAGTTATGACGGCGGCAGATAGTCCCAATGATGATGGCAGCGAGATTTGGGCAGAGGAAGATCGGGGTAGTACCCGTCGTACCTGCTTTGGTGAATAGGGTGGGGAAGACAAACTGGGTCGGGACTGTGAGGGTCAATTCGAGATGGGGGAGCTGATTCCGACGAGCTGACCTTCGACAACCAGATTTGGTTCCGAAGAGCTGTAGCTACTTCCTCGGACGGTTTTCACGGTGGATGTCGATAAGCAAATCAATCGGCTCTCATTCTGGATTATCAAGAGCCGACAGCAAGATGGTTACCGGCGTTGAAGACTTCCCCTCTTTGTCATCAATTTGCCAAACCGAGCATCTTCTCTTCGCTGCGTCTTCTAGTTCATTTAGGGTTTTGCCAATTTGATGATTGTATCAATGGATAATAGCCATTCTTCTCCTGGTATTTAGAAGGGATTTCTTAAGCAGTAGAAGGATTAGGGTTTAAAGGAGGAAGAGAGGGTAATGGAAATTGTGGTGGTGGCGATATGGGTTCTGTCGATCTGCGGGGAATAATAAGACAAACCGTGTTTTCTTTTTATGATTTTCATTTTTAATGTTTATTTTAATGAGAGTGGTATTATTTTTATCTAAGTGGAAGTACAACAAACAAAGGCTTACAAAAAATTAGTGGGTAGCCGAGATACAATCTGGGTCCCCAGTCCCTTAGCTATAGCAAAACTAAGTATAGTAAAAATGTATGCGGCCTCCCGACCCTGCATCCTGAGACATGGAGAATTTTTGGATCCTCTTGAGTAAAGCCACGACATCCGTATCCAACTCTCCCAGCGAAGAAAAAGAAAATGGTAAGAAACCATACCCAACAGTCATACACAAGTCCCGATACTTGGCACACTTTCGCTGAGCAGCATCTGCAACAACTCGGCCAGGCACAAAACCAGTCATCCCAGTCTGATTCAGAGGTGAAGATCCAGTCAAATCGACACACACATCTCGTCCCCTGTCCCATGAATAAAGCAGCAAATCCGCAGGACGAAGGGGTCACCCATGCCAATCAACCAAACCGATATCAAGTTCTCTACCAGCAGAAATCCCAGACCTATAACAGATGTCCAATAAGGTGTCACAAATGAGGTTGTGCCGATGCTTAATACCCACAGAACCAGCACAAGACACAACATGATCCCCAAAGACATCACCAGGAAAGACACGGGAACAAGCCGGACAGGGCTTAGTTACCGAAAACAACGGGACACCCAGTCGTAACTAAGCACACTACGATATGTCCTCCCATTCATAGTCTGGTCCAACCCAGCAATAGGAACAACAGGCAACCAATCAGAAGAGTGCGCACACTGTTGAGACTTCCACAAAGCCACCTGGCACATAGTCAACGAGAAAACAGATTCTGAAGTAGTAACAACCTTCGCGAAATATATGTCTGCCAATTTCTTCATAATTTTTGGGGCAGCAACTCCACTAGGGTAACATAAGAGATCAGAACCTGTAAACTCATTAAAGGTGCGTAGGGCGTCATCAAAAGCAGGGCTAGAGGATAGAATACCAGAAGGACTTAGGAGCTTAGCTTGCAACTCCGCGGACTACAAACGAGACGCCAAAAAAGCATAATGCAGGACATCTCCAACAGCATAAACCTCAAGCTCGCCCAAATGAAAAGGTAAGGTAAGGTGGCTAGCCGCCACTGCCAATCATCAAACCCGGGTCCAGAAGCATTGACAATAAGTTCTAAACTAGACCGCAGAGTTGTGTCAAAAGATAGATGGGGTGACCCGAAAATACGAGGGGAGCAAGTCCGCAAAGCAAAGTAGAGTTAAGAAATACTAGTACAGGCCCGAAGCAAAAGCAACTCACACTGTGGGTCATCAATCCTCGCAACCAAGTCCACCAACTCAATGCTCTTAGTAACTCTCTTCGTCACAAACTCACTGCTAAAATTAGGACAAGAACTTACAGAACCACCCAGAATGGTGACACCGTGTGGAGGCCGAGCAATAGAGGCAAGGAAAACACCCGGAAGTCGACTCCTAAGATCCCCGGTAGGCCAAAAAATCTCCGTCTTACCCACACTTATGTGAAGGCCAACTCAAGGGCCTTCATCCATAATCATGTCTAAGACCTTCCCAACAACCAAAGTGTCCCCCACAACAGTGCCATCATCCAGATACCAAGCCTGCATACTCGGATCAAAAGAGTCTCTGATCTTGCACACTAAAGGATGCAACACCAAAGCAAAATGCAAAGGGCCCAAAGGGTCTCCCTACTGAACACCCTGGAAAGACCATAAGCTATGCGTCTCATAGTACAATAGTACAATCGGGTTGGGCTAGAGTAACAGAACTCTACCCATCGAGACAGGACCAGACAATGACGACGAACTTCCTGAAGCATGGCACCACGATCAACTAAATTAAAAACATTCTGGAAATCGACGAGCAGCATAGAAAGATCTACGTCGCCACCGTGGGCCTCAATGAATTGGTTCAAGGCATGAAAAATAGCCTCTCCTCCACTAGAAACCTCGACCCCAAACTGAAGACCAGCAAAATAACCAGATAAATTAGGGCCAACAAGACAAGCACCAACCTTGTAAACAAGACGTCTCCAAACAGTGCCAACAGCTATAGGACTACCACCCCTTGGTTTAGGAAGTGGCGTGAGCGGAGCGCTAGCAATGTACTCACCAAGGGGTTGCGGGCATCGACCCTCAAGAAAAATATTGACCACTCGAGTAATAGAGGCTAGCAAATCATCCGAAATAGCCACAACAACACCACCCAAACAATCCATAAGATGTTGAGCTTGAAAACCATCCCTCTCGCAAGACGTACCACGAGGGAAGATCCTAATCATATCCAAAACAACGGCCGAAGAGGCAACAAAAGGATGATGATCTATGGGAAAAGTCAGTAATGAGGGAGATGAGGCGACATGATGCTTATCTCGCAGGGCCAGAAGAGTGGCATCAGAATAAGGGGCAATACCGGATGAAGAAAGCACTCGAACAACACAAGTATAATTCCCATCACAAATCTTCTTCCGACATTGGCGAAGGTTGAGCTCCCCCAAAACAAGATCCTCCCCCACATCAAATGAAGGGGGAACCTCATTTAAAGTCTCTCTCAAAAGTTACAAACTGCCACCTAACCCCCAAGCAAGAATAGCACGGATAACACTCTCTTCCTGACGAAGGCGCCTAATAGCGGACCGACACTGAAGATTACTCCAAAGAGAAAAGGTCTTAAGCACGCAGAGATGCAACACAAGTAAGCGAATCCAGCAGGAGAGGTCACCAGGAGAAACACCCACATCATCCAAATTCCCTTTCAGAACCCTCGCAAAACCAAGGCAACACTTAGGAGGGATAAATTCCACGGTGCGAAGACCTATAGAGAACAAACGATCAAGCAAAGAGATAGACCAACCCACAGGCTCAACCCTAACATCAGATGAGAGAACCGACGAAGACGGAGCCGGAGATATGGGAATATCATAAATAATAAAACGAACAAGGCCATCACCATAATCTGGAGGCTCCACAAAAACATTCTCATAACGCCGACATTTAGAACGGAAGGTGTGAGTACGAAGACATACCCCACAAATCCAAACCCCCATCCGCTTTAGAGTAGTTTCAGCATTAGAAAACATCGTCAAATTATCAGAAAGTGTTTGACGTGTAAGAGCCATAGCCTCACCGCGATAATGCCAATCTTTAAAGTGTTGGAGCAAGGAGGATTTAGTAAGACCCTTCCCTCGACCATCTTGACACCCATGAAGGCCGACAAAAGGACAGTGATAACGAACCAGAGCGGACATGACAACACAACAAACCCTGCTACACTTCTGCCATGTGGTCACAGAGACAGCAGGACTCCAAAAACCAGAAGGTACTCCTCGTGTCCCCCAAAGCCCGAGAAATAATCCAAATGCACTCCTCTGATACAACTGCAAACCCTAAATCAAAGGGAGAGGCAGCCGAAAAACACTGAAATCCGCCGCCGGAATAATGCCGCAAACCCTGTCATTGGAGCAGCGCATCTTAGCGGTGGCGGCTTGGAATTCGACGGTCGCAGTATTGTCTTTCTTTTTCCCGCAATAGCTTGTTTCTTTCACCTGACGCCGCCGGTCATCGATCAATCCCCATAATGGCAACAAGAAAATTGCAAGTATCGCCGGCAAGTGATGGGACTAGAGAGTTAGTGTAATTGAATTATTTTAAGTGCCATGTCACAAAAAAGCATATTGGAAGGGGTGGGAGCCAATTCATCATTGTAAGGCTTAGTCAGCAATTACTAACGGAATTTTTAACGAAGAGTTAACTCTTGACTAATAATTTGTATTTCGATAGTTGTGGCTATAATTTCTCGCTCTTAATAGTTGTGGCTAATAAATTGTATATACCCTACTGTCTAAGGCATCCATAAGAGCTTGTCAATGTTTGTTTTTTTAGAAACATGAGCCATTGACCATGCTACTTGATCTTTAGATAATTTCATTCAAAATATCATATATTAAGACACCTCAGCAAAATGTTAGAGTAGAAAGAAAAAATCAAGACATCATCAATGTTGCCAGATCACTTAAATTCTAATATGACCTTTATTTAAAATTGGTCTGAGTGTGTTCTAGTATACATGATTAATAGGTTTCCCTAGTTTCCATATACCATAAAGCCCCATATGCAATCTTATATGGCTCACCACTAGACCAGTATGGAATAAGGTTTTTGGTATCTTTGCTATGCTAGCACAACATCACATAACCAAGTTTCAAGCATGAGCTAGGAAATGTGTGGGTTTTGGGGTTTCACATGGCATTAAAGGTTATAAATTGCTTGACTTCACTCATTAAAAGGTCTTCAATTCTCGTGATTTGATTTTCCATAAAACCGACATCCCACATCTTTCTCATTCTTCTGAATCTATTGATATAGAACCCCCATTTCGAGACTATCATGTTTCCTTCAGGTCACCCTATCACCACTGTTGATCCATTTAGTCATATGTCCCTCCACCTGCATAACATGTGTCCCACTTTTGAACCAACCTCACCTTCACCTCCCTCTCCTTCACCATCACCGCTTCCACCCTATACTACCTCACCTTATTCCATACATTCAATCACCTATTCTCAATATTGGGAAACCCGAACCGGAGTCTGAACTGGTATTGACAAGCGGTTCACACTTTAATTATTAAAAACTATAAGGCAAAAAAAAAAAGTTAATGAACCCATGTCTCATAAAAAAAATTATATGTACTACACATATTAACAAACTAAATCGTAAATATAAAATAGAAAACATTATTGATTACTCTTAAACAAATTTAAAAAATAAAACATGAGGTTATGGATTTTTATGAAAAACTAAATCATTATGATTGGCTGTTGTCCTTTTATTATCCTTTTTAAAAGAAAAATTCTTTTTTATTTTGATTGTTACGTAGAGACTAGAGAGCATAGAGGGCGAGAATATAAAAGCCACAATTATTATTTACTAAACAGCAGAAAAATAATTTATTTAAGTTCTTAATCAGTAATTAGTTACATTCCCCATTTTTATTATTGAAATTAAGTTACATTTCCCCAGCACCCCGCATGCATCGAAAATGAATAACACTTCCTTCTAAGGTTGTGAACCCGTGGGTTGATCCGAACCCGGTAGAGCTAGTGGGTTAAGGGTTAACGGGTCAGTCGTTTTAGCCCGAAAATATGGAAAAGAGTCATTATATATAATATATTATACTTATCCTGATAAATTATATAAAATCTCATATAACATATGAGTAATAACATATAACATTACACCAAAGTAACATGTCGTAGTTAGATCCAATATATAGTGAAAATTCACACACACTTACATAACATCAATATTCAAATGTTCAACTAAGAATTCCAATGATTGAGTTAGGCGAAAAGAAAAATCGAAAAATAGGCGCATTTCGCAAACCAAAGAAAAAATGACACAATTTTACCTCCAACCCGATGCCTTGTAGTGGTCGACCCGGCGGGTGCGTGCGACCCGTTTTTCTCATCGAGTCAGCGTCAAAGTCGCGGATCGACCCCGTGGGTTGACAACCTTGCTTCCTCCAAACCCACTAAATGCATATCCTGAAGTATATAAACTATAAAGAGAAGGGTTTTAAATATGGACAGGTGAAAAAGTCACGAACCGGCTGATCGGGGAAAAAATCCCATAATACACTTATTATTAAAAAAAATTCCCAAAATACAATACTTATAAAAATATTTCCCAAAATACAGCAGTTTGGTTATCACTGCTGCAAACAAAAACAGTGATGGAAATCACCGTTTTTTACCAAAACGGTGATAGCATCACTGTTTTGGTCCAAAGCGATGATGCTATCACCGTTTTGGACCAAAACGGTGATAGAATCATCGCTTTGGACAACAACAGTGATGCTATCATCGCTGTTGTCAATGACGGTGATTAACTCACCGTAGATTTGAGACGCGGTGAACATCTTCACCGTTGAATCCAAAAGCGGTGAAAGTGCGCGGATCGCTGACGTGGACGCGGGCGGGGACTTCACCGCTGAAGACCAAAGCGGTGATAGCTCCGCTTTCCACGTCAGCGATCCGCGCCACCCGCGCGTTCACCGCTGCCGTTGGATGCAGTGAGGCGCGGATTGTGGTTTTTTTCCACGATCCGACGCCTCACGCCGCGCCACGTCAGGTATCCAGGCCATCACCGCCTTTGTTGGACGCAGTGATTTCACTGCTTTCGTCAGAAGCGGTGATTGGTCCCTGGTAATTTTTCCAGCGGCTCTTTCCCCCTTTCCCCTATAAATACCACTCCCCCCCCCCTTTCCAAACCACACCAAAATCTTATACTTCTTTCTCCCTCCTTTACTTTCCTCTAGTTTCGTTCTAAGTATGCTCTGTGGTTGCGGCTAAGTCCGATCTTCCGCATCAGAAAGAATTACTAGAGTTAGTTTTTGTTTTGTTTTGTCGATACTCTCGCTAGCTTTTCGGCAAAAAATGGACGAAGAGGCTTTGAGAGTACGTAAATTAATTATATTCTTTTGTGATTTTTTTTACATGGGTGCTAAAATTTAAATTGATTTGATTTTATATTTTTTTATAGATGGGTGCTGAGATATACGACCCTCGATTGTATATCGATCCTGGCCCAAGGGATCGAAGGTATTTAACCGGGCAAGATCAACATCGCTCCCGTTCAATTTGGAACAATAATCCGGTAGACACTAAATTTATTTCAATAGTTTTAAAGTTTTTATTTTGTTTTCTATTGACTGATAATATTGTGTTTTTTGTTTTGTAGGAATCACTTATTCCCATCGCTCATCAAGGGACATGTCGATTGCCCCGTTGGCATGATCGACTGCAGCCCTATATAGAGAGGACGGGATTGCACATGCTGAGGCACTTTACGAGACTTGATATTGACAACGATCTGCTGACGGCAATGGCAGAGCGATGGCGCCCCGAGCTGCATACCTTCCACTTTCCCGAGGGTGAAATGACGATCACCCTCAAAGATGTTGCCATCCTCACCGGGCTCCCGATCACCGGAGATGCCATCATCGACAGCTCGAAAAAACCGGATGATGGTTGGGGGCCGTTGATTCTAGAGCGTTTGGGGTTCAACATGCCGACCACCACGCCCGTTGTCAGATAGTAACTGTATCATCATGTTCACCGAGTCATCATCGTTTATGACAACTTTTTCGTACACAACTCCGCCAGCACTCATGTTTGGATAGCGGTAGGCGATTTGACCAACTCTCATTTGCCCGCCCGTACAAGTCCTTTCTGCACAAATGTCATGAAGTTCTTGCCACGAGAATCTCGACTCAATTTTTAGCATAGTGGATTCGCCATTTTCATAGTCGATGCCAATGTTCGAGTTTGTCACCCGACCATTCCACCGAATAATAAGCCGAAACTTCTTAAATTTAACCATGTCTGCAATTTATAATAATTAAGTATAGTATATAATTAGTACATTGGGGATACAAAAACAATATCATCCAAACCCATAAACAAACGCATATAATTGATCTATCATGAGAAAACTAAACAAATTCATCTAAATTCATAACTAATTCACTACTACCATATCACAATTAATCTAAATATATCATAATATATTTTCCAATAACCGCAATTCACTAAATACAGACATATAATTACTAACACATCAACATGTAAACAATACATAATTATAACATACCGACTCCCGATCTATCATGAGAAAACTAATCAAATTCATCTAAATTCATAACTAGTTAACTAACATCTATCATATCATAATTAATCTAAATATATCATAACATATTTTCCAATAATCGCAATTCACTAAATACAGACATATAAATTACTAACACATCAACATGTAAACATTACATAATTATAACATACCGAATCCCGACGAGTTTCTTGAGCAGTAAACCAACTCCAAACCAGCTGAGAAAACGACTAATAAAACACTAATTTTTGTACTAATTTTCTGTAAAGTAGCAATAGGGGAAGTGGAGGTCAGTATTTATAGAAATTTTTTTTTGCAATCACCGCCTTGGACAAAAACAGTGATGTGTTCACCGCCATTGTCCTCAGCGGTGATTGCTTGGTAGCTGTGACCTAATTTCCACCTACCAGGCCGGTAAAACGTGTCAATTATCACCGCTTTACACAACAGCGATGATATCATCGCTTTACACATCAGCGATGATAAGGTATACTTTCACCGTTTTAAACTAAAACGGTGATTGCATCACCGTTTTGGTAGAAAGCGATGATGCTTTCATCGCTTTTAACCAAGACAGTGATGCAATCACCGTTTTGGTCCAAAACGGTGAAAGGATCATCGCTTTTGTCCAAGACAGTGATAGCCAAAGCGATGATACTATCACCGTTTTGGTCAAAAACGGTGATTGCTTTCACTGTCTTGGTTTGCAGCGGTGATAACCAAACTGCTGTATTTGGGGAAATAATTTTATAAGTACTGTATTTTGGGAATTTTTTTTAATAATTAGTGTATTATGGGATTTTTTCCGCTGATCGGCTCAGACGGGTCTGGTGATTAACCGCTGGAAATCGACCGGTAATTTCGAACGCAGCGGTTATTAGGCTGTTCTGAGCTTGTTTCAATGCTGGGTCCTGGTTTCACCGGTCCGGCCGATTGGCTCGGCCCGATTTTAAAAACATTGCTTATTCGTAATAGTAAAATAGCATTCCCTATCTCTAATGATTTTCAAAACCTAACAATTAAACTAATTTCAAACTACCCTGAATTTTCATTGATTTTATGATTGTAAGTGTGGAAAGAGTCTTTTCAGCTTTAGGTTACATCAATAACATGTTTAAGAATCGAATATGCGATCGGTTCGTGAATGATTGTCTAGTAGGACATACAAAGATAATTTTTTTGAGCAGTGTAAACACCAAGTGTATTCTACAATTATTTCCGAATATGAAAACACATCGTGAATTTTTTTTTAACTTGGTACGAGTCATGTATTTTCCTATTTAAGAATTATTTGTTTTTTTAGTAATGATTTAATTTTTATTCATTTATTTTTTAAAAGAGTACACCCCTATGAAAATTTTTTGGGTCTGCCACTGCCTACATGGCTTCTTCCAACCAGACATGGGTTGCAAACTGTTTGTACCATCTAGCTCGAGCACGAACAATTGTCGGTGTGGGGCTGACTCGATATGTTCGTCTGATCTCGTCGAGAGAGAGGAAACCTATGGAAAGTCGGGGGATTCCCCCCTCCCTCCCCCCCCCCCCCCCCCCCCCCCAAAAAAAAAATTAAGCTCCGACAATCAAGTCAGTTTATGTTTAGAGTGAGTTGAGAGAATAATGTAGAGAGAGAGAGTTTAGAGAGATAGTAATGTCTTTAGTTGGTGCGCCACTGCTTAGTCTAAGTTTGGCTTAGTAACACCCCCAACACTATGCTAGTGTGCCACAATGTTGGTGCACTACTACTTAGTCTCAGTTTGACGTCATTAGTATAGTCTTCAGTTGGTGCGCCACTATGCTAGTGCGCCACAATGTTGGTATGCTGCTACTTAGCCTCGGTTTGTGTTAGGGTTGGGCGTCACTATCCTGGTGCGCTACTACTTAATCTATGCAATACGAGTTTAGTAAACCCCCCCCCCCCCCCCCCCCTCCCCACCCCAAAAAAAAAAAAATTACCCCCCAAGTCTGTGATGAGTTTCAGCTCATCTCCAGCTTGTTACTGTTTTTTTTTTTTTTTTTTTTGTCGAGCACTCTGGATGGACCCATGTATCCCTAGGCCCTAGTTGCCCCCCAACTGGTGGTGTGTCAACATGACGTGGTGCTAGTTTTATGCACTTTGACCCCCAGGTGGTGGATTTCAGTAAGGCGTTGAATACTCGCTCTTTGGAGATTCTTCAATGCGCTTTGTGTTCTCTTTTATAAAGAGAGCTTAAGTAGTCGAACGTAAAGAGTCCTCTTGAGTAGCTGTATGTGAACTGCATTTACGCGAATGCACTTTTTTTGTTTGTCATTGACAAAGCAGTAAAGAGTCACGTTTGTGCTCGTTTTTTAAACAGCTTCTCGCCAGTGGTTCCCAAACTCACCACTGCTTTTCGAAGCTTCAACTCACACAATATCACAATGACTAATCTACGTTTTTGCATTATAGTAGTTCAAGAAGCTCTATCTTTTTGGTGTATGCTGATGATACCATCTTGGGCGGTGTTGATCTTCATTCTGTCACTTTCTGAGCAGTCAATTCACAATTCGTGATCTTAGCACCCTCGTATATTTTCTCGGCCTCCAGATTTCCAAATCAAAGGGGGGATTGCACATATGTCATAAGCAATGTAGTCAAAATCGAGTTTCTACGTAGAAACGTTTTGGTGATCTAGAAATGTAAAATCGTAAGTATTAAAGCGGCGTTTTTAACTACATAAGCTATAAAAATTGAGATTTTGTGTAGAAGCATTTTAGTGACCTAGAAACGTAAAATCGTAAGTTCTTAAGTTTTAAAACGCGATTTTGACTACATTGGTCAAAAGAAGTATTGTGGAGATCTCTTGGAAGACACTGACTTTGCATAAGCCAAACTCAATGTCCCTCCTATTGACACGAAGACTCGTTTATCTACTGATGATGGACCTCTCATTGATAATGGCACACTTTTTAGAAAGATAGTGGGACGTCTTTACTACCTGACCATTACACGTCGAGATATCACTTTTGTAGTTTGTCAGAAACATATTCTTTGGGGGTTTATTTGTCGTTAATTATTATTTGGGACTATTGGGGGTTATTCGATTAGGTTAATTATTCGAGTAGTTAGAGGAAATTAGTCGGATTATATATATTGAGAAGGTTAGGGGCAAGCAATAACACAACAATTATTCCCTGCGTCTATTCTCCCTCAACCCTAGTCGAACTCTCTCTCTCTCTCTCACCCTAGCCGTCGGCCACCTCCTTCCCGGAGACCGACTTCTGCTTCTTCCTCACCTAAATCCCTGTTCTTCCTCATCCAAATCCCCAATTCGCATATCAATCCCAATCTCTAAATCACACACCTAGATCAGTGTTCTTTCATAGTCTAACAATTATGTCAGTATCGAGATTCACCTATTGTCAATCATCTTTAGCTTGCATACAGAGTCCTAAAAGACCTAATGTATTTACCATGCCAGGGTTTGTTCTACCCATCTTCCTTTGATCTTAAGCTAAAAGGATATAGTAATTCAGATTGAGCTTCATGCCCACATACAAGGTGAGCCACCACTGGCTATTGCATTTCATTTAGAAAGTCCTTTTATCATTTGGAAATCTAGGAAACCAGGAACAATATCTCATTCGTCCTCGGAAGCAGAGTATAGGGCCCTTACTCAGCTTACGTGTGAAGTAGTTTGGGTTCAAAGACTTCGACAGACACTTAATGTTGAACATCCTCAACCAGTAGAGCTTTTCTATGACAATCAATTAGCGATTTATATTGATGAAAACCTAGTTCTTCATTAAAGAACGAAACACATTGAAATCAATTGTCACGTAATTCATCATTTTCTACAGTCCACAGTTATATCACTTGACCTCCTTGATACAAATAATTAGATTGCATACTCATTTACAAATGCATGAGCATTTCATACTTCAATACTTGTTGTCCAAGCTGAACATACAAAACTTGTATGCTCAGCTTGGGGGGCCATAAAAACAGAAAATGAAGCTAATGGACCATGCTCAGTTAGTTGAACCATGCTAAGCTGATGAAGGACTTTGGATCATCCTCATATAGACGAACCATACTTGGTGCTATCAGACCCATTGACATAAAGCCAACTATATTTGCAGCAAGTAAGGATAGAGACCAAAGCAGATCATTCAACTTAGCACCAAGCTCATAATTTATCGTAAGTGCCATGAGTCGTCTTGTTATTTGTTAGGTTTTTTAATTTGTATAGACTAATTGAGAATGAGTGAACGGATATGTATATATTTGCCCTTGTGGCAAGAGCCCCTTTGCAGTTTCTCTCCAATTTGCCTCGTTATCAAATTTCTTATCAAGCCCTCCCATGAGCGCCCATACGAGAGGCACTCTACCTAAACCGAAGCAAAAAACAAACGAAGCAATCCATCAACCTGGGTACATGCATATTTCCATCCTCCAGACAGTGCGCAGCGCAACACATTTACAGTTCCTGGGGTAACCAGCGCTAAACAGCATAAAGCCATCCAACAAAGGCCAACAGAGCGCCCCAGTATGGTCATTCTTCATGGTATAGTGCGTCACCTCCACCGCAAGGTCGCCTGCGTCTCCGACGGCCAACCTCAGCACATAAAGGCAGAATCTCAAACTCTGATCATAAACAAATATGTTACTGGAAATTTTCATACTTTGGCTACTAGGATAAAGCACAATATAAAAAAAAAACATTGAATATTAGAATTCGAAACACTTACTAGCTGAGTAGCTGTCACGGTTGGCTCCTATAGCTGGCGGGTTTTATCATGAATGGTTCAAACATTGAGTCAACTTTTCCTGATGCTACCATTTTCTGGACGAAAATTTGAAACTCTTCTGGGGTAGATCCTTTTGCTACTACTGCTCGCATGATCTGTTCAAACTTTGGGTCAAATCCTTTTGATAGCAGGAATTGCATGCATTCTTCAACCACCGGGTCAACAGTTCCTTCTGGTGGCATTCCTTGCTTACGTGCTTCCCTTTCAATGAGTTCCTTCATTTTCTCTAGCAACCGATTATTTTCTTCTACCAGCTTTCGATGTTGCTCCCTAATTCGTGCACAGTTACAAAGAGCGCATGTGTCTTCCGGGCATGGCCTTTCCAGATTAAGCTGCTCAGCGTCAGAATGATCATACAAGTTACTATCACAGGTTGTATTTTTATAGATAGTATTTAGAATAGAATACGGAACTAACCAGCTGATGGTACAAAGAATTGAAGGAGATTGGTTTTTGGCTGTTTACATTCGGCATCTCACTCGAGCTTGCCATGTCCTTCTCGCACATTTTCCTATCATATACACAATTATATCAATTTTCTTCTTATCAAATGTTAGTTAATCATATAGAAAATATACCTTCACGTTAGGAGTGCCCCAACAGTCTTGTAAGAAATTTCACCCTGCTTTTGGCGAAAGAAAGCAACTAGCAATCAAATCATACTTGTTAGTTCACATGCATAAATAAGAAATAATCTCTCATATCATTCAAGTGAAAATTTCACTGCCCAAATTACCTTGTTTTTTGGGGCTAGAAGAAGTAAGTGTTCTACTTCATGGTTAGGTTGAGGGAGAAAGTACAGAAAGTGTTCCACTAGTGCAACTGAAGATGAGATTGGTACATTAGATATAGAGGAACAACTAAGTTACCAACCAAAACAGAAAAGTAAAATTACGACTGCCCCTATAAATACAAAGTACAAACTCTGTCCTTCCGATAAATTGCAAACTTATATGATGGTGTTGTGTAATACAAACTAGTCTCTCTCTCTCTCTCTCTCTCTCTCGAGGAAGGTAAACTCAAGTGTAAAGAGAATCTGGAACATGGGAACAGCGTATGCAGCTTCAGAAGGAGAAGTAAGTTTGGTTTCAGAAGTCGCTGCACAAGATTCTGCTTGGTTTACTAAGATCAAGACAGGCAGTCTATCATGAAGGAAATAGGGAGCCTTCAAACTCAACAAGGACCACAACATATCCTGAGGTCGAAATGCTATATTTTGCAGGATATGAGCGAGTTTGCTAGTAAGGACGTTGTCAAGTGTGTACTCAGACAGTTCTTTGTTATGAGATTTCATGTTGAAGACAGATATCAAGTTTATATTCCTAAAATAACAAGAATAGCAAAGAATTGTTGTCAGAATTATCTTTCAACCTAGGAGTAACTGTGATAATTTAATCACATAATCTTTCTATTTTATGGAATGGGATTGGAAGCCATGAGAATATCTATAATCGATGCTAAACGATCATTATCTTTCTCTGGCTCTTAGGTTGGAAAAGAGCTTGAGACTGAAAACACATACCAGAAGTTGAAACCTAGAAGAATTCAAAAGTTAAGCAACAGAGAATCATCCAAGCAGTAGTGGACCTGGAGGGATTGGGATGAAAACGAAAGTGGTGGAGCAAATGCAGATTCAAATGTCAAGCTGCTGAATCTGGAACTGGGCCAAAAACCATCAAATTAGATCCTGGGCACTCGTTGCAGGGTAAATCCTGAAAGCAACAAGAAGATGAATGTCATAAGCAATATGAAGATGACAAGCAAAAGTCCAATTCCTCGTTGGTTTCCCACCATCCATTCGACAGCAATGATTTTACAGCCCCCTGAAATAGTATTCTATAATACGGAAAAGTAAGCTCCTACAAAGCAAGTAGCAGTCTACAGAAAACCCAATGCCCAAAAGAACGATTGCACCATATGAGAGAATGATAATATTAGCATGCAGCCTAATTGAGCAACGCAATGACAAACCCAGATAGCCGAAACAGGAAAACGAGACAGCAGGAACGAAGAAGAAAAAAAAAAAGAGCTGCAGATTCCTTAAGGTGGGGAAAGTATTACATCATGGGTTCCGACATGGCTTCCCTTCATGAAATCAGAGAACACACAAAAATGGAATCCAGTGTAGCTTTTGAAGCGTAAAAGAGACAGAGAGAGCGGAATGCGATTCCACATTCTACCTTGAGCAATTTCGGAAAGCTGGGAAATCAGGGCCGTGACGGTGAACACGAGCTGCTTAGGGGTTTCTACAATTTCACCGGGAACAGTCTCCTCATTCAGCTATGAAACCATGAAATTCGCAGAATCTGTATTCCTCAACACTTTCCCTTCTTTGGCCTATGCCAAGATTTCGGTTTTTCTTTATCTTTTTAAATTTCAGTAATTGGGTTGAAGACTTGAAGGAAACAACGAAGATTGGGCTTCACGCTGCAACCATTACAAATAAGGATGGGATTGGGTTAAATAATGTCATCGAACACTATTGTAAGACTAACCCAATAGTGGGCCCAAAAAATTGTTATAATGTTATTACTTATTCCCGAGTAGCACTTTTATTATGCTATATAGCATTGGTGATTTAATGTACAATTTGAAGTTGTACAATATAATTAAATGTATAAGTTTAGGTTGTATCATAAAAAAATTTATATCATTATGTTATGATACAACTTTACAACTTGAAGTTATACCATCACATAAAGTACAAGTTTAAGTTGTACCATAAAAGAATTTGTACAAAAAGTATAGGTTCAATCTGAAGTTGTACCATAACGTTAAAGGTACAATTTCTAGTTGTACCATAAAGAAAAAACTTATAGCACCAATGCTATATAACATTGTAAAATTCCTCATTCCCGAGTCCCGACCAATGGGCACACTGTTGACAATCTTCAGGTTGAAGGGTCTACAGGTCCCTAAAGTCATTTATGATTGCTAAGGACTAGGTTCACAAAATTTTCTCATATTACATGGATATACCATATAGGTGATTTAGTTTAAAATAATTTGGGTAATGTTTATTTTTTATCCAAAAATTTTCAGATTTTTTTTATATTATTCAAACCTATCGAAATATTAAGAATTAGCCAAATGTTAATTTTCAGTTAGCAATTTTGTTAGTAATATTGACTTGACAATATAATACTGACTTGGAAGAGACACATGAAGGTCAACATTTCAAAAAATTTATATTTTAACTAAGAAAAGAGTTACAAAATTATTAACGATAGCGTAAAAATGGCTAATAATTTGATGCATTGTAAAAGATTTAGGTAATTAATAAAATTTTAATAGGTTTGATTGATATAAAAGAATCTAAAAAGTTTTGGATAAAAAATAGACATTACCCAAACAATTTCATACTTTGGCATTTTTCAAGAGATATATGTTTTATTCCTAATTGGAAGCGAGTAATGAGCTGCCAGGGTAGGTTGTAACAGGGCTAAGATCAGGTGACTAAGGGGGGGTCCGTTAGTCACATGACTAAGCGAATCTCACCCCTTCCATCTCATTAAAATCTAATGGCTACAATTGATCTACTTTAATGAAAGGCAAAACTGTAAGTGCATGATTATTTTTATTTTTAATTAATAAATAATTTTCCCGGCTCATCTCTCCCTGTCGTCCGTCTCGTTTTTTCTTTTTCCCCGTCGGTCATTGCCGGCCAGGGAATTTCGGCGCCATTTGTATTTCTTTTTTTTTACAAGACCATTTGTATTTCTTTGCTGGGGAACTTTCCCCAATCCCACCAAGTGCAGAGAGAGAATTCCATCGCCGCCATTTGTATTTCTTTGCTGGGGAACTCAAGTGGAGAGAGAGAACTTTCCGGCGACCATCGACGTCGGAGAAAAATTTCTTGGCGACAGTGCTAGTTTTGTGATTTTTGTTGACATATTTTGTAATGTTTTTACGCTTTGTTATTTTGTAATGTTTGTCCTTTTTTTGTAATGTTCGTAAACTTTGTTATTTTTGTGCACCATGTTTATCATTTTTGTCAACCATGTTTGTAATGGTTTTTATGTCTAAAAACAACCTTGTTGACTTTTGGATAGAACTCCTCTATATAGGGATGGAGCCTCCAAAGTCAACCCGGGTGTTTTTTCCCGTTCGTATGGATTGTCGGTCTAGTTTGTCATTATTGTCCACCATGTTCGTACTGTTTGTATGTCTAAAAAACACCCGGGTTGACTTTGGGAAGGAGCCCCTCTATATAGGGATGGAGCCTCCAAAGTCAACCTGGGTGTTTTTTCCCGTTCGTATGGATTGTCGGTCTAGTTTGTCATTTTTGTCCACCATGTTCGTACTGTTTGTATGTCTAAAAAACACCCGGGTTGACTTTGGGAAGGAGCCCCTCTATATAAGGATGGAGCCTCCAAAGTCAACTCGGTTGTTTTTTCTTTTTGTATGGTTTGTATTGTTTGTCAGTCTAGTTTGTATTGTTTGTACAGTTCATACGTTTGTAATGTTTGTAAATCTGTTTGTATGTTTTGTCGCTCTAGTTTGTATTGTTCGTATGTTTGTATGGTTTGTACTGATTGTAAATACGGTTTGTATACTTCATAATTTTCCATAATACCCAAACTACCCCTGTCATTAATTAAATAGCCCTTCCCACTTTTTAACCATTGGGTTGAAGTGTCCAGATCTAATGGCTAGGAGGGGCTTAGTCAAGTGACTAAGGACCCCCTAGTCATGGGATCCGCTCTCGGTTATAGCAAGGTTGTTTCAGGCAAGGATGTTTTGGTTCATAGTTGTGTTTTGTTTGCTTGCTTTGATTAGATAGATGATAATGGGCCGTAAGGATTGCATGCCAAACACAAGATAAGGTGCATAATCCTAATATGCATAATTTTTGGTGATACAATTCTTATCATTTTGATAAAAGGACACATTCTATCATCTTTGATAAACAAAATTATATATGGTTATGATTAAATAGATTATACACCTGTTCCCCCTCTTCATTTGACGACTTTAAAGAACTCTTTATTATGGTTATGATCAAATACTAAATAGCATGTTTGTCACCGCGTTCACAATTTTGTTTCACGTTTGACAGTAAATTATTTTAATTGCATTAGTAGTTACTAACTTTACATCTTTGTTTCACCAAGTTAATTTGCGGGAGCATTCTAGGAAGAGGACAGCTAGGGACGCGAGAGAGAAGGACCAAGTGGTGTAGGAGGTAGAATTGATGGAGTTCCAGCACTTCGAGACGAGGTGAAACGATCAAAAGGGCTTATATATTATTGACTTAAGTAAAATAGAGGTTGTAAGTAACTTTGTAAAGGAGAGCTTTTTACTTTGAACAAACACCAAAATGCCCTCATCATCATGATGAGCGCCCATACTAGAGGCACTCATCAACCTAAACCGGAGCAAAACCAAACGAAGCAATCCATTAATTAACCTGAGGTATACAGATAAACCACCCTCCAGACAAAAGTGTACAACAACATAATTAACCAAACCATCATCATTAATTAATTAATTACACCTCTCTCAATCACATGAACTTCCTCGGGTAACGAGCGCTGACCAACATCACATCGTCCAACAACGGCCCACAGAGCGCCCCAGTGTGATCATTCTTCATCGTGTAATACGAGCTCATGAAAGTAATCCTCGTCCGATCTTTCACCGCCTTGAACTGAAGCACGCCGGACTTGAACCCGCCTTTCCCCTGCGACTGGTACGTCACCTGAACCCTGTTGTTGCCGGCGTAGGCCTCCACCGCAAGAGACCCGACGCACTGGTCCCCTGCGTCGCCGACGGCGAACCTCAGGACGTACGTCTTCCCCGGGGAGGTACGGACCACCTGGGACACGGCGCTCTCGCGGCCCGCCACGAGCTCCACGGCCCGCTTGCCCTTCGGGACCTTGAAGTGGGCCGAGTCCACGTACTTGACGGCCTTCAAGGACTCGATGATCCAGCCCACCAAAGGGGAGTGGTCGTCTTGCATGTGGGATGGGATCAGGACGCCCGTAGATATGTTTGGGATGAAGTATGGTCCTTCCTCGAAATCACCATTCTTCAACATATTCCCTGCCACCAATAATTGATAATTCATTCGTTAGTGATCCACGTGGACAAATGTTTTCTTTTGTATGTTTATTAACACCACCGGCTTTAGATAGAACATGCTTGCACATGACACATAGCGAATAATTCGAATTATTGGTAGAGATTCAATCCGCGTACCTTTGGGGCGTGTGGCGTGGGAGAGGAGCTTCAAGGCGACGGTATCGAGGAGGGGACCGCAGGCCGGATCCTCCTTGTCGACGGCAGGGTTGTGGAAGGAGACGACGACTTGGTCGGCCTGAGCTTTGAAGCCCCAAGCGAAGGAGTCCCAGCCGTTGCTGCTGTACATGGTCTGCATGGGGAGGATACCGGAGCCGCCGTGGGGGGAGACGGAGACGTTGAGCTTCTCCTCCTGAGCGCAGGTGCGGGCGACGTTGAAGGTGAGGGCGTAGAACTTGTTCTTCCTCACCTTCAACGACGCCGTCTTGATGGAGGCGTCGGTTCCCAGCCTGACGGCGAATGCGCCGTTGGGGACCACGAGAAGCATGTCGCCTTGCCGCTGCCCGGACTTGATGTATTCCACCAACCCGGAGGTTTCCCAGTTTGGGATGGCGTTTTTGGTTTTTACCACCGTTCCTTTCATTTGTGAGCTCTTGGGGCCGTGCTCGAAGTCCCCATTGGGAAGCAGACCTGAATATTATTAGAGGGGAAAACGTATAGCTTAACGACAAAGTCCAAAATGTAGAATGAGGATTTTAGATGTTAAAAAATGAGGATGATAGCTAGTCTGCCATCCTGTTAGTTTAAGAGAATCCTATAACACATTGGATAGTTACTATGGGGAGAGAGAGAGATTTGGCTAGACTGGTCTTTGATTCGCTGCTAGGTTGTCCCTCTTGTTTCCAAGTGTTTTTGATTGGACGGGTCTATCGCTATGATTTGAAAACAAATTATTTATTATTTTTGTAGAAGTAATATATACATCTTCTCAAGCTGATTTGATATTCAATGTATATTTCGTTAAGTATTATAAAACTGTTCTATTTTACACGTGAATATAATTAACGCAACATTGTGTTAACAAACCACGTAAATCTATATATGTTTTCTATTTTTTGTTCGGTATAACAGAGGTTTAGAGGTGTGATCTAGGTATGGCTTGATGTACATATCCTGGGCAGGCTGATAAACTAGTGTTGTCGCCATGCTTTATTGTCGTCCATCACATGTTGTCGCCGTAAGCCCACGTGATAGAAAACATGGCTACTTATGCTTCACTTCTATCTTTTTTTTTTTTTTTTCCTTTCCCGACAGCCCAAGCTAACTTTGCCATTGCATGCATGTGTCTCCAGATCTTATGCATTTAAACTTTTGTAGTTTAATAATGTATTCTTATGAGTATGGTGTTTTTAATAACTCATGCATTACCTGTAACAGATAATGGTATCTCCAAATTTAATTAACTACGATTGAAATATTACTAATTGATTGTTAATTATGTGATTCATTCTTTAAACTCCCCAAACCTTAGGATCGAGATGATTATTCATACAGAGCAAAATTTACTCCCCCTCAAGCTAATTCATCGTAAAAAAATATACACAGAATATTGAGGATCATAGTATCAAACTATCAATCAAAGGCTATTAATCGTAAAAGGAAGAAAAAAAAAAAAGAATGTAGCTTGATGACATGAGAGACAACGTATGTACCGTCGAGGATCTGGGACGACGCGAGGTGGTGGGAGGCGGCGGTGCAGATTAGTAGCGCCAAAAGAAGGGGGAGTCGCCGCCGGCAGCTGGCTGATGATCTCATCGGAGCTGGCTGGCGATCGATCTGGAAATTAACTGGCTGACGAGGAGATTGTGGGAGAGAGAGAGAGGGAAAGAGCTCCGTGGTTGAGTGGCAGTGAAGAGATTTGGTGTGGAAGGGCTTTTATTTATGGGGTTCTTCCGATGAGAAAGGCACTGGTTTTCACACAAAACTACTCTTCTGCCACTACAAGAGCCATCTCGGCAACAACCACCTGCCTCAATAATTCCACTTTGTTTTTATTGCATGCTTCCATAACATGGAATCTATCACACACTGTCCCCCGTTCCCATCTAACATTTACCGTTTCTTCTAATACAATTGAGATTTAATCTTTCTATAGCTAATGAGCACTTTTACTATGCTATAAAGCATTGGTGCTTTTATGTACAACTTAAAGTTGTACCATAACGTAAGTGTATAAGTTTAGGTTGTACCATAAAGAAAATTGTACCCTGATGTTATGGTACAACTTCACAACTTGAAGTTGTACCATCACATAAAAGTATAAGTTCAAGTTGTACCACTGAAGAATTTGTACAAAACAGTATAGGTACAATCTGAAGTTGTACCATAACGTTAAAGGTACAACTTGAAGTTGTACCATAATAACAAAAACCTATATCACCAATGCTATATAGCATTGTAAAATTCCTCATAGCTAATAGGATTGGAAATAAGTTCACGTCCGGATTTAGTGGCTAGCTAAGGGAAATCCTTAGTCATCAGGCAAAGTGATTCCCAGCCATAAAACTTACTCGTGCACAGATTTGATCAGTCTCATTTAGGTACTTACTAACAAAAGGATGCGACGTACGTAGTTCGATGAGGTACTGATAAGTTGATGCTATAGATTAAGAGTAAAGTGGGGTGTATGGTAGGCAAGATGATCGAGTCTTATTTGTGGATTTGAGAAGCGAAAAGAAGCGAGCATAGGATCATACCAAACTGGAAGTACAGAAAATGAGGCATTTTTGACTATCAAGTGAGCCACCTATTTTAACTTTGATCTTCAAACCAATCATAAAACGGATGAAAAACATAGGTGAAGTAACTAAATATTTTCCAATATTGCTCCACCAAGCACATTCTATAAAAAAAAGCATGCCCTTAGTGACAAAAATTAGCGAGGGTGAGTCAATTTCATTGCTAAAAATGACTTTTAGAGAATGCCTATTAAATTCATCTGCAAACACCACCTATTATATTCACCTAACCGAACATCCCTAAGTGCCAACCACTTAACCATAAAGGATACTCAATAGTCTCTATAGAAGCCACCACAACCAATATTTGTACCTACAAGATCCTGCAAAACCTAACCCCTTGCACCATGGGAATCCAGCAGGTAGCACCGTCGCCGCTCCATATGGGACTGTATTCGATCCAATCTTTGGTTCTTATATTCTCGAAAAGACCGAACTGGGACCAGATCAATTCGAACCAATTTATCCGGACCGGACCTTATAGCCACCCCTAATAATAATCACTCATTTTGGGTGATAGTTTGTGTCACATCAGATAAACAATCCATACATTGTTTCTGCTAAAAGAAAAATGATGCATTCTAAACAATACATGTATAGTAACAATCTAGCCAAAACAATCGCAACTATCAAACAACCTCTAAAACTCAATTTCCCTAACAATTATAAATGAGAAAATGATACTTACCCCCTTAAAAGATTTGACAATATCGTAGATATCGAAGTTACTAATTTGGTACAAATTGTGCATAAAATCATAGGGCTACAAAGTTTACAAATAATATGTTTACAAAATTACCATTAGTACCATAACATTTACTAAGACTACAAATAAACCATAATTTTTACAAACTTATAAATAACAATTTACTAAGGTTACAAATTAGGATCATAATGTTTACATTTTACAGACACTACTAACCATTGATAAACTTTACAAACGACCAAGGTTGTCGACCTGGGTTGGCCCGGACCCGATCTTGAAAACGGGTTAAATAGCCCATTTGAAAGTTAGCCCGGAAATGGTCAAACCCGGGCGGTTGGCCCGTTCGAGCGGGTCAGCGGGCTGCTCGTTCTCAAAGTGTTTTTGAATTTTTACTATGTTGAATTTAAGTTGATGTTATTTAAGTGTGTTGGAGTTTAAGTACGGTTGTTTTTTTTATATTGGATTCATAATAAGTACAATATAATGACTTTTTCATATTTTTGGGCTCAACCATGCTAAATCGGACTAAAACGGGTGACCAATTAACCTTTGACCCACTAGCTAGACCGTGTCCGGGTCGACCCGCGGGTAGACAACCTTGCAAACGACCATAGACAAACAAAAAAAGATAAGTTGACTTTAATTAAATTTAATTGGGGGCAAATGCAACTTCTATTCAAAACTGTACTATTTAGAAATATGAAATTATTTTGTTCATCTCTTATGAAATTTAGGGAACTTTGTACAAAAGTAATTATTTCTTTCTAGACTTAGAATTCTACATCAAGGTTAAATAAATTATTTCTTAGATACTCTTTAATAGTAGTGATGACAATTTAAATCAGCCCCGTCGAGTATTACCCGACCTGACCCGCGATGGGAGGATGTTACCCGACCCGCACTAGAATGAGGCGGGGGGTGTATGATGAGCAGATTCCCTATGTTCTCGGGTTTTGCTTATATCTCACAAGCGAGAGAACGACGTTGATGTCGATAAACCTTAACTTTATTATTCGATACAGAACTAATGCACAAGTTACATATTTATAGACTCACAAAAGCCTAAGACGTAACCTAGTCCTACCCGAGTACCCACTCCTATTTTGTTATCCCTTGCCCAACTACAATAGGAAAACTTAAACGAAAAGGAAAAACACCCCTAGCCCAATCCGAAAATACCTACGAGCCCAAACATAAAATAACCTCATCAAACCATCCCCCAGGCAGGTCACAGGCTTGTGCGGGGCAGCATGGCAGTTCAGTTTCCGAAGCTACTTGGCATGCTAGGCTTGGACATCCCTCTCCAGATAAACAGCACTATATTAGTCGGTTATTGTCTTTGTCTTTTGGTTCATATGCTCAGCCTTGCCACTCTTGTTCTCGGGCAAAACATACTCGGCTTCCATTTCAGTCTAGCCTGATTAAAACTTCTAGTTTTGAACTTATCCATGTTGATCTTTGGGGTGGATATAAAGTTACTTCTCATAGTGGTGCTCACTACTTCTTAACTATTGTCGATGCCTATACACGGGCTATTTGGGTCTATTTGCTGCGTTTTAAATCCGATGTTGCCCGCCATCTCCTGCAGTTTTTCCAAATGGTTCGTACGCAATTTGGCAAGCAGGTCAAGCGTATACAGGCCGACAATGGTTATGAGTTTAATACAGAACCTCTACGGGATTACTATGCTCGTGAGGGCATTTTATTACAGACTTCCTGCACTGATATGCCTCAACAAAATGGTGTAGTGGAAAGAAAGCACCATCATATTCTGGATATAGCCCGTGCTCTCCGATTTCAGGCTAGTCTGCCTCTGCGATTTTGGGGGGGAATGCATACTCACTGCCGTTTACCTCCTTAATCATCTCCCTACTTCTGCTACAGGAAAGTCACATTTCGAGCTTCTTTTTGGGAACCAACTTCTTATCAACACCTACGGGTCTTTGGATGCTTGGTTTACTATAAGGATACCAATGCTCACATTGACAAGTTTAGTGCGCGAGGGAGGGCTGGTGTATTCATTGGTTATGCGGCCACACAAAAGGGTTTCCGCATTTATGATTTGGTCACTCGTCGTATCCTAACTTCACGGGATATTCAATTCAATGAATCATCGTTTCCTTTTCAGGTTGGTGTTCAATGCGAGCTCCATTGGGTCCCTCGGGCGCTCCTTGATCCTCCTGCTGGTCCGGAATGACCCCCAATCGAGACTCCTACGGCTCCTGCTTCCACCGATCCAGTGTTGTCGCCCGTTGAGGATGTGTCCAACCCCCTGCCGAGCAATCTTCCTCCGACCACACCCATCACTGGCGATTCATCTAACAACCCGACCACTGCCTCAACCGCGTCTCCATCGCCCGATGCGCCTAGTTCATCTCCTCCCCCACTTCGACGTGGCGATCGGCAGCGTGTGTGCCCTAAGTACTTGGAGACTTATGAGACTTATCATGCGTCACAAGAGGGACGTTCCTCTACTCTTGTCCATTACCCTCTTGCCTCTTATGTTTCTTATGATGGTTTTAAACCTTCGTACTATGCCTTTTTTCCAGCTATGACCCGTGAAGATGAGCCCACCTGTTTTCGCCAAGCTTATCGTGACCCCCGATGGCGTGCCGCCATGACCAAGGAAATCTTGGCACTCATTCAGAATGGCACCTGAATGCTTGTTGACTTGCCTCCTGGCAAGCGTGCCATTTCCTCGAAGTGGGTGTACAATATCACATTTTATACATATGGCACTATCAAATGTTTCAAGTCTCGTCTAGTTGCAAAGGGTTATATGCAGATAGAGGGTATGGACTTCTATGATACTTTTGCTCCTGTGGAAAAATTGGTTACTGTTCGTTTTCTCACCGCTGTTGCGGTTCATAAAGGCTGGCATCTGCATAAGCTAGATGTTAATAATGCCTTCCTCCATGGTGATCTGAAGGAGGAAGTGTACATGACTATCCCTGAGGGTTTTCGACAGCCAGGGAATACTCGAGTATGTCTTCTTCACAAATCCTTGTATGGCCTCAAGCAGGCTTCTCGTAATTGGCCTTGTGGGAGTTTGGTTTTCGGTCTTCCCTAGTTGATGCGTCCCTGTTCATCTATCAGCGGGGGAGTACGTTCGTTACTGCACTCATATACGTGGATGATGTTCTCTTGGCAGGGAACGACTTGCCTTTTATTCAACGTGTTAAGCGTTTCCTTGATGACCGGTTTAGCTTCTCTCCATTTTCCAGTTTCTATCTTCTCGGATTGCAAAGTGCTTATTGACATACTACATGATCCGATAAGAGTTGGCCCATGGCAGGTGAGGGCTTGGATTCAAGGGATTCACATTCTTCTTCATTTGTATCCAGGATTAGTAATCTTCTTTACACTAAGATCAAACAACAAAAGTGCAGATTGGGTCGCTAAAGAAGCTGCTAATGGATCTCTCCCTCCGGATTGGATCCAAGTTTTGGATATTGTTTTTCCGTTGATGTAATGTGGCTATGCTTGTACGATTATCGTTGATATGAATAGAAATAATCTATTTGTAAAAAAAAAAAGGATCTTGGTCATGTTTGATATTTCTTGGGCATTGAGATTGCTTGCTTGTCTTCTGGCGTTGTCCTTAGTCAACGCAAGTATGCCTTGGATATCTTGGAAGATGCAAGTATTCAGGGTTCTCGGCCTAGTCAGTTTCCTGTCGAGCAAAATCACCAGCTCACTCGCCCGACTATAGATGTTCTGTCTGATCCTTCTCTGTATCGTCGGCTTGTTGGTCGCCTTCTCTATCTCACGATCACTCGACCCGACATCACCTATGTTGTCAACATACTGAGTCAGTTTGTTCATGCTCCTAGCCAGATACATTTGGATGCACCATTTCGAGTCCTTCGCTACGTCAAAGGCTCCCCTGGACAGGGTCTTTTCTTCCTCTCTGATGCACCACTTCGTCTTACTGCCTATTGTGATGCTGATTGAGGTGGTTGTCAGCAGACACGTCGTTCCACGACTGGCTATTATATCACTCTTGGAGGCGCTGCTATTTCTTGGCGTACTAAGAAGCAGCGCGTTGTCGCCCGTTCATCTGCTGAGGCAGAATATCGTGCAATGGCGAGTACAGTCAGTGAGATTTTATGGTTACGCTGGTTTCTCTAGGAACTGGGGGTTCCACAGTCTGGTCCTACGCCTTTACACTGCGATAATCAGGCCGCTATTCACATTGCTAATAATCCAGTTTTCCATGAGCGTACTAAGCATGTGGAAATGGATTGTTTTTTTGTTCGTGAGTGTGTTCAGACCGGTGATGTTTTACCAATCAAGGTCTCTTCTACTCTTCAGCTAGCCGATCTTTTTACCAAAGGTCTTGGTATGGATCGTTTTTGCTTCATTCTGTCCAAGCTGCACGTTCGTGACCTTCACGCTCCAACTTGCGGGGGAGTATTGGGCCGTGTCGATGATGAGCCCACTGCCGATGTGAAGAAGCCCAACGCACACGTCCATGCAGCTGATTGCATGCATGCCGTGTCCAAGGAGGAGTCAAACCCTAGTCCTTGTAGCTCTAAATATATCCTAGTTGATTGTATAAAAGGATGTAACAGGGGCTCGTTTGGGTTTGAGCCGCACTAAGTAATAAAATCAGTAGCCGGAGAGGTTTCATCTCTCCCGTGGATTAGTCCTGATCTATCGGGGGTACCACGTTAAATCGTTGTTTTCTACGTTCGTGTTAGCTAATTTTATAGCGTTCCATAGGATAAGAGAAACATTTTTTTATAGCTAAGAGAAGCAATTAAAAGAGAAGGAAAGAGGGATCCTGACAGACTCGTGAGGGATTTTTCTTTACATTTTTAACTTTTGTTTTATTTATTTATTACTTAAACAAACCTGGTTCAATTGTTTCAACCGAACCAGCCTTACTTGAACCGAGCAAACTAACAGACGGTACTAGTGCCGCAACTGTACCACAGAGTTCGCGTTGTTGCCTCTAACAAATTTGAGACGGACAGACTATAAACACTTTTATGTAGACGTTTTAACCTCTTGCTCGAAAGTTGGTACTCATCTTTCGTCTTTGGTATAAACTATAAACCAAAGAGGAGGAATCAAAGCAGCAAAGTATCCTATACATAAATTCATTTCCCATATTCTCTCTCTCTCTCTCTCTCTCTCTCTCTCTCCGGCGGTGTTTCTGATTGTTGGGTGGCTGAGCAGCCAATTCTGTCATTTTTATTCGTTTAATTTGCAGCAAAACAGTTTCTGTCGTCGAAGCCATGTGACTGATGAGCCTAACCCACAAGAACTATTTACCGAATGCAGAGGATATAGTCCAGGAGACATTAAGTGGATGGATGAGAAGAATGTCGAGAGGATTAGGGCTCAATTTTATAGATATATGCCATAACAAATTATGACTTGTTATAATATATGATCCTTTATATATGTGATTTAACTCTAAATGGATGTAAGTAACATTAAGTTAATTAAACTGGTTTTAGGAATCGACTAGCTGGCGGCTCCTCATTGATTGTAGTCGATCTTGTTAACAAGCTAGAGCAAGTAAATAATTAGAGAGACAAACCCACAAGGGGGATTTGGATGTTTTCTGGTGGAGGTTCATTTGATAATTAGTTAAGGCCCTGTCCCTTAATTAGCTTCCACGTGCAAATCATTGCCCCAACTTCCGTTCTGTTTGACATTTGTCGGTTGGAAGAGGTCATTAGAGATCACATAATTGTTGCTCATTAATTTTTGGTAAATTCTATATGCTATTATTATTAGCCTATTTTCACAAAAAAAAAAAATGATCTCCAATATAGTTTGATTAGGTGTTGAATTACAAATTTCTCCTAATGATTTTTTTTTCATGTGAGAAAATTTATTAGATAGAACGCGAAACTGAAAAAGTTGGTAATTTATAGTTCAGTGGTTAACCATTTAGAATCATGATTTTTAAAAAGAAGGATATTTATTAATAGTCATTTGAATTCCGCAACTATATATGTCTTGGTCGTTATATTACGTAAATTTGAACCATGTAGGATGTTGATGGTTGTCATCTTGATTGATTATGCTTGATGTTCATCTATTTGCTTAACAAGTTAGGTGTTTTATTGGTTCATTGGTAAGCTTTGACAATTTGTAACACATCAAAATATCTTTTGAAAAGTTTTATTAATCCATCATAACCTTAATTAACACGTTTAATTACCATCCAACCGTCACCCCCTAATCCATTTTAAATTGTGCACTTGAGTAGGAGTCAGTCGTTTACATCACCCACCCAAATGATGGGTGGGTGCCCATTGCTCATCCTTCTAAACACTTGCCCCTCGACCAAAAAAAAGAGAAGGTTACACTACTAACTTGAATGAACAAGATATAGAAATACAAATATTGGGCATCGTTTAATACTTTGATTCATGGATTAATTTGAGGTATGAAATTGGATCCAAATCCATAATCATCATGAATTTAGCGTAAATTCAATGTTTGCTACATATTTTGGTTGCATGATTAAATTCATAGGATCCATAGACTTTGTGGGTTTAAATCCTTTGATCCCATGAACTTGCAAATCTCAAATATGAATGTGGAATTTGGAACATGATCACAAATCGGAGGGTCTCATAATAAAAATTACTTATATATCACCTTGCCTCACGAACATAAAATAAATAATAAATAAGAATAGTAAAATAATTTACATGTTAACACTACAAAACCATAAACAAAATCCATCAAACAAATATAAAACTTTTCAAATCCATAATCAACCAAATTCTTCACAAAACCAAAACCCAACTTTTGACCCAAAAACCCTCATGCCTTCAAAACCCACTTGTATTAAATTAATAATTGTTCTTGTCATCATAATTGTTGGAGGTTATGCTACCAAATGAGAATCGAGAACATTTCCTCCTTTTTTTACAATTAGAGTTTTCTTTTACAGACTCGTATTTGAATCAACAATGCATATTTTATATAAAGAAAAGGCTAGCGTACGCTGTACGCCTGTGTTCACACTTGATTTTTGCACTTCAATATATTTCTCTGAATCAGAAACGTCGGTTATTATTTTTTAGATTAAATGAATCTTGTGGCTTGGGTTAGAGAATTAGGAACTGGAGTTCACCAATTAGAGGTTATTAGGTTATAGTATCATGCCGCAAATTTCGGTTAATTCGTGCTCTAAATAGCAAAACTCGACGGGCGTACAATGTACGCCTGACGTACGCTAGCATGAACCATATATATACGTATATAGTCTCAACCATATATGTATACTAGGTGGCTATGCCGCGCCTTGGCGCGGGGAAGACGGCGTATGGGCATGTATTATTTGATCCATTATGATGTTTTGTTAGTATTATTAGTCTAAAATTTATTTTTTGTTAGTAATATTGACTTGACATTATGATATTGACTAAGAAGAGATATATGGCGGCCAACATCCAATTTAAAAAAATTTAAAATTTTGGCTAATAAATTATATTTACCTAAACCAAAGTAGACCCATTGATTATGGGTAGGGTATGAGTGACGTATATGTAGGTTTGGAAGTTTGTAGATGGGTTTTGGGTAGGGTGTGGATATTTACGTCCATAATCTAAATGTGTATGAGTTGAGTATGATACCCATTTATTCGAGGGTATTTTAATTACACGTACAAAAATTAGACCTATTTGTAGAAATTCAAAAGTTTAAGTACCAAAATGTAATACATAAATATTTTACGTACTAAAATGTAATGTTCCAACAATATTTTGAGGACATATGCCAAAAAATAAATTTATGTTATAAATCTAAATATCTATTAACTTTAGATACCGAACTTTAATTTGCATAATTGATGATTAATTCCTTTTATGGTGATGTATTTATGATGAAAATTATTTAATTTCTTATAGAAAAATGGAAACTATTTATTTGATATGTGTAGATACCTAGTCAAACATTCCATGTAATTGTAGAAAAAAGAAAAACTCTAGAGAGAAGCAAAATGAGTACAAACTGGAACTCGTTTAAAATTTCAAGCCTTCAAATACCACAGTGGAAAATGACGATTTTCTAATAAGTAATAACCATATATATTTGTTTTTACTTGGACTCGACATTGAGCTAAAAAAATTAGCGGTTCATGGTTAAATTATTAATTTCATAGACGGTTGGTGAGTCATGTATGGACCCGTTGATACTTGTAATTAGAATACATAAAAATAGTATACTAATTAGCGTTAGACGAAGAAAGCAAAGAAAGAAATAAAGAAAGGGCTATGGAAGGGGAGTGAAAAATGAAACGAAGAGGAAGTAGATGATGGATAAGTTTTGACCAATTCTTTTAGTTGGCTGTCAATACAATAGTCAATTTCACCATAAAAATTTATTGACACTTGCTTATTTAGATGTCTAGGGGTGTGCAATGGTCCGATCCAGGATAAGACAGAGCATAATTCGTTTGATCCATGTATCCGCTAAACCAATTCATCAATCCATCCATGGATCTATGTATATAGTCTGGCCGCCATGTTTATTTAAACATAATTTTGTCCGTCGGGGTTTTGAAACCAAAATCATAATAATAATAATAATCAGAAACAAAAGGTGAAAATATCCTAAAGATAGATCCGAGCACCGTCCAAGCACATGGAGAGTCTCAGTGACAAACTTATTCCAATCATATCACATGTAGACTGTACGTAGTAGTTAATGGCTTAATATGCCTCTCTTCTCATCTCCTCTTCTCTTCTCGACAATGCGACAGGATCAGTTCACAAACTGGACGATGACTCTTGTTCATCACATTCTCTCGGTCATAAATAATTTTGTGGTTTGGACTCATCAAAGAAAATAAAATTGCCAACAAAGTTGTAGCTGGCGATTGTGGCACTAAATAAAGATTAGAAAAATAAATTTTTGGATTTCATTAGCTGCCCCATTGAAGGCAGAGGGACTATAACTCCTGACTCTTTTTTATTTTTTATTCATCGGAGGCCGAGTAGAGTTACAATGTTCCTATCTAGCAGGGGCGGAGCGAGATTTTAATGTTTGGGGTCCGGACTTTTGTTAGTATGTTATTGTGTAATAAAAGTTAAAAAATTTAATATTATAGTATAATAACAGTATTAATTAGAAAATTGTAACATAAAGGCAACAAACATTTGCATAAAATTATATTTTCATCAAAATAGTATTGAAAGATTTAACATTTAATATTAGCAATTATCCTTCAAATTGAAGAGTTTTGGCTGGAATTCAAGGACTTAACAAACTCAAATATGAAAATAAATAATTCAATTTACTAGTTTAGCCAAATAAAATCCGTGAGCATTGAACCAAGAATCATCATTAATATGTTATTAAAGAGATCTTAACCGCCAGACTAGCTTGCATAACTTAGTGTATTATTTACACTCTGTATAGTTTTATAAGTTTTTATGTAACTCCCCCCGGAACACTAACATAGCTCCGCCCCTGGTTCCTAGCAAAACACATTCTTTGAATGTGTTCGAAGATACTCTATTGTAGTCCAGGTGGAGTTTATAATTGCATACAATCCAATTTGATGCTTCGTAATTGTGGATTGCAACAAAATCCGAACCCATGGGTACTCTATCCGATTCAGGTCAACGCGGGTTAAATTTGTGTTGATCTGTTTTGGATCGGGTTTGGGTTGAAACCTGTTCACTATTCACCGAGTTGAATTGACTTTGAGTTTAGGTAAACCCGCCCCATGGGTACCCGCCCCCACCCATACAATTAATTTTCCTGGAATATTTAGGGCTAATACCACTAGGAAATCCGAACTATTAACTTTGTGTCATTTGTGCCCTAAAGTATCTGATATGACATTTGTGTCACAACGTATGATAGTTGTGTGTCATTTATGTCCTGACGATTTCGTTGACCGTTATAGATAACGGTTAACCAAACGGAAGTCAACATTAACATTGACTTTTGTTGATGTGGCAGTCACGTAGATGCTATGTCAATGACACCTCATATTTTTAATTAAAAATTAAATAAAAAATAAAAATAATATATTGTTATCAAAAATAAAAAAGAAACCTTCATAAGCTTTCCTCTTCTTCTTCTAATCACATTCCGTCGAGGAAGAAGGGAGCGGCGACGACGACATTCTCGTCTTCCTCTCCGCCACTCTCACCGGCTTGAAAGTTCGAAGCGAGGGCTAGTCGTGATGGAAAGATGAAGTGGCGACGGCTAGTCGGCGAGGGCGAGACGAGTCGGCAGCGACTGCACTTCTTCTCAACACCTCGGTAGATCCCAATTGCAAACCCCCCAATCCTTCCAATACCACGACTCCACCGCCGCCCTCGCCTCCTCGTTCCCTTCCATACAAGTCGCCAGGCTTTCGCCAAAATCGGTGAGATGGGAGGCGTCGATTCCTTCGTCATTCATCTGCATCTTCTTATCCGGGAACCAAAAACCCTTTCATTTGGGGTGCTCCGACGCAACACCACCACCTGCTTCTCCCCTATTACAAATTAGGGTTTGAAGTGAATTAGGGATTTTAAACAAATTGCAGGGCAGAACATCCAAAAGATGGTGAAGGATGGTTACAACAAAGGATTGGCGGGACTAGTTACGGGTGTGGATGCAAAGGAAGAAGTCGAAGGAGGAGTAGAGGGCGACGGCAATGATTCGTAGGGGATGGTTTTGACGATGGCTGTTGGATTTGGCTATATATTATCCAGACGACGGAGGTGGAGGCTGTCGGAGTGGTCGAGCGGCAGAGTTGGCGAAGTGCAGTGCAGTGGAGGCGAAGTGCAACGGTGGCGTGCGACGGTGGAGGCGAAGTGCGGTGCAGCGGTGGAGGCGAGCTGCAATTCCGTCAATTCATCGAAGACTTTTAATTTTTCTTATTTAAAATTTTCATTAGATGCAAAAGTAACTAAAAATCAATTTTCACATCAACGCTGACTGGACTTTCTGTTAAAAAGTAACGGTCAACGCCAGTCAACTCTAACGGAAAAATAGTTTAGGTCCTTTAGGACACAAATGTCATATCGGATACTTTAGGACACAAATGGCACAAAGTTAATAGTTCGCGTTTCCTAGTGGTATTAGCCCATATATTTAATATTCTAACTACTAATCTTCTTTATGTTTGTGAAGAATGAAATTGATATGAGTGGAGAGTAAAATTGATATTATCGAGTGGAGAGTGAAGAAACTTAATTGACAAGGAGGAAGAAGCTTTCAATTAATTATATTGTTTATAGATAATTTGAGATTTGCTTCAATTTTCTTGAGTTTTCTAGATTTGTGTTGAACAATTTGTATGGTAATTTGCAGTGTTGTCAAGACCGAGCCGAGCCGGCCGGATCGCTAAAGCCGTCACTCGGCCATAAAACCGGCTCGGACCAATTAATTAACCGTCCTTTGTCTCTTCGCGAACAAATAGGGAAGAGCGGCGCCAGACCTGCCGCAGTCGACACTTCCCGCCGTCGACATCGTCGGCATCCCCAGTCGCATCAAACCAGCTTCCCGCTCGCCATCCCCGTCGGCATCCCCGGTAGCAGCTCCCCTCCTCCCGCTTCGTCGTCCCTCTTCGTCGCCAGTAGAGCTTCCCATCGGCGTCGTCCCCATCCGCGTAGCATCTCCCTTGCTCCAGCCCATCTCCAAAGCATCTCCCCTACTCTACCCAATCTCCCCTGCTCTAGCCCATCTCCCCTGCTCTGGCCGTCTCACCTCCACACCATCTCCCACCGACGGTCTCTACTCCGCAGCTCCTACCAGCAGCTCCCACTCCGCAGCTCCCACCCGACGCGAGGTAAATTAAACATTTGATTGACTAATTGTGAAGTTGGTGAGACTGCTTCCACTACTTCAAATTATTAATTTAACATTGAACAGGAGGCCTTTGATTCAATTGTGAAGTTGGTGAGACCGGAATTTAGAACTTTTGGTACTCTTGTTATAGAATTGTTAAGACTTAAAAGTGTAATGTACTAATTTAGTCATGGTTTACCATGATTAAGAAGTGTATACCATTTATACTTATTGTTTATTAGGTATTGGTTCTCTAACGGTCTAATTTCGGTTGGACCGCTAAAGACCAAGCCATTCACATTATCGGGTCGTACTCCGGTTCGCTTTTGACGACATTGGTAATTTGCGATTTGTTTGAATTTTCTAGAATGTGATTTATATATAGATAATTTCTATTGAGAGATTGATACTTGACTTTTATTTTGTTAGGAACTTGTTATTGTAAATTTTTTAAACAAAAACCCCTGGGTACCCATGAACCCGTGGATACCCAGCGAGTTGAATTGGGTTAGAGTTTTTCAAACCCAATGAATTTTACCCCGGATAAACCAATGGATTTAGATTTGAATTTGACCCAATTCGATCCAACCCGACCTATTGCCATCCTAGTAACGGACATCAAATTAGGGGAGACGGGTAAACAACCTGCTTGAGTGCATGAGTGCATGGTTATATATTTTGGATGTTGGCCCATTAGTCTTTGACGTGGGGTAGGGTAACCAGATAGGATTAGCTGCTGCCTTTCTCGGATGTATATAGGGGATGTTTTTTTGGCTGTGTAACTCAAGAGAACACTAAAGCCTAATCTGATTATCAGCTTCGAGAGCGTCGTGTGGATTCAGATCAGGTGATTTTACATAGAGGTATCTTCTTTAAAAAAATTAAAATTAAATAATTTTTAAAAAAGAAAGTAACCAACTCTCAGAAGTTAAAAAAAGTTCATGATGTATTTTCATATTCTGAAAGAAATTGTAAAATATACTTGGTGTGTACACTACTCAAAAAATTTGTCTAGGTACATCCTACTAGACAATCATTGACGAACTAACGCATATTCGACTTCTAAATTTGTTCTTGATGTAACTCAAAACTGAAAGACACTTTCTACACTTGTCGTACAACTATAAAATCAATAAAAATTTATGGTAGCTTGTAATTAGATTAATTGTTAGGTTTTGTCAAGGTTCAAAAAGGCGCTAAGCGTAAGGCGAGCGCTAGGCTCCTGACTTGCGACTAGCCCGATTAAGCATAGCCTAGGCGCGTCTAGGCGTTCATAGCAGAAATGAAATAAAAATGAATGTGACCTATCTTCTAGAATACTTCATATTATCACTAGTTCATCTAAAATTAAAAATGTCTAATTCTTAACAGTTAACACTTAACATATCAAATGACAAGCAAGTAGGATCATTTCTTAGAAGGAAAAGGACAAGCATGATATATTGCTTGATATGTAAATGTAAAGCATTTTACTAAATTAGTCATAGATGGCAGACAATTTCGATGATCTACTCACAGTTGTTGTCGAGCGATCATATTCTCTCTAAGTGGCGGCGAATCTAGCGATGAACTCCTTCCACAAATGACGAACATCAGAAAGCTAGAGCTGAAAAAAGAATGACCGAAGGCGTAACTGGAGAAGTGAGACAAGCGTGGGCCTATCCAGAGAAGGCCCTTTCACCCACTTTAAAAGTTCAAGATATTCAGGACCAGCCCTTTCCCCCCTGGCCCACTCTCATTAATGGACTCAATGGCCCACTCATGCCCTAAAGCCTGGAAGAGGGCGAGTATCGACCTAGAGCGGCCGGTGGAGGAAGAAGGACAAAGGGTTTGATTTTGGCTGAGGTTTTCTAACTTTTTGTGTGAGAATCGTTTTCTAGGAAGGGAGATGGAAAATAGGGTTGTTCCGCTCTAACTACTAGAAAAAATTTAGTTGTCCAAGGCGGCCGCTTAGTCGCTTTATGCGCCGATTAGGCGTCATTAATCCTAAATTAAGCGCGGCCAGCGCTTTATGCAACGCTTTTGCCAAAAGCGAAGCGCTCTTCCACCTCTTTGTTATTAATCAAGCCTAGGCGTTCGCTTAGACACGCTTTCTTGAACCCTGGGTTTTGTAAATAATTAAAGTTAGAGAATATGATTTTGCTATTACACAATGTTTAGAATAGAACAACAAAAAAGTTTATCCTAATGGAAATTATATTTATTAATAATAGTAGTGTCTCGGGTTTGAATTATCCAAACTACCACTTATATTCCCATATGCAAACTACAAACAAGAGTAGAATAATCGTTTTTCCAAATTTTGAGGTATCCCACATTATTAATTATATATATATATTTGTCTTTACTAAATTACGACCGGAGGTTGGATAATCACTTTTCCAAAATTTAGGGATGCGAATTACCCCTAATTTTCAAGAACACTATGTAAACTAGTTGTCTTCGTTGTTTGAGTTTGATTTTTTATATATGTCCAAAGTACCCCATTGAAGTATCTAGAAACTAATTAATTAGGAAACGATTCATCCATGATGACAACTGGGCCATTTAGGGGGGAGCTACATGCAGCTTAGGTGGGCCCAAGCCCTACGGGATTGGTCACGGGCCCTATGATCTTAACTATATATTTAGTATGAATTTTATAAGTATAACCTGTTCTGGTAACTTTTTTATGTAATAACAATGTGTTTTAGTGGTAGCCAAATTTGATTTGTGTTTTAAAATACACAGATTTGATCCACCTAAACCATATACATTTTGTTTAATTATTTTCGACCCCGGTCTTAAAATCCTGGCTCCGGCCCTGGAGCCATCCTAGGTGATGGGGTAATCCGAGCAACCACAATCTAGGTGAAAGCTACTATTTGATGTCGTTTGCTTGGTCTTATCTACAAATATATACATTTTCTTAGATGTGTCATGTTATTATTTTGTCATTCTATTTAATATTTTTCTTTATTGTGTTTCCTACCCAAATAAAAAAAATTATGAAAATAATATCATTTCCAACTAACATAACATATTATTTGTATATGAGTCATATATATATAATACAACTTTCTAATTATGAATAATAATTTTATGTTTACTTTTTTTTTTATACATTTTAATGGCTGCAAAGTGAAATCTAAATTATTTGAAGATCAGACATAACTTGTATTTGAAATCAGCGTCAAGTAGAGGTGGTAATTGGAATCCAAACTGATCCATCCAGTGAATAATATAAATAATCCAATCCGTTGAATCCAAAGTTGATTGGATTGGTAGATTCGTGGAATAGATTCATGGTTATTAAAAAGTAGGTTTTAGTTCCTAATTTTCATATATTTTTATGATTTGATATCTAAATGTTAATTTCTAATGAAAAATAGCATTGAAAATTTATGTTTTGGTACCTATAATTATTTTAGCATGACATTTAGTACCTAAACTTTAAAAAAAGAAAATTATATTGGTCTAGTGTTTAAATGCTACTTGGAACCATGAATCCATTTGATCCAGTCTATAAATCCATCGATTCATCTAATCCAATCCACAATCCACCAATCTATAAAAATAATCAATTTGCTACCTTTACAGGTAAGATAATCATTAAATTTTTTTTATCTAATATTAATTGATTCATTTAAATTTTCTTGATACACGTTGTATCGATACCAAATTACTCTCCCAATTGCAATGCAATGAATTTTTTTTTGGGTCCCTCACAGATTTAATGAATCCCTTTTAACGTGTTCTTCCTCACAATCGTTTAACGTGTTCTTCCTCACAGATTACGAGGGTTACATCCCTTTTATCTTATTACCTGGTTCGGCTGAAAGACTTACACATGTTTACATACCCTGATCCATCTATACCTACTAGGGTTGAAGGAGAAAGACGAGTACAAATGTACACTATTGGGACAAGGGGAAGAACTTGTTTTTTTACCAAGACGAAGAAGACTGTCCGTTTCAGAACACGGTTTGGACAAGGCTGCATGGGCTGTAGAAGCATCCGTAGGGTTCGTAACGTCTTCTCGGCCCATTTAAATGGATCTCGGAGATTATTGCCCTCGTTTCTTCTTTTGTCGGGCAGCAGGTAGAAATTAATGTCAGAAGATAGTCTTGGGCACAATTGGACTTGAATCATGTTATTCTTACGTTAATGAGGCCCCATTGCTAGCCCAGCTACGTCAGCTTTGTTTCAGACCGTGTTGGAAAGGTGACCTGATTTGGTTTGGGCCTTACTATACCCAATTTCATCAGTAGGTGGTGGAGAAAAAAAAAAAAAGGGAAAATAATTCGACTGAAATTCCATGGTGATAGGTTAGACCCACCTACTCCCACCAACTCCTTCGGTAGGACCCACTACCCAACCCCACCCGGAAGGAAGGTCCACAACTGGGTTGGTGGAACTCACCTACAGCGCCTAATCTCCCATCTCTTATCTCCTGCCTTTCCCTTTCCCCAACTACCCCAAAGCACCCGATTTCTTCTTTCTCCCACCCTGCCCCCAAATTCCCTCCCTCGACTGGGCAAAGAAGTCGGAATCAAGCGAATTCAACAATATGGCATCCGAATCGGCGGAGCAGAAGCCGGAGACGCCGCCCAATTTCTGGGGGGACATGCCGGAGGACGAGTACTACGCATCCCAAGGGGTGAAGAATTCCCAATCCTACTTCGAAACTCCCAACGGCAAGCTCTTCACCCAGAGCTTTCTTCCCCTCGACAAACAAGTCAAGGCCACCGTCTACATGACCCACGGCTACGGATCCGACACCGGCTGGCTCTTCCAGAAGATCTGCATCCATTTCTCCACCTGGGGTTACGCCGTCTTCGCCGCCGATCTCCTCGGCCACGGCAGATCCGACGGCCTCCGCTGCTACATGGGTACTCACTCTCTACTCCTCCCAATCTCAACCGTTGATTTGCCTGATCGCCGTCATTTCCATTATCGCTCTATAGTCAATTTGGGCTGCTGCTAGAAGATGTGGAATTCGGTATCTAATTGCAATATTTGTGAAACCGTATGATCATAGATAAAATATAAGAGCTTAAATCGGTGAGACTAACGAGTTCGCGGTATAATAACCAATAAAATTTTAATACCATCTTCCGATATTGCCCTGTTTGAATTTTGTTTTATGTTAATCGTTCAATCATTCATCAGGCGACATGGAGAAAATAGCTGCAACCTCACTGTCATTCTTCAAGCACGTTCGTTACAGCGAAGAATACAAGGACCTGCCTGCCTTCCTCTTCGGCGAGTCCATGGGCGGGCTAGCCACCATGCTCATGTACTTCCAGTCCGAGCCCACGACCTGGACAGGCCTGATGTTCTCGGCCCCACTCTTCGTGATCCCGGAACCCATGAAGCCCAGCAAGCTCCACCTGTTCGCGTACGGCCTCCTGTTCGGCCTGGCCGACACCTGGGCGGCAATGCCGGACAACAAGATGGTCGGGAAGGCCATCAAAGACCCGGAGAAGCTGAAGATCATCGCCTCGAACCCACGCCGGTACGCGGGCAAGCCGCGGGTTGGGACGATGAGGGAGATCGCCAGGGTGTGCCAGTACATACAGGACAACTTCTCCAAGGTCACTGCGCCGTTTTTGACCGTCCATGGCACTGCCGACGGGGTCACCTGTCCCAGTTCGTCGAAGCTGCTGTACGAGAAGGCGAGCAGCGAGGACAAGAGCTTGAAGATCTATGAAGGGATGTACCACTCGTTGATACAGGGGGAGCCTGACGAGAATGCGGACATTGTGCTGAAGGATATGAGGGAGTGGATTGATGAGAGGGTTGAGAGGTATGGCTCTAACTAAATGATCATAAGAAGGTGAAAATTGTCATTTATGTTTGAGAAATTTTTTTTTTTTGGTTGAAAAAAAGAGGATATTCTACATTGCTTACAATGTTGAATCTCTCCCTTAATTTATATATGGGTTGGGAAATTGGAGAGGGCGGCTCTTACGTTGTATTGTTGCGGGACTATGAGACTCTGATCATGTTTGTAAATGACTAGAGGAACCTCTTTGTTCACAAAAATAAAATAATACAAACTACAAACCATCCTTTAGACCAACTTTAGTGGAGGGTTAAAAGTTCAAATATTTGAAACTAATGCACTTTAGTGGGATTCTAAAAATCCAAATATTTGGATTGGTCCAAATTTTGGTTCCAAATTTGGACCACAAGAAGACAAAATTCTAAAATTGTGGGACCCAAAATGCAAGGGAAGAGTGATGCGCGCCAACAAGGGAGATGAGATGCACGCATAGCCGGTGTAGGTTTCTTCTTGTGCGTGGTTGCCACTGCCGCCCATGCATGGATTTAATTGATAGCTCTTTTAATTTGTATATTTTTTAATTGTCTCTTCGTTCTCACTTCATATAAAAACAAAAACCTCAAACCTATTTAATTTGTACATGTTAATTGAACAAGAATGATTGTATTTTAGTTAATTAGGGATAAGCAAAAATTAACAAAAGTCGTGCTAATTAAGATGGGTAGGAAATTTAATGATGAAATTTTTATGTTCAAATTAAAAAAAATATATATTAAAATGTTCGTCTTAATAAATTATTAGTACCTATCTAAAAATAATGAACAAATTTTGTAATTAGAATGATAAAATCTACATTAAACCGAAATATGAGTTAATGCCAAATTATGAAATTTTGAACTTTTGGAACTCTGCACTAATGCAAAAACACTTTTGGAGGGGCTAGAATTAGAATTATAGCCCCAAATTTTGGAACTTTAGGACCATGCACTAAAGATGGTCTTAGTCACATGATGGTTTCAAAAGGCCTACATTTGGGCCTTGGGCCTTGGTAGAACTTGGGATCAAATATATTGGCCATAGGGGTGGGCAACGGGAAACGAGTATTTGGGTATACCCGTACCCGTCCCGTTTTTTAAGGGTTACGGGTACCCATATTACCCGTAATATTATAAACGGATGGGACTTGGGATTGTACATTCTTAATATGGGTACCCGCGAATACCCGTTTGGGTAATATGGGTACCCGTTATACCCATTCAATACAAAGGCAGCCCAACCCAATTCAGAACCCATTGGCCATTTCGGCCCTCACCCTTGTAATTTCAATTCCATTTGCCATTTGGGCCTAGGGCCCTTACCCTTTCAGTGTGACTCAGCTTCTCTGCTAAAGATTTTAGCTTCCCATGAACCTAAAAATTTGGACACTTTCTGCATTCAGCAACACAAGAAAAGTAGCAGCATGCCTCCCATTTGGTTGTGTTGAATGAAACTTATTTGATAATTTGGTGCTTGGAATGATTTATTTCTATGTGTTGTGATTGTTCATGAATGTGTTATTTGCAAACCGAGTATTTGTGATTGGGATGTATTTTGTGTCTTGTGATTGTTAAACAAATACAAGTTAAGTTTAAACTTTTGTTAAAATTTTAGTGGTTTAAATTTTGGGTATTTATGGGTAGTATGGGTACCCGTTATCCGTCTTGTATGAGAAATGGGTACCCGTTTCCCATATGAGTTTGAGATATGGGATTGACTTTGGTCTCCAAACAGGACTGGATACCCGTTTAAAATGGGACGGGTATCCCGTCCCGTCCCGTTGCCCACCCCTAATTGGCCATGATACTCATTATTGGCCCTGTTTCACGGACTTCTATAATTATGGATTAATGTGGCGAGTGATGGTGGATAATGGATAGTGGGTGGGACTTGGATTAGATAAAAAATTAAGATAATGAGAGAATCGTGACTCGTGAGCAATAAAACCTTACAAAAAGTCGATTGAATATCAAAGTTAGACCGTTCAAGAAAATTGATAACAATTAAATATAGTTTATTGCAGTATCTAAAATTAATTTTTTGGTGAAAGACGGGTGCTTAGCACCCTAAACTTTTATTCAACAATCGAGCGAATGGTAAACCCACCCACAGAGTAAAAAAGGGCCCAACGGCAAACATCCGAGTCTGTAACATCAATCAAATGGGTTCCAGGAGACAGCGTGTGTCCCTTATGAGCTAGACAATCAGCCATAAAATTAGCCTCTCAGTAGATATGAGTGACCCAAACAGACCACTCTCTGCGCAGCATGTTCTGAAAGCGGATGGCAAGGTTGGCGTGTTGATGGCTATGTCGGCCAGTGTCAAGAAGCAGCGCGAACGCAGTCTTGGAATCCAGTTGCAGCTCCACCTAGCGATGACCTGCCTCCCATGCTAGCTCCAGGCCCTTCAGTGCCCCCCAAATCTCGGCCCGGGTAATGGAACATCTTCCCAGGTTCATTGTATAGGCCCCCAACAAGCGACCCTGCCAGTCTCTAAGCGCTCCTCTTGCCGCGGTTGACCCAGACGGTCGCAGGAGCGACCCGTTCGAGTTCACTGTGATCCACTCTGTCGGGGCCGGTCTCCACCCCACGACCATGTCTCGACGCGACCCTGACCTCCCTAGTAAAAAGGTTGTGTTCCGCGGTACTACTTTGTTGAGTGACGACCTGCCAGGCTAGGATCCTTTGAGATAACTTGTTGGAGGCTTCTACGATGTCTGAAAAAATGAGACCATTCCGAGCACGCCATAGAAACCAACAGGTAAAACCAAAACGAACATGTTCTGGGGGCACTTAACTGCCTATGTGAACCACTCCTGGAAGCTGCGGGTGTCGTTGGTAGAGATCATGGATGGTAGGAGCTCCCGCCAGACTTCCTGCGCGAAGTTGCACTTGCAAAGAACATGATCAAGCGTCTCTTCCTCGCCTCGACATCGCGGGCATGTAGCTTGGGCAGCAATGTGACAACGTGAGCGCTCCGCGTTGGTCCACAGGAGCCCGTGTGCTGCAAGCCATAGGAAGTGACGGACACGGTTGGGTCCCAGCTATTTCCACAACTTTCTTTACGTGGAAGTTACTTGGCTTCCGTCAATTTCCGCAACCATCCGGTATGCTGACTTGAGGGAGAACTGATCGGACTGCTCCAGTCCCCACACTAACTCATCCTCGCCGAGCTCCTCCCTGGGAACAGGCATTCCTGCCACCTGCAAAGCCAGCTCAGGAGGTAAGTATTTCTCAATAATATCCATACGCCACATATCATTATTTGTAGCCAAATCCGCCACAGACAAGTCCTTGGCGAATTGGTCATCGACATTGGTGGTGTGGTCCACAAGAGTCACGCCACTATCGAGCCAGCTGTCCTGCCAAAAGGAAGTCCTCCCGCCATCCCTGACACTCCATCGGAATCCACCATCCATGAGTCCCACACCCGCCTGATCCCTCTCCACAGCACCGAATGACCAGTTTTCCTGCGAGCACTAACAACACCATTAGGTCCCTCCTTAAGAATTAAGATACTCCACCTCACATCCGCTGCTGCATCCTCTATGAGGTGGCTAAGCCGCTCAATACAAAGGGTGAATAAGTACGGAGAGTGGGGGCATCCTTGTCGAATCTCTCTCGTCGGTCGAAACCTCTCTGTGGCCGAACCCTCCCACAAGATTTCCATAGTCGAACTAGTGATACAGCCCATAACATCCCGAGAGAAATCCGGAGGCAGTCCCACTCTCTATAGAGTATCCTCGATGAACCCCCACTGGATGCGAACATAAGCCTTGGCTAAGTCGATCTTGAGCACCATCTGCCCCTTCCCACTTCTCTTGGAGTGTATCGAGTGTACAACTTCTTGCAATAGTCCCCCTCTATTGTGATATCTCTATAAACCTTCGGAGTTTTCCTCAATCGATCTCAAACACCTTCTATCTCTTGATATACCTGTATGCTTTTCTTAACGGTCTGAAAGAAAGGAGTGTTTCATAGTAAGATCTCAACAAACCAAGGAGGCAACTCGAAGACACAAGAACCTCAACCCAATCCTGGGTAATGCTGGTGACGAGCAAGAAGAGATCAAAGGCGGAAGCTTAGTGGGCCTTACTAACTGACCAGGTATATGATACTAAACTCATTTAGATTTCTTACAATTTGAGTTTGAATGCTATTTTACTCTATTCTTATATGAGTAAAGATTGCTAGTATCCAGATTGTTTTCATCTTGAACATGGAACTGGTAATGATCCTACTACTGGGATTTTAAATAATATTTGTAGATCGTTTATCATCCTTAATTAGTAAGGTAGACAAGTTTTCCAATAATTTGGAAGAATTGACTCTTAAACAGAGTGAAATTGAAGACCTGATCTTCAAGAGTAAATTCACTTTGGGATTTGCTGCTAGTTCTCGAATTAGTTCTGAATTTGAGAGATTGAATAAAATTCGACGAGAACTTAATAATTCTTCTACTTCATAAAAGATCTATGAGTAGTTCCTGGTGAGGAGCATACTCACAATAGTTGGTATCAGATCCTTAAATTGAAGAAGAGTTTTTTTTTTAAGTTTGAGTACTTTTTTGTGAAAGGAAAAAATTGCATGATTGTTTTGAAAATTTGAATGGTACAAAGGTGCCCCAATTCTAGCGTGAACGCCCAAAATATTGCCAGGTGACTAGTTTGGAAAATAGATACAAAAGGTGGCTAGTTTTAGAAATTGTTTCTTTTTAGTGATTATTTTTGTAAATAAACCCACGCATTGAGTGAGTTTTAACCGATTAATTTCATGTGAATTTAGCTATTGACATGCCCATTGCTCATACCTACGTAACAATTTCCAGCTCTCTATTTTTTCATATGCTGTTAGATATACTTTTAAATTTCAGTAACATATGATCTAATGAAGGAATTGCACGTAGACAATGCAATATCAAAGATCCATTTTATTACAATCGCCACTTTTTGTTAATTGCCAAGCTCGCCAATCAAATTCCAAAACTACCTAAATTAATCCGTAGACATTCCGGTACACAATCTTTTTGTATGCGTAGCGCCAAAATCATTCAAACGACAAAGATATGGAATTCCAATTTTTTTTTAAAAAAAATACGAGCACGTGGAGCAATTTCTTATCTTTCTGAAAAGAGAATTTTGGCAGACTAACTGATTATTTTTATCGGTTAATGAAAGAGCCCAATGCAAAAAAAAAAAAAAAATGCATGTTGGGTCTTTACTTGTATGACATAGATGTCTTGTATTTCTCGAAAAAGTGATTCGATTGATGGGATTTGGTATGATACTTATGAGATTGATAAGATTGATATTCCAAAATTGCTTCTTAGAACGTATTGATTTGACCCCATAAGCGGGACCACCACCCCATAGCATGTTGCCTCTAGAAACCCGTATTTTTTTTGTTTAAGCCACGTAACCCGACGCTCCCGATGACCAATGCGCCCCTCTTTCTCCTGACTCGTTCATACCTCCGCGCCTCGCTCCTGCACACGAAGGCGCCCACCGAGCTCCTTACTTAGGGCTCGTTAGCACTCCGACGCCCAAGTTAGAACAGTCTTTCTAGAAGAGAGAAGTGAAGTGTAGTTTTAGAGAGAAGTTCTAACCTGAGTAAATGAGCTCCACTAACTTCACTATTTATACCCAGGGTAGGGTCGACCACTGCCCCCCAAATCCGCCCCACGTCATCATCTCATTACCCCTGCCATGCGCCCCGACATTCTGACATCGGCTCTTGACACCGAGGCGCATGACCCCACATCATGTTCCCTCCGTACGCTCCCGGCCGTTGCCACTTTTGTCATCATGCGCTTTACGTCATGCCCAGTCCCACCACCTAGGTTATAGCCTCAGGCCCCTTTTGGGGTGGGCTTTCCTCTTGTCAGGCCCGCACTTCAGGCCCACTTCGACTTTCTAGGCTCCTCCCTTGGGCTCTTGTATGCCCCCAGCAATTGCCCCCCAGTTAGGCGCCTACCATCTGGTAGGGGCCTAACTACCCCAAGCGTCCCGAGAAGCGCCTTCATGCCCTAATGCGTGCCCTCTTTTCCATTTCTCTCTCCGGAAGCGTGCGCTTCGCTAGGAGTCTCTTCACCCGTCGTGCGCTTTCTTCCCAACTACCCCCGTCCGCGCTTTGGCTCTCTCCTCTTCCCAATTACTTATTTCCCTAAGTATTCTTACTTAAAATGTGTCATATAAGTAGTCGATCAACACGAGGTTAATTGAAACTAGCAGCCAGATTCATTCCTCAGAAGAAAGAAGAGCAATGAAACAAACAGACCACAAGCCAAAGATAGTATTTCCCGGGCAACTGCCTTGGTTGGTGGCTATATGAGGAATTTTACAATGCTATATAGCATTGGTGCTATAGGTTTTTCCCTTTATGGTATAACTTGAAGTTGTATCTTTAATGTTATGGTACAACTTCAGATTGTACCTATACTCTTTTGTCAAATTGTTTTATGGTACAACTTAAACTTGTACTTTCATTTGATGGTACAAGTTTAAATTATAAAGTTGTACCATAACATAAGAGCACAAATTCCTTTATGGTACAACCTGAACTTATACATTTAACGTTGTGGTACAACTTTAAGTTGTATATTAAAGCACCAATACTTTATAGCATAGTAGAAGTGCTCGTGCCTATATATGTGTTATAACTGCACGGCTACGGATAGGGTATGTATATGTGTTGGGTGTTTCGAGTTTCGTTATTTTAATCACCCTACTCATACACTACGGTTTTGAAAATACCAAATCCAAATCCACCCAAATAATTTAGAACCCTACGGTTTGTCTATAGTTGGGTTGTGTGGGGTTGGAGGTACTTTTAATTAAAACCCAACCCAATAAAAAAAAATACAACTATTCTATACCACAAAATATTATATAAATAATTAAATTTTTAAACAAATAAATTGAAGCGAAAAGTATTAAAATATAAAAAAATGGTATTTGCATTTTAATTTTTTTTACAAAGATTTGCATTTTAATGAAACATAATTTGCTTCAAAATAAGTCTAGTTTTTTTCACAAAACATTTGTCGAAATAGGAAAATAGCCGGAATCGAGAAAGTAAGAATACAAAAGCGAGAATCGGAAACAGACACACGATTTACGTGGTTCACTAACACAATGTGTGTTAGCTACGTCCACGGGCAAGAGAGATCCAGTTTCACTATATCGAGGAGATTACAGATTACAGAAGAGATGAGAAGTATTTACACTTCTCCATGTGGGTCTAAAACCTAATCTAATATGGTCAGCGAGACACCGTGACTTCTAGTCGTAGTGCCTGATAGTCTGATTCAAGTCACATTAACAAATCTCCACCTTGACTTGAATCCTCTTCCTCTGAAATCTCTGATGTACTCTGGCTCCTTATCTCTCTCCTGCCATCAATGCCTTGCAGGGCGGAGTCACTCACTCAAGACATTCAGCAAGTCCAAGCAGTGTTTGAACTTGCCATGTGGAACCGGCTAAGTGAACATATCAGCAGGATTATCCACGGTGCCAACCTTCTTCACCTTGATCCTCTTCTCCGTCCTCAAGTAATGATACCTCACGTCGATATGCTTAGTCCTCTCATGATGGACTTGATCCTTGGCCAAGCGTATTGCACTCAAACTGTCGCAATAAACAGGACACCCAAAAACTTTCAGTAAAGTGTAATCAACTGGCTTACCATACCACACTTCATAAGAAGTCTTACACTCGATACCTGTGTGAGGTCCACGGTTGATCAGGAAGCACGCAATGTTTACTGCTTCTGCCTAGAATCTTCTCTCTAGTCAAGCATTAAAGAGCATGCACCGTGCTCTCTCCAACAATGTCTGGTTCATCCGTTCTGCAACGCCGTTCTGCTAGGATGTATCTCTAACGATCCGATGATAGGCATTCACTACATCCTTGTAAAAGAACTCTAGAAATCCAGACCATTCTCTGTTAACAGCTTCTTGATCTTGTTCCCGGTTTGATTCTCCACTAGTCTCTTCCACTGCTTGAACTTCGTGAAAGCCTCACTTTTCTAATTCATCATGAAAATCCAAGTAAATCTCGAATTTTAATCAATAATAGACAGAAAATACCTGCTGCCTCCAATGGATTCAACTCGTGAAGGACCCCAACAGTTGGAGTGGAGGTAATCCAGTATCCACAAAGAAGATCCCTCTTCGACAAAACTTGCATCCCCGTTCACTCATATGACCCAGTCTCATGTGCTAGAGAGTGGTCATATCTTCCTGATTAACCTGAGACGATGCAACTGCAGAATAACCTGACATCAAATTTCCTTGTAATGCATACAAGGTACCACGTTTCACGCGTTTCAGTACCTTCATCGAACCCTTGCAGACATACACAACTCCACCTTTTCCTTTGAAACTGTGACCCTTGCTATCGAGTAGAATCAAGGAGATCAGGTTCTTTGTCATTCGTGGAACATGTCTGACATCATTCACAGTACAGAATGAACCACCATGTGTCCGAACCTTTATGGACCCGATTGCAACAACCTTGCAGATAGCTCAATTTGCCATGACCACATTATCACTCTATCAGCTCGTAGGTTGTGAAGCAATCCCTGTTTGGAGACATATGGAATGAGGCTGCAGTAGCATCTCCTAGCTGTCGACTGGACCTTTGGAATTCTTGTTCGAATTCCCTTTACCAGATTTCTTCTTTTGCTTTCCACCTGTGATAGCCAACCTCGATGCTTCACCCCCTGTACTAGATCCGGGCGCCTTATGTCTGATCTCTCTCGTGTGAAGAGCAGATCTAACATCCTCCAACGACAAGCTATCTTTACCAGCAATCAAAGAATCCACGAAATTCTCATATGAACTTTGAAAGACACAAGCAGGATTAGGGCAACATCTTCATCATCAACTTTCACATCTATATTGCGTAAATCCAACAAAATAGAATTAAACTGTTCCAAATGTACCTTCTTGCATCCTCAAACTGAACAACTGTTACTTGAGATGCAGCTTGTTGGTTAAAGAATTCATCATACATAGACTCTCCAGGTTTAACACCAAACCCGCGGCAGTCTTCTCAACATCAACTTCAATGATGACATCATCAGATAATGATAGCATGATGGCTGAGTGAGCCTTCTCCTCCAGTGTATTCCACTCATCATCATCATCGACCGCTACCTTCTTCTGTTTTGCACACAGCGGTTCTCACAACCCCTGTTGTTTCAATATAGCCTGCATCTTGATCTACCATATAGCGAAGCTGTTCTTCCCCGTGAACTTCTCGATCTTAATGTTTACCGACATTATTCTTTAGAATCGAAACCCTAGCCTAATTTCCAGTCGCGGCTCTAATACCACTTGTTATAACTGTGCTGCTACGGATCAGGAAATTGCCGGAACCGAGAAAGCAAGAATACGAAAGCGAGAATAAAAAACAGACACACGATTTACGTGGTTCACTAACACGATGTGTGTTAGCTACGTCCACAGGCAAGAGAGAGCTAGTTTCACTATATAGAGGAGATTATAGATTACAAAGGAGATGAGAAGTATTTATACTTCTCCATGTGGGTTTAAAACCTACTCCAATCTAGTAAAGGAAACGGTTACAGACCAGGCCCAAAGCCAACAACCCGAACCCCTTGGCTGGGGCGTTGCCCCTGGACCCCACTTGCTTACCTAGCAGCGAGACCCCCGTGACTTCCAGTCGTAGCGGATGATAGTCCGATTCAAGTCACATCAACAATATGGATCAACACGAGGTTCGACGACCGGCAGCCAAATTCATTCTCCAGAAAAAAGTAAAGTAATGAAACAAACAAACAACAAAACAAGGGAGGAAGCCAAAGATAGTATTCCCGACAACTGCCTGCTAGATGGGCTATATATTGATCATATCCACCATTGTCAAGAAGAATTAGGCTCGTCTTATTTGGGACATTGACTCGCAATATGCACTCTTCCGTTACATTTAAAACAATGAATTCCCCTAGAAGATCCACCTTGCATAACAATAGAATTTGAATTCTCAACCATTGTCGCAGGCCTAAGAGCCTCTCTAGAAGGAACTTGCGGTTTAAGGTTAGTAGCAATATCTTGATTTGGTTGTGGGTAACTCATAGAAGGTTGATACCTTCTAGTACGTAGCTGCCTCTACACCTTGCTTGTCATAACCACCAGATCTTCAAGTTCAAGGAATGGTTGGATTTCAACTACGTTTTATATCTCATTATTGAAACCATACAAGAATCAAGCGATGGTGGCCTCTCGATCTTCTCTAACCTTAGCCCGTATCATCAAAACTTCCATCTCCTTGTGGTAATCTTCAACAATTTTTGTACCTTGCCGAAGAAGTTGGTGGTTCTGATACATATTTCTTTGATGGGAACTTGGCACAAACTGATCCCTTATAATGACCTTCATCTCGTCCCAATATCAATAGGACGCTGTCTATTTCTCCTCCTCGTGCATAACTGATCCCACCAAACTAAAGCATAATCCGAGGATTCTAGGGTATCCAACACCACCTTCTTCTTCTATGAGTAATTTCTGGTTAGTGCATCAATTCGCAATTTATATAATGAATAACATGTAACTAATACCATCATCTTACATTTGATTTTGGAGTGGTTAATTATACAAAGCATTAAGATGTGTATATAATATATTAGATATATAGCTAATTACTTAACCGATTAATTTGGTTAGATCGGTTAGGAGTGTTTGAAACCAAACCAAACCACCTAAACCAAATAAGCTATAAAATTTAACCAACCAAACCAATTATCCAAATTAACCAAAGTAAATTATCTAAACACTACCGGTTAAAACAGTTACTGCAGTAACTACACCGTTTGAACATCCCTTGTGGGAAAGCCTGAGTGGGGCCCCGCCGGCCAACGGTGGCATCACTGCCGGCATGCAACCGAAGCGAAAACCCTAGTGCGCCGCTGAAAACTTTTCCTCTCTGCTCCTAACTTTTCGGAGCGAAAAAACCCTACTCCTTGTTTAGATGTTATATAGAGTGAATTTCAAATACATATCTAGTGTATTATTTTTGAATTTTAAATACATATAAATGGTTAGTGATCTAAAATTGCTCATAGCATCATAGATAATTGATTTTAAAATTTTAAAAGTTAAGCTACGGAAGAAAAAGTAGATCGAGTGCTAAAATATACTTTTCATAAAATTGTAAAGTTTCATAAAAAAACAGGGAAAAATGGAATAGTCAAATGAATTTCAGATTTATAATTTAAATTAAAGCAAACATTTCAAACTCAAATATCTAAATACACTCGAACTGTAACTAAAAAAAAAAAAAAAACCTACAAGTAATCCATCAACACAAGATTAAAACCGGCAGCCAGATTCATTCCCGAGAAGAAAGTAAAGCAATGAAACAAACAGACAACAAAACCCATGAAGGAAGCCAAAGAGAGAGCATTTCCCGGCAACTTGCTCTTGGATACAAGCTAGGTTAGATCGGCCGCCAGATTCATTTTCCAGAAGAAAGTAAAGTAATGAAACAAACAAACAAACTAACAAACAGATAGACAGCAAAACAAGGGAGGAAGCCAAAGACGGTATCCCCCGGCTACTGCCTGCTGTATGGCTATATATGGATCATCGTCGTGAATAAATAAAGAGGGATTATAACAAAACCATGGACTCACCATTGTCAGCAATGAAGAAGCTGGCCATTATTGCCTCCATTTTCTACACATCATCAGTTTTCCCCATGATGATGACGACGACCCTAAATATTATTCATAGTACTGAAGCCAACAATAATGAAGTAGTAGTGTTCAGATTCAACTGCCTCTGCAACCCGGACTCGTTCTGGGCGAAGGATCTCCGGGCTCGTTGCTTGGATGATCTGCTAAGCAACCTATCTGGGTCCGCAGACGACGCTCTCGTCGGCGGCGACTTCAACCTTACCCTGCCTTGCTTTGGGTGGCCCATGTACGGTCACAGGTGGGTGGATATGGCGAAACCCGCAGCTGCGGATTGTCTTCAGCAAGCTAGAGATGCTATCCAGCAGTGTTGCAAGCACCGCAAAGGTGCTGACGTCTCTACCGGCGATACTTGTCGGATGAGGTTTGAGCTTTATCCCTTCTGGCACGTATAATAAGCAGAGTTGCCAATTTAATAGAGATGACAATTTTGTACTCTCTCGATGTTAATCGAGATGACAATAACCATTTACAATGCTATATAGTATTGGTGCTATAGGTTTTTGTCTTTATGGTACAGCTTGAAATTGTATCTTTACGTTATGGTACAACTTCATATTGTACCTATACTTTTTGTACAAATTCTTTCATGGTACAACTTGAACTTGTACCTTTATGTGATGGTACAACTTCAAGTTGTAAAGTTGTACCATAACATAATGATACAAATTTCTTTATGGTACAACCTAAACTTATACATTTAATGTTATGGTACAACTTCAAGTTTACATTAAAGCACCAATACTATATAGTATAGTAGAAGTGCTCGGACCTTTTGTACTCTCTCGATGTTAATAGAGATGACAATTTCGATCTAACCGATTTAATTACCCGATTTGTTTGATAATTCTCATGTTGATTCATCTGACCTATTTTTGGCAAATCAGATATAGCGTTACTCAAATTATTTAGGATTTTAGTTTAATTACCTCATCTGTACGTGGAATCTTCATCGAGTAAAACACTTGTGTTACGTCTAAACTCTCAGTTTCTCTACCTACTGTATATTGTTTATATATATGGTGCCTTTTACGGTACCCCGGTTGAAATCCAGCGTTTTCTTACTCAAGGTATACGGTTCCCTAGATTTCACCCTGGGTACCGTAGAACTCTTCATATTTATTCATATGGCAAAGGCTAGCGTATGCTATACGGGATGGGATTAGGTGCTAACCCCTAGGGGTTAGCACCGTGATAACTAGCAAAAATCACTACGGATTATTATAAAATCAATACAACATCTAAACTAAATCACTACTAATTCAAACTAGTAGTAGTTTTTCCCTTGGTTAGGACGGTGCTAACTATTGTACAATTAGCACCGTAGCCGTTCCCTACGCTATACGCCTGTGTTCACACTTATTAATTAAATAATAATTTAAATTAAATAATTTATAAATATATCAATTATAAATTACACCTACAATCATTGATTACCTATTTCGTACACTTTAGTCCCATATTAATTTTTACCCATCATTTAAGTATTCAGTATATAAAATTGAATGCCTTATTTCTCAGTTACCACATGTATCCAATGTTATTGGAGTTTTATCATCGGTTTCCCATCTATCCGGAGAGAGCCAAATTAATTTATTGAGAATTCCGAACACCGGCAAAATAGATCCTGTAATACTGGCTGGAGGGTTTGGGAATAGCTCCGAGAGGTTGATTTTCATGGTCACGGCCGAAAATCTAGAAAAGATTTACTTTTAAGAACTTGTATCGAGCGAAGTTGGACTATTTCTCCTAAAAATTCAGAATTTTAATGGGTCGTTAAATGGAAGAGATCGAGAAGGAGAACCAGTGCTAACATAGCCTCTGGTAAGATTTAATCAAACATGCCCTGCATTTTATTTTGGGTAAATGCCACATTTGGTCACTGAGATTACTAAATCGTCTTATATCTAGGACTGAAAATTGCCCTGATCCATCTGTCTCATCCCTGTCCATGTCTGACCCGTTCCTGAAAGGTCAAGATGTATAACTGACCCGTCCCGTCCCTGTCTCCTTCTTGACTCTGTATGACCCTCAAAGGATGGAACAGGCCGGGACGGGTCGGGTCAGTGGGTCGACCCTAATCAACACACTACTTTGTTTACAAATTATGATTTCGTAGCCAAAATTATTTTTTCTTACAATTTAGTACCTAAAATTTATTTTTTTTACAAATAAGTCCTAAAAATTTTGATGGTAAAATTACAAAATGTTACACAAATTTTTTTATTTTTGCAATTTAGTACCTAAACTTTTTAAACTTTTACAAAGAGGTCCAATGTAGTATTAGATATTTGTAGTTGCTAAGGGTCACAGGGTCAAAAAGTGACCCATCCCTAAGTTGACCCGACCCGTCCCTACCCTTATAGGGTCAAAAGCTGACCAGTCCCTAAACTGACTCTATAGACAAACTGACCCGTCCTGACCCTTAGGGACGGGACGGGTCGGGACGAGTCAGTGGGTTTTTAGGGTCACACTTACACCCCTAGTTATATCTAGTCACTAGAAAAAAATAATATCAATTTTGGTCACTCGAATTACTAAAACAGGTCACATTTACTAAAATTGATATTATTTTTTTGTAGTGACTAAACATAATACGATTTAGTAATCTCAGTGACCAAATGTGGCATTTACCCATTTTACTTTGGATGAAAACTTACTACAGAAACCATCATGTTTACAGGTCCACCAGGTAACAATATATATATATATGGGTTACACTCGCATGCTCCTGACACATAGCATGCGCCAAATTATCTACACCGTTGATCTAATCTAACACACATGATTATTTCTAATGAAATTGATTATTAATTGTCAATAATAATTACTTACTACATCCATTAAAAAGTTTTGCGTAGAATGTAGTCCTCTGACAATTTTTCTTATTACTTTTTGTTTTAAACTACCTTGTTTCTTCCGTATATAGATTTACCTACCTATATTTTGTATGATTGATTGTTTTATTAATCTAAATTTGTTATGTATTTCTTTCTCAGCCAGTTTCCGATAGATAATCTTTCTCCAAAGGACAATCACTTATGGAGGTCTGGTGTCCCTTTTTTTTTCCCTTCCCGAAGCAATTTGTGGCCATTTGAACAGCCAGGTCATCGTCATTTTAATGAAACCTAAATCATTCTCACAGATACCATCATCAAAACCCTCTTACCGTGGCCCCATCACCGATAAGTTCATTTCCTGTGTCTTCCATCTTTCCCTTATGGGCAAGAACTTGATGATTTCTGTTCTTTTTCATGCTCGTGGCTGAATGGAGTGACTGAAAATTGCCGAATTGAGAGATCGAGCAAGAGTTAATCCAGGCGCCGAGGCCCCAGGGCCCGGTAGTTGCCGATGCATGTGGTTTTGAGACTGAGGTACGCTGGCTTGATGGCGACCCGCAAGCTATGGGGCTCCTCGTCGATGACGAATGCATCGCAATCGATTTTGCCAAAAATTATAAACTCTTTCCAATTCCTTATCCCATGAACGAGATCTCGATTAGACAAATTTCCCTCGGTCCTTCAACCTCGCTCAGAAAACAAAACAACCATATCGACTTTTTCACTCCGGATACGGCAGTGGATCGTCGTCAATTAAGTTGATCAACGATGGGCTGACAGGTTGGGAAGGGTTCTGATGATGGTGAAATTGGGGGGAAATATTTACGGCTTGATGATGATTAGAATTGAAAAGGATTTTCTGGTTTGCTGATGATGATGTTGTTAAAATGTGAAAGAGAGAAACAAAGGATTAAATGGGTTGGATGTTCATACAACTTGTCGCCTTCGGCACCTTTTTATCTGGAATTCTATAATGAAAGAGAAGCTAAAGAAAACAAACTGGCGTTTGGTAATGGAATAAATTTTGATGGCTGATGTTTTTATTTAATTATACAAATTTTGGGCTTAAAAGTATCACTAAATGAAATTACGTATTGCAATATCAAATATTTAAGGGGGCAAGTAGTAATTATTATTATTTTTATTATTATTATTATTATTTATAATGACCGTAAGATTAGATCAATGGTGTAAAGGCCTGGTGCATTGTATGTGTCATGAGCATACGAGTCGTATCCATATATATATATATAGCGAGTTCTATGGTACCCTGGGTGAAATCCGGGGTACCGCATACCTTGAGTATGAAAACACTATCTAGACCTTGAATTGACCAATCTTTCGGACATGATACTATACTATAACACTTAAAGATCAAAATCTAGGTGTTAACTCTCCCAATCTTATACTCCAAGATCAATTTAATTAGAAATAATAATCGACGGTTATGATTCATTCAAATATAGGCACAAAAAGGAATGCACCATCTTAGGGTTTATAGATTATGATTTAGATAATTATGACCTAGGGTGCACTCATTAAGGGTTAGGGTATAATATCAGACACAAAAATCCTGGTAATTCGAGGTCTAGATAGAGTTTACATACTCGAGGTATGCGGTATCCCGGATTTCACCCGGGGTACCATAGAAGCCACCATATATATATATATATATACGGTAATTAAGTTGGACTATCTTAAATTTTGTTGGGGATTTCAAATGTCATTTTTAGAAGATCCTCTATAGTTATAATAGAGAGGAGTTACAACCAATAAAGTGACAACGAATTAATAAGAGAGAAGAGAAACTAAAAAACTGCAAAACTCTTCATTTCTGCAGCATGGCAGCGATTCAGAAGAGCATAACGAGATAACAAACCGTTGGATCTTTCTGAAATGTAATGAGAATATTTTAGGCTCATTGTCCTTCAAACTGCCCGCACAGATCGTCGATATAATCCCTGGTTGGTCTGTAATTGCTTCTGGACAGAGAGAGTATATAACTATTTTCTGTACTTCCGAAACATCTCTTCTTCTTTATTATCCTTCGTGTTGAGTTGTGCTTGGGTTGGATGCAAGTTTGGACTTGGAAGTTGAACAAATCGATATGAAGACGGCGTTTCTTCATGGTGACTTAGAGAAAGAAATATACATGGATCAACCAGAATGGTTCGAGGTTAAAGGCAAAGAAAATCTCGTATGCACATTGAGAAAGAGCCTATACGGGTTGAAGCAAGCACCGAGGCAATGGTACAAGAAATTTGACTCATTCATTGTCAACCACGAGTACGCAATAACTACCTTATATCATTGTGTGTTTGTGAAATACTTCGCTGAAAATGATTTCATTATTCTCCTACTTTACGTGATTGACATGTTGATCGTGGGTCGAAATGTTGGAGAGATTGATCGCTTGAAAAAAAAAGAGTAAATCCTTTACCATGAAGGACCTACGACCGGCGAAGAAAATTCTGGGGATGGAAATTTCTAGGGATTAGAGGAATGGAAAGATTTGATTGTCTCAAGAAAGGTATATTGGAAAAGTTCTTGAGCGGTTCAACATGAGCAAGTCTAAGGTGATGAGTACTCCATTTGCTAGACATTTCACATTGAGTTCGAAGGATTGTCCTAAAAGTGAGGAAGAGAAAGAAGCAATGAAGAAGGTTTCGTATGCGTCAACTATGGGAAGATTGATGTGCGCCATAGTTTGCACAAGGCTGAAAATTGCTCATGTCGTAAAGGTGGTTAGTCGATTTATTTCCAATCCAGGGAAAGAACATTGGTAAGTAGTGAAGTGGATTCTTTGTTACTTGAGAGGTACTTCTAAAGTATGCTTTGGCACAGGAAAAACCATACTTGATGGATATGCAGATGCTAACATGGCGGGTGATGTGGATTCTAGAAAGTCGACCTTTGGATACATGATGGCTTTTGTAGGAGCGGCAGTTTCATGGCAATTTAAAATTCAAAACTGCGTTGCATTATCAACAATGGAAGCCGAGTACATAGTTGTGATAGATGCTTGTAAAGAGATGCTATGGTTGAAGAAGTTTCTTCAAGAGGTGGGCATTAAACAAGAGAGTTATGTGCTATATTGTGATAGTCAAAGTGCAATCCATCTTTGCAAGAATTCTACTTTCCACTAAAAGTCAAATCTCTACCACATGAGAAACTTTTTTTCGACGAGATGAGGCAGGTTTGGTGCTACCCCTGTATGAGCTGGAGGAGGAGATTTGTTGGGTTGGTCCAACTTCTTATGGTGGTTGGATTAACCGGTTTATAGAAGTTACAGTAATTAAGTTAGGTTATCTTGACTTTCGTTGGAGGAGTTCAAATGTCATTTTTAGAAGATCCTCTATTGTTATAATGGAGAGGGGTTACAACCATTAAAGTGACAAAGAATTAAGAAGAGCAAAGAGAAACTAACAGGTTGCAAGACTCTTCGTTTCTGCAGCAGGGCAACCTGTTCAAGAGAGCATAACGGGAGAACAAACTGTTGGATCGTCCTGAAATTTAATGAGCATATTCAAAGCTCATTTTCCTTCAATCTGACCACACGGAACGTTGGTATAATCCCTGGTTGGTCTGTAATTGCTTCAGGACAAAGAGAGTACGAAATTATTTTCTGTACTTCTGGAACATCTCTTCTTCTTTGTTATCCCCTGTGTTAGTGAGAGATATTTGGTTGATAGGCGATCCAAGAAAGTTGTTCTTGAGGTAGTTTGTAATCCTTAGCTAGACTATAGAGGACTTGTAATCCCACCAAAGTATACTGGAGTTGTGGGTGGACAAATGTCTCGTTGTTTTTCCCGATTTGTGTTTTCCACGTAAAAATTGTGTGTCTTGTGCATTTCATTTGTGCTTGGTCTGTTTTCTTCCTTCGAATAGGAGTGCTGGTTTTAAAGGAAGAAATTCAAGGGAAAAAATATCTAAAGGGAGAGAGTGACGACAGGAGGTCTCCGTCTCATCTTCCGACAATGAGTCCCTCTCCCAACAGATATGAATACTTCAATCAACTTTGATTTGAAACCCTAGGGTCATTTAAAGCCTAGTCCCTCGCCATAAATTAGCGCCGGTCGCCACCGTGAGATTGAACGCCAGCTTGTTTGCTTGAAGCAAATTGCTTCCGCGATCGTGATTGATTTTTTTTTTTATGAAAGCCGTGATTGATTTGTTTATGTCCTATAATTTTTAGATTAATAATTTACATGATTGATTCAAGCACGAAAAAAATCATTTGGGACTAAATAGTATTGAAAAATAAATTAATAGGTGTGACTGTAATTATAATTATTATTAACTATAAATGATTAATATGTGTGAACACATGCATATAGTGTACGCCTGGCATACGCTAGTTTGAACCACACACATATATATACTAGCACAGAAGTCCACGCTGCGCCGCGAGAACTGATACGAAAAACAAATCAATGAGGATTTTTAATTAATTTGTGGAAGTGTTCACAAAAATAAATAATTGTACCAATAAAAATTTGTTTTAGAAAGGGATAAATTTAATATTTCATGAGTACCTGACTACATAAAAACTTGTTCTATCAGCAATGATAGTGACGTGATGCACCAAAATGGAAAAGAAAAATCTTCAGAACCTGTGGAGAAAGGAATGCTAAAACTCGACATTCTACCACCGGTAGTTGCCAACATCACAACATTTACAAAGAGAAGGGATTGTATGTAAACTGGTTGTGACAATGATAACCATGTTTTCTCAGGGATTAAAATGTATGTCCTATATTGTAGACACACATACTAACCTTGTAAAGTACATTCCAAAGTTTCCAAATCAGACTCCTTAAATAAGGAATTGCTTAGTCCCTATTAATCCACACCCAACTCAATCCCGCCGATTGAAAAAGTAGGTAAAACTCGCTCTCGAGTCAAAACTCATCAATACCATGTTCAATGTGCTTTGACCAGGTCGATTGTTTTATTTTTAGGGTGCGGGTTTGATGGAAAGTAGGCTGAGTTATTTTAACAAAATGCACACGCGCCCATACCTACCAATTACAAAAATAGGTCAAAGTCGCTCCCGCGCAAAACTTGTCAACACCGGGTTCAACTCGTTTAGATAGAATTAAATGAAGTATGATACCAGTCCATAAAGTGACATTATTTTTTGTTGCAGGTTGGATGGAAAGAGGATTTTAAACAAAAATCAACAACCGACTCAACCGCCAATTACAAAAGCGGGTAAAATTAGCTTCTGACCCATAACTCATCAAAAACATATTCAAACCGCGTTGATTGGATCGATTGTTTTGTTTTTTTAGATGCAAATCAATGGAAAGTGAGGACGATTTTCTAACAAAATACACTCCTGACCCAAGCCAGCAATTACAAAAGCTGGTGAAACTTGCTCACTGACTCAAATTTTCTTAAAAGAGGGTTTCACTAGTCGAATTAAGTTGGAAAAAAAAAAAAAGAGGTCCTTCTCTTGATGTGGGATGTACGAAAAGTAGAAGGAATTAAGACATAAAACTAATTAAGAAAGAATGTTAAAACCATTAAAATCGTAAAGGGCAGGAGTTTTATTAATTACAAATGAAGGAAAGATGACAGAATTTTAACAAAATTCCATACCCAACCCATTTGGCTAATTACAAAAGCGGGCCATGTTTGAACAAAAAATCATACTCTACCCAAATCGCGAATCATAAAAGTAGGTAAAAAATGCTTCTGACCCAAAATCTCGTCAACACCATGTTCCACCCCAATTGACCTTATATATTTTCCTATGCGGGTTGGATAGAAAGCGGGGTGAATTTTTAACAAAAGTCACATTCGACCCTACTCGCTAAACAAGCTTCCAACCCAAAAATTCGTCAACGCCATGTTCAACCAAGAATGAACTGATATTTTTTATGCGGGTTGGATGGAAAGCGGGCGAGTTTTTAACAAAATCCACACCCAACCCAACTTGGTAATTACAAAAGCGGGTAAAACTTTCTCTCGATCGACCCAATACTCGTCAAGATCGGGTTCAACTCGCTTTAGCTTAGTCTGATTAGGATGGATTCATTTATGTGTAGACTCTAAGGAAATCAAGAAATAGTTTAAATTCAAAGGGAAATCAAGAGATAAAAGTAATTAAGAAAGAAAAGAAAAACTATAATTTAATAAGATCGGGTTTTAACTCGCTTTGGCTGAGTCTGATTAGGTTGGATTCATTTATGTGTAATTAAAAATGAAAAGAAAAACTATAATTTAATAATAATAAAAATACTCTAATGTGTGACTCTAAGGAATAGTGTAAAAGACAACCCCTCTTTTAATATCTTAATTAATTAATTAATATATTTTTCTATGCGGGTTGGATGGAAAGTGGGGCGAGATTTTAAAAAATTCCAAACTCGACCCTGCTCGCCCAACATGCTTCCAACCCAAAAACTCGTCAACACCATGTTCAACCAGGAATGAATTGATCATTTTATGCGGGTTGGATGGAAAGCGGGCGAATTTTTTTTTATCAAAATTCACACCCGACCCAACTCACTAATTACAAAAGCGAGTAAAACATGCTCTCGGTCGACCCAATACTCGTTAACATCGGGTTCAACTCGCTTTGGCCGAGTCTGATTAGGTTGGATTCATTTATTTGTAGACTCTAAGTGAAATCAAGACAGTAGTGTAGAGGGACGGGATACGGTGACAACCCCTAAGGGGGTTGTCAGATTCACAACCCACTTCATAGCCCTTGGATACGCTCTCTCTCTTGTCTCTTTCTTCTTTTTTTAAATTAACGGTTAAGATTAAAAGAAGGATATTTTTGGAAGGGTAAAAATTTACCACACCCAATCATTCACCCTACCATATAAAAAGAACAAAAACCCTAACTCCTCCATCCTCCCTCTCTCCCGTAGACATCACCATCTCTCCTCCCCCTCTCTCCGCCGCCATGGATGGACTCTGCCCTCTTGGCTTTCCCCTGCCTCTATAAGAAAATCCAACTAAGTTTCATAACCAGAGACGCATCTCTCTTTTTCTTTGCACCCTTTATTACCTCCCTCTCTTTGTCCTTCCTCCTTTGTCGTCCTTACCCACCACCAAAGTTTTGTTCGTTTGTTTCTCTCCCGGTTTCGCGAAATTGGGGTTTCGTTTTGATTCCTCAGAGAACAGAGAAATGGCGGAAGGGGTGATTGAGCACAGATCCTATGCGCGGGTCTGCCTATTGGGTAATCCGAGTGACGTCTATTTTGGGAGGACCATCTCTTTCAGCCTTTCCAATTTCTGGGCCACCGTCGTTCTTCGGCCTTCCGACGAACTCGTCATCACTCCCCACCGCCTCGCCGCTGCCCTCCCCCCGCGCCCCGCCGCTGTCCTCCCCTGCCGCCACCATTTTTATGTCGCTACTGATAGTCTCTACCGGTACCAATAACACTGGTAGCACTATTGGTACCAATACCACTGGTAGCGCTATTGGTACGCTACCACTACTCACTGGTACCAATACCAGTGGCTCCCCTATCATCTGGTACCACTATCATCTGTTTTTTTTTTGTTATTCGCTACTGGTACCGCTACCAGTGCTAGTAGCGTTGTGTTATTCTCTACTGGTAGCGTTATACTGGTAGCGTACCACTAGTACTGGTACATTTTTTACTGGTACCGCTAGTACTGGTACATTTTTTAACGTACTAGTAGCGTACCACTAGCACTGGTATATTAATTACCATTAGACTAATAGATTGGTACACTTTTTAACGCATTGGTACATTTTTTCAGGTTGCCGGAGGGAGTCTGCCGGAGAGAATTCGCCGGAGAAAAAGTTTGTCGGTCAATGCGGAGTGGCTGCTGGAGAAAGGAAGAGAGAGAGAGAGAGATAAATAGAGATATTAATGTATAGGATTTAAATTTCAGAAAAAAATTGTATTTAATATGTGTTTTTAATTCCCAATATAATTAATACAAAAAGGTAATTAATATATTCCTTTTTTTCATACCCAAAATACCCTTGGTTGTGAATCTGACAACCCCCGAGTGGGTTGTCACCGTATCCAGGCAAAACGGGATGATTATATGGTTTCATGTAGGGGTGGCTATACGATCCGATCCAGTTAAATTGGCTCAAATTGATCAGGCCCCTGTCCGGTCTTTTCGGGAATATAAGGAACAAAGATTGGATTAGATACAGTCTGGTCTTGATCCGGTCCGGTCCCAATTCGGTCTTGATTTTATATTGAACTTGTGGGGATTTGAGTGGTCTGAGGCCTCAAGGGGTGAGGAGTTGGTTAAGTTTTGGGTGTTGGGCTCTCTTATCCGGTCTTTATCCGGTTTTCGGCCCGTTCTCGAACGGTTTTTTACCTCAAATCTAAGTCCGAATATGGTATTGGATTGTTTGCTATCCGGTCTTGGTCTGGGTTATACGGTCCGGTTTCGGGTAAAATCAAAAAGCTCGGACCAAATAGCAACCCCCAGTTTCATGTCAAATCGTTAAAAACCGTTCAGTTCATACCTATCCGTCCAAGAAAATGGACCGAACTAGTATTATAACTTATTTGTGGGTTCTAGTTATCCAGCTGGTGACCATTTTAGTTTATGTAGTTCAGCAACGGATCCAGTAGATCTCATTTCTAATACAAGCTCTCGACCTAGAGGAGAGCTGGACCGTGAATTAGGAAGGTCACCCCCTAGATTTGCCACTGCGTGGTCCTCTACTTTTGTATGATTTCTTTTGTGAGATAGTTTCAATGATTTGATATAACTTTTGTTGATGAATAATATGTATTTGAAATTTTCTATGGTTAGTGATATATTCAATTCTAGATTAGTATATTATATATGTGTTTTATGTTATAGTACATGCATGATAATCAGCGTACCGCTAAATTATAAATCACTAATTTTCTCGATCCAACGCATCTCCAATTTGGAACGTCCGCATTTTTTTTATGTTAGGCTTTACTATTTATGGTTATTTTGATGAACATTTTTCAATGTCTGCATTTTTCCTATTACATAATTTTTTTTGAACATTTTTCAATCAATTTCTCGATGTACTAGAAGTAGACAAGCAGGATTATGACCCAATTATGGTGAAGGCAGTCAACCTGTTAGGGTTAGTCGGAAGATTGTTAACGGACAAAAAACAGAACCTGAAGTCAATGAAGATAGCATTAAGTAGCGGCGGATCCAGAACAGGTTAGAGCATTGGACCACATTTAAAAATCGGTGGCTAGGGCTGGGCCGTAACCCTATAAACATTGAAATACATACCCAAAATCGAAAATTTTATACGAGCTTTGGATCCGGGGAGGGCTGGGCCATGTCATGGAGGCGGCCCCCCTAGATCCACCACTGGCATTAACGAAGGCGTGGAACTTGAGGCACACCTTTCATATGACTAATAAGGAGAACCAATTGTATGGGTTTCTCTTTCTTGACCAACAAGATAGAGATAAAGTCCTCCGTGGAGGTCCATGGCACTACGACAATAACCTGCTGATTTTCAAAAAGGGGGACGCTTTCCATAAACCTAGGATGGAAGATTTCAACATAATGGAGATATGGGTACGAATCTTTGGCTTACCAGATGCCCTGAAGACGACTGAGATGGCACACAAAATTGATGAGAATTTTGGTTCTTTAATCTGGGTGGACTCAAGAGTAGACACTCGCACAAAAGACTTCCTACGTTTATGTGTAGGGAAGGACATCAGAACACCTCTGAGACAGAAGCTGAAATTGAAAGTACAGGGGGAGGTAATGAAATATCCAGTGAAATATGAGATCCTATGTTCTGCTTTTCTTGTGGTATAGTAGGACACCCAAAAGCATTCCGCAAATCTAAATTTGCTGAGGGAGAGACCAATTTGGGCCAGAGCTACGATTGGGAATAACACAAAGTAAAACCTGGCAATCCAGACAAGAAAAAGAGGAAACTGATGAGCTTTGGATGGCGCTAAGGGCCAAGTTCGACAAAGAAACCATTACATAGAAGATGCGGATAGAAGGCATGTGACAGCCTGATGAAAACTGGAAAGGTACAGAATATACTGATCGGGAGATACCTCATCGTCAAAAGACATCTGTATATGAAAAACATAAACAGATTTATAGTTTGTCTGCAGCAGAAAAGTACCAACCTAAGACATACAGGGGTTCAGCAGAGGAAGCATGGAATCAGAGGGAAGCCACGGCCAGCAGGAATTTAATCTGGGACAACATGAAAACAAATGAATCACCAAAGATTATTGCAAATACACCAGACCAAAGATGTAGTGCGAGTGAAAAAGTGGATGATAGGACAAGAACAAAGCATGGAGTGGAGGATATAGGGTCCGAAATCAGAGAGGGAATGCAATTTCATGTGGGCATTGTGGGAAAGACAGAGAATCCAAAGAAGCAAAAGCGCTAGCATAGACAACCCTCACAACAAATGGCCCCACAGAAAAATACAATTCCACAGCTTTAAACCCAAAAGAGAAATTTTCAAAGTGGCAGTGTGGGAGGGGAGAAGGAGGAGACAGTAACAGTCTGAATTGGGAGAGGAAGGAAACAAGCGAGCAATGATTCCATGCCAAACCCAGCAACAGAAAGGAGATTTGTCAAATGGGGTATTACTTCACAGCCCCAATGAAGATGTGACAATGTTGTAGGAAAAAGAAGTGGATGGCGGTATGGCGGACCCTGTGAAAGAACAGGACCGCCCAGCCCAATGAAGATATTGTGTTACAAATGGCGAAGGTTGGGAAGTCCCCAGGAAATTAGGCAACAGCGGTTTTTACTCTAGGAACAGACTCCCCAAAATTGTTTTCTTGATGGAAACCAGACTTGATGAGAAAGGATGGAAGTCTACTATGGAAGATTTGGGATGGAATAAAGGATTGGGAGTTCCAGCAAAAGGGAAAGGGAAGGGATACATAAATCTTTGGAAATGAAAATGAGATATCTTAGGAGATTCATTGGAATCTATGGATGGCCACAGTCTGCAAATAAGAAGAATACATGGGAGTTATTACGTAGGCTATGCAGTCAGGTTCACAAGCCATGGCTACTAGGGGGAGATTTCAATCAAGTTTTGGGATATGAAGAGAAAAATGGCCTTAACCCCCCTGGTGTGCAAGGAATGGAAGACTTTCGGGCTATCTTAGACGAATGCTACTTAGAAGATATGGTTTATTATGGAATTACTTTTACTTGGGATAATGAAAACACATATGAGACTTTCCTAGAGGAGAGACTAGACCGAATGGTAGCAAATTTAGAATGGAAGGATTGGTTTCCGGAGGCCAGGGTGAAACATTTGGATAAAAGGGAATCAGACCACATACCCATAATGATGGAGACACAGCTGCAAGAGGAACCAATTAGATGGGGATGCTCATTTCGCTTCGAACCATACTGGCAACGACATGAGGATTGTAACAAAGTCATAGCAGAGGACTGGCAGAAAAACCAATCGCTACCTTTCATGGAAAGAATAAAAAGTTGTGAACAACAATTTTTAAAGTGGAGTAAATCCACATTTGGAAATCTGAGTTGGAGAAGGAGGAAAGCTGAACAAGCCTTAAAAGTTATCTCAAGACAGCCTAAGACTCCACCTATACTCCTACAGAGGCGGGAACTTAGGAGGGAGCTTAGTGAAATAAGCGCACAAGAAGAGTTGAAATGGAAACAAAGGTTCAGAACAAATTGGTTACAAGGTGGGGATCGAAACACCAATTTCTTCCATAAAAAGCAACATTTCGAAGGGAGAAGAACACAATTCGCCTTCAATTGTTGCAGCGCCTCATCTCGATCCACCAGCCACTTGTCCACCACGTCCACCGCACTCGCCCAGGACTGATACCGGACTAGCATCGGAGGTTTCCTCCCATATAGAGCCTCGAACGGAGACATCTAAATAGACCGGTGATATGTGGTGTTGTACCACAGCTCTGCCCAAGGTAGCATAGCTAGCCATCGTCATGGCTGCTGATGTGCAAAACAACGCAACTATTGCTCCAGTGTTTTGTTCACCACCTCCGTCTGTCCATCTGTCTGTGGATGGTAGGCCAAGCTCATCTTCAGTTCCGTTTTCGTCATGGCGAACACCTCCTTCCATAACCTTCTTAGGAACAGGGCATCCCGATCGCTCACTATCAAGCGAGGAAACCCGTGGTGTCGAATGACCCCCCATACGAACTGCTCAGCGACACTCCTGGCGGTATAAGGATGAGACAGGGCCAGAAAATGTGCGTATTTAGTGAGTCGGTCCACCACCACTAGTAAAACTGTCTTTCCACCGTATGGTAGCAGCCGCACTATGAAGTCCATGTTGATATCCTCCCATACCCGTTCTGGCACCGGTAGAGGCTGCAACAGGCCTGCTGGTCATAACTGGGAGGCCTTGACCCGCTGGCATGTGTCGCAAGACGCGACGTAGTCTTCGACCTTGTGGGTCATCTGTGGCCAATAGAAATGGGTACAGATCTTCCTCAAAGTCCGCTCATACCCCGAATGGCCTCCCACTGGGGTGTCGTGGAATTCCCTCATGACCGTCGTCGTCAGCGAGGTGGCTGGTGGTAGAACTACTCGTCCGTGGTGGAACACCAGCCCGTGTCTGAACGTATAGTTACCGGGTGTCGTGTTGAGTGCTATGTCTCGGCGCTCCTGTAGGTGCGGGCTCGTCTCCACCACCCTCCTGACCTCCTCCCAGAATAGCACCACGGGCCCAGTCACCGCCGCCACCTGCAGTTGCCACTCCACCCTCGACAAGGCATCCACGGCCTTGTTCATCGGTCTGGGTCTGTAGTACAGCTCGTAGTCGTACCCCATCAATTTCACCACCCACTTGTGCTGGTCTGGAGTGGACACCCTCTGATCCATCATATGCTTGAGGCTCTGGTGATCGGTGTAGATGCGGACCTTCTGACCGATCAAGTATGGACGCCACATCTGGACCGCTTCTGTAATGGCATGCATCTCCTTCTGGTAGGTGGACCAAGCCTCCTTGGATGGAGGAAGGGTACGGCTCATAAAGGCGATGGGGTGCCTTTCCTGCGATAGAACCGCACCTATTCCCCTGCCTGATGCATCCGTCTCGATATCGAAAGGCTGGGAGAAATCCGGCAAGGCCAAGACAGGAGTCGTAGAGAGAGTAGCCTTGAGCTCTCCAAAAGCCCTCTCTGCCTCGGGGTTCCAGCTGAATCCCCCTTTCTTCAACAGGGCATTTAACGGTCCCGCTATCGAACTGTAACAATGCACAAACCGCCGATAGTAACCTGTGAGACCGAGAAAATCCCGCAATTCCGTTGCTGACTTCACCGCCATCATGGACTGAATCTTCAGTGGATCTATCCTGACTCCGCGCCTGAGATCACATGTCCCAGATAATCCACTGACTGGACCCCGAAGGCAAACTTAGATGCCTTCACGTAAAACTGGTTTTCCTGCAATATCTCAAACACCTCCTGCAAATGCTGCATATGCTCTTCCCACGACCTACTGAAAACCAGAATATCATCAAAGAACACCAGAACTGACCTGCGAAGCAAGGGCCGAAAAATATCATTCACGGCGGCCTGAAACGTCGATGGTGCATTACAGATTCCAAAGGCCATCACGAGGTACTCGTAATGGCCACTATGCGTCTGAAAGGTCGTCTTAGGAATGTCCACCTTGTGTATGCGTATCTGGTGATAGCTGGCCCTCAGATCGAGCTTGGTGAAGTACTGCGCTCCTTCCAGCTCGTCTAGCATGTCGTCCACTGTGTGAATGGGGAAACGGTCACATACAGTGGCGGTATTGAGGGCCCGGTAGTCTGTACAGAATCTCCAAGTGCCATCCTTCTACTTCACCAGCAGCAGCAGCAGCAGCGAGGAGAACGGGCTGGAGCTCGCTCGAATAAGTCCCGCGGTCATCATTTCCTCTACCTGTCTCTCAATCTCAGCCTTCTGGGTGTGAGCATACCTGTAGTCGGACATTAACCGCATCCGTGCCCTCCTTCAGCCGAATCTGATGGTCAACCTGGCGTTGTGGGGGCAACTGTCCAGCAGTGCTTGCAAATCGGTGGATAGCGGTTGCTGGCCGGGAGATCCCAGTTGCCAGCAAAGCACTGCGAGCTCCACATCTGCTTCCAGCTGCGGGTCACCCCACTCGAGTGGCCCAGTTGCCGTGGTCATACCCTGCAGCTCCCAATCCTTGTCCCTCCACTTGAACCTCATAACCATCTTCACCCAATCACTAGTCACTACCCCAAGCAACCTCATAACTATCTTCACCCAATCACTAGTCACTACCCCAAGCTTTTGAGCCAAGTCATGCCCAAGATCACATCGAATCCCTGCAACGGCAACACGTACAGGTCGAGAGGAACCTGTAACCCATGGATCTGCACGGACACACCTGCCACCTTCCCTGCGCACTGCAATGGCGCGCCATTGGCAACCTTCATATCGAAAGGACCTATGGCCACCTGAGGTATGAGCAGTCGACGCACGAACTCTTCTCCGACGAAGTTGAGGGAGGCCCCGCTATCAACCAAGGCCACGCCCCACTCCCCTGCGATCTGCGCCTTGAAGCGCATGGTTGCTGACCCGGCTGTCGCGGTGGCGGCGACGGTGGAGATGGTCTCCAGCCGCGCGCCCCCTCCTTCCTCCTCCCGTGACCCTGTTGTCTCCACAGGAGCGCTGAGCCCGCGCCCTGCTCCTTCGCATCGCCGGCCAGTGGCCTCCAGCCCTCCTTGACCACCACCTCGCGCGCCTCCACCTCGCGCGGCGTCCCGCGCGCCTCCACTCCCGTCGCGGTCTGCTTCTCCTGTCGCGGCGCTGCTGCCGCTGCTAGGGCGGCCCCATCGGCGGCCAGGGCCTCCGCCGCCCCTCTCCCTCGCCGCAGGTTAGCCCCTCTCCCTCGCCGCCCCGCGCCCCCAGTCCCCATCCGAGTATCCTGTAGAACTCATATCGACGAGGCTCTGATACCAATTGTGAGAAACACGATTAATCAAACAGAAATTGGGGATGAGAATAGAAGAATTAGGGTTGAGAATTGGGAATTGAAATGGGAATTGAAGAAGAGAAGAGGATTTAGGGTTTATATTAATCGAAATAATAGAGACTGCAGTTTAAATAATTCTCTCTCCCTAATAATACCCAATTGACCCAAATACCCTCCCAGGCCGACTCGGCCTTTACACCGTGTCTCTCACAGTATGGTGGGACAAATGGGTACCCGAGCCACCAAATTTCCGAGTGGAGACACCCATTGTAGGAATGGGACTTCAAACAACAGTCTCGGAGCTTATTGACCACGATAATAGAGTTTGGAGGTCAGATTTATTGCAAGCGAATTTCAATCCTACTGACAGACATTGTATTCAACAAATTCCTATCCCTACCAACCGGCGACGGATAAATTATGTTGGGGAATGGAAAAGTTGGGGAAGTACACTGTGAAGACAGGCTACAGACTGTGGAACTCCCTAAGGAACGAGGAAGAGGGTGAGTTATACATACCCATAGACTGGAAACGACTCTGGAAGCTGAAAATTCCACCCGAAGTGAAAATTTTTGCGTGGAAAATGGGGTTGAATATACTGCCAACAGGAGCAAACCTATGAATCAGGCTTAAGGATGCAAGCCAAGACTGCACTTTTGTGGATTATGTGAGACACAAGAACACATCTTCAGGATTGTGCATGGGCTAGTAGGATCTGGAGGCCTTCTTCTATTTCTGATTTGTTCCAAATGGGAGAAGAAAAATTGATTGAAGAATGGATATGCGAGATCCTAGAGGCTACTGATGACGAGAAGCTATCAAAATTTCTTATTCTGCTATGGTACTTATGGAAAGAAAGGAACAACCATCTTTTTAATAACCCTAAGCTTGAAGAATGGGAGATTTATGGGAGAGCTGGGAATTACCTTGAGGAGTTTGTGGAGAATAAAATCAGGGGGGGTCAGAGAAGAAGCAGTAGTGAGACCGTTCCAATGGGAACCTCCCCCGTCGGGTAAACTGAAAGCGAACATTGACGCGGCGGTGATGGCAGATGCTGGCACAAGGATGGGTCTGGTGGTGCGGGATGATCAGGGAGATTTTGTAGCGGCGGTGGTACGCTGAGACAGGCGCCAGTGGAAGCCAGAGATGGCGGAAGCGGCAACTTTTCTTTGGGCGATGGATTTCCTTAAGGAGCATGCGCTAATGCCGGTACAATGAGACGGATTGCCTAACTCTCATCTCACTGTTGAATCGAGAAGAAGACTGGCTCCTGGAAATTGGAGTTGTATGTGCATAAATTCGAAGAAAGGCAGCAGAAGGACCTGGATTTTGCTCGTGTTTTTGGGGAAGAAATGGAAATGTGTGTGCCCATCTGCTTGCCCATACAAATTGCAGATGGGATGAGACTGAAAAATGGCTAGATAGGCCCCCATCTTTATTGTTGACCTTTTGAGGTCTGAGAAATCCTGTAACTTTACTTCTACTACCCGTACTTAATAAAAGTTATATGATGTTTTTATAAAAAAAAATCGCTTTGTCTCTGTTTTCTTCTTGATATTGTTTAAACCTCTAGGTTTGGGATTTATGGGGCAGGCCAGGTCAGTGGGTCAACCATATAAACACAATAATATCCAAATTTATTTTTCCTTCCAATTTGGTATGTAAATTTTTATTTTTTTTATACAAATTGTTCACGAATTTTTGTAATAAAATTATGTTTTAGTACATTTATATTTTTTTACCTTGAATTATAATACCTAAACTTTAAAAACTTTAAAAATAGGTCCAATGTGTTGGTATGAGAAATTTCATATCACCAGTTGTTATGGGTGACCCAGCCCTAAGTTGACCCAATCCTTACAAGGTCAGAAGATGACTTGCCCTAAACTGACATTGTAAACAAACTGATCCATAAGTGAGTTCTTAGGGCTAAGCTTACACCCCTAAAAAATTTCATGATTTCTTAATCAAATTAAATCGGAAGTGCAACTTTAAATTCAGTTGACATAACTTGAATCAGATTATATGTCGTTGATTGGAAGTCACGGTGTATGGACTTATACATGTTTGGTCTTCTGTTCTTAGCCTAATCTGTAACCTTATTCTTTACCATATTTGATTAGAGTTAGGCCGTTTTGAGAAGCACTATATATACTTCTCATATCCGTCTGCAATTTGTATCTCCTTAAGTATAGTGCAATTGTTCTCTCCTTCCCATGGACTAGCTAACACATTGTGTTAGTGAACCACGTAAATTTATATGTTGTTTACATTCTTACATTGCCGACTATCCCGGTTCGTTCTAATACCTCCATTCTCCCTATTAATATAAAATATACAATATTAAGATCCTATTAATTTAACGAAAAAAGAATTGATCTAGTTGTCATACTACTAGTTTGAACTTTTTTTTTATCAAAACCTTGAGAGCTCTTATTAATCCGACGATACTAGTTTTGAACTTGAAGGTCTTAGGTTTGAATCTCTTAAATAGTACTTATTTATAAAACTGAACCTATATGACGCTTGTAAAAAAATTATATTAATTTAGTTTATTTAGGAAATGTAAAATATTAATGCCTTGTGGGATGAGATACGGTGACAACCCTTTTAGGGGTTGTCAGATTCACAACCCACTCACTAACCGTTGGATACACTCTCTCTCCTGTCTCTTTCTTCTTTTTTTAAGTTGATGGTTAGGATTAAAAGAAGGGTATTTTTGGAAAGGAAAAATGTTAACACACCCAATCATTTTCCCTCCCATATAAATAAAATAAAAACCCTAACTCCTCCCTCTCCCCCTCATCTCTCTCTTTCCCTCCTCCCTCTCTCCAGACAGCACTCCCGCCGGCCTCCACCGCCGCTGCCGCCTCTCTCCACCCACCAGCGAAGCTTTTTCAATGAAATCTGTGAGCCCGTTGCCGTGTCTTTTCCCCCTCCGCTCTCCGCCCCCAGTTTGCCACCCTCCCTCTCCATTTAAAGGCAAAGCCCCCCGTTCGATCTCTCTCTCACTCATTGCCTACAAAAGTCGAAATTCCCTTTTGTCTTGTGATTCAGTTACACCGCAACCTACAAAAGCAGATCCCACCACAGCCTCACTGGGGATTCTGTTACACAATGCTGCACAAGGTGTCTCGTAGCTTTGCTCTTGTGATTCAGCAGCTGGGAACCGAGCTCCGTGACGCTGTAAGCTTCTTCTGCTCTTTCTGTTTGTAAAAGTTCTTTTTTTTTTTTGCCTTGGGAATTTGATTTATGATTTCTTTGAGCTACTGTGATTCTTTTCTTCCCTGCCTCCCTCTTTCCTCATCCCTATTTTTTTCCAGATCTGATAGTCTCTACCGGTACCAATACCACTGGTAACACTATTGGTATCAATACCACTGGTAGCGCTATTGGTACGCTACCACTACTCACTGGTACCAATACCAGTGGCTCCCCTATCATCTGGTACCACTATCATCTGTTTGTTTTTTTTTTTTTTGTGTTATTCGCTACTGGTACCTCTACCAATGCTAGTGGTAGCGCTACCAGTGCTAGTAGCGTTGTGTTATTCTCTACTGGTAGCGTTGTACTGGTAGCGTACCACTAGTACTGGTACATTTTTTACTGGTACCGCTAGTACTGGTACATTTTTTAACGTACTGGTAGCGTACCACTAGCACTGGTATATTAATTACCAGTAGACTAATAGATTGGTACACTTTTTAACGCATTGGTACATTTTTTCAGGTTGCCGGAGGGAGTCTGCCGGAGAGAATTCGCCGGAGAAAAAGTTTGTCGGTCGATGCGGAGTGGCTGCTGGAGAAAGGAAGAGAGAGAGATAGATAGAGATATTAATGTATAGGATTTAAATTTCAAAAAAAAAATTGTATTTAATATGGGTTTTTAATTCCCAATATAATTAATACGAAAAAGGTAATTAATATATTCCTTTTTTTCATACCCAAAATACCCTTGGTTGTGAATCTGACAACCCTCAATGGGGTTGTCACCGTATCCCGTCCAATGCCGGGACGGGATACGGTGACAACCCCTAAGGGGGTTGTCAGATTCACAACCCACTTCATAGCCCTTGGATACGCTCTCTCTCTTGTCTCTTTCTTCTTTTTTTAAATTAACGGTTAAGATTAAAAGAAGGATATTTTTGGAAGGGTAAAAATTTACCACACCCAATCATTCACCCTACCATATAAAAAGAACAAAAACCCTAACTCCTCCATCCTCCCTCTCTCCCGTAGACATCACCATCTCTCCTCCCCCTCTCTCCGCCGCCATGGATGGACTCTGCCCTCTTGGCTTTCCCCTGCCTCTATAAGAAAATCCAACTAAGTTTCATAACCAGAGACGCATCTCTCTTTTTCTTTGCACCCTTTATTACCTCCCTCTCTTTGTCCTTCCTCCTTTGTCGTCCTTACCCACCACCAAAGTTTTGTTCGTTTGTTTCTCTCCCGGTTTCGCGAAATTGGGGTTTCGTTTTGATTCCTCAGAGAACAGAGAAATGGCGGAAGGGGTGATTGAGCACAGATCCTATGCGCGGGTCTGCCTATTGGGTAATCCGAGTGACGTCTATTTCGGGAGGACCATCTCTTTCAGCCTTTCCAATTTCTGGGCCACCGTCGTTCTTCGGCCTTCCGACGAACTCGTCATCACTCCCCACCGCCTCGCCGCTGTCCTCCCCCCGCGCCCCGCCGCTGTCCTCCCCTGCCGCCACCATTTTTATGTCGCTACTGATAGTCTCTACCGGTACCAATAACACTGGTAGCACTATTGGTACCAATACCACTGGTAGCGCTATTGGTACGCTACCACTACTCACTGGTACCAATACCAGTGGCTCCCCTATCATCTGGTACCACTATCATCTGTTTTTTTTTGTTATTCGCTACTGGTACCGCTACCAGTGCTAGTAGCGTTGTGTTATTCTCTACTGGTAGCGTTATACTGGTAGCGTACCACTAGTACTGGTACATTTTTTACTGGTACCGCTAGTACTGGTACATTTTTTAACGTACTGGTAGCGTACCACTAGCACTGGTATATTAATTACCATTAGACTAATAGATTGGTACACTTTTTAACGCATTGGTACATTTTTTCAGGTTGCCGGAGGGAGTCTGCCGGAGAGAATTCGCCGGAGAAAAAGTTTGTCGGTCAATGCGGAGTGGCTGCTGGAGAAAGGAAGAGAGAGAGAGAGAGATAAATAGAGATATTAATGTATAGGATTTAAATTTCAGAAAAAAAATTGTATTTAATATGTGTTTTTAATTCCCAATATAATTAATACAAAAAGGTAATTAATATATTCCTTTTTTATACCCAAAATACCCTTGGTTGTGAATCTGACAACCTCCGAGTGGGTTGTCACCGTATCCCGTCCCTAGTGTAGACTCTAAGGGAATCAAGACATAAATGTAATTAAGAAAGAAAAGAAAAACTATAATTTAAAATAATAAAAATACTCTAATGAAAGGAAATCCACCGTTTTATTCCTTGTTCCTTTGCTGCTCTTTGTGTTTGTGTTATGTATGTTGTTGATGTTTTTTTTTCTTCTTGCTTCTGAGGCGCACACCTTGTGCTGGCCTTTGCTGTCTGTAGTGACTTTCAGTTTATTTCTAATAAATTCACCATTATAAAAAAAAATTATTATATAGTATGTATCAACACACGTTAGTTGTGAAATCTGTAAGAGTATAAGAAAGAGCTTCAGAATGTAGTTTTTTGTTGCTGTTGTTCAGAAACTGCTTGCATTGTCAAGAAACAATTATACAAATAGATTTGGGAGACTGGAAGATGACGAGCCACGTTAATCTCCGAGGCGAAGCTCTTTGTCAGGATTTTTGAAGCATCATCGGCCTATGATTATCATTTTATTCAACTAAGAAAGAAACACCCTAACAAGCTCAAAATGATATACTTGATTATTTCTTTATTCGATATGATCCTTTTTTCAAGACCAGCGGTTCACTCGAAGTGGCCACTTGGTGATCGATAACGGCTGCTTGCATTATCAAAAATCAAATATACATACAGATTTGGGGGACTACAAGATAACGAGCCACATTATTCTCCTGTCGAGATTTTTAAATCCACCGTCGGCTATTATAAGTGTTTTATTCAACAAAGAAAGACACCCATGCAAACAACAATATAAACCCGAAAGGCTTTATTTCTTTCTTCGACACGATGATTTTTCGACACCAACGACTGACTTGAATTTTCCGGGAAGTGGGTCGACAGTAGTGAGCGATCAATCGTCGGACCACGTGACCGCCATTAGCCCCCACTGATTCTGCGGCACCTTGAGGGCTTCCCACACGGCTTGGGAGGCATCGACGATATCGGGCTTGCAGCCTGCGTGGACGACGTCGCATTCATCCACCACGCGTGCGCTGGCCGAATTCCCATTGGGCCCCCGAATGGTGATGGACCGGAAACAGCGCTGCCCGTGAGCGTACCATGGGGTCGACAATGCCACTACCAGCGTGTCGTCCGGGTGGAACTTGCCGTCGCACTCCGCAGGGCCGCCACCTGACTCGCCACTCTGGAACCCGTTTATCGTCAGCTCGGCTTTGGCGTTGCTGATCCTCGCGAACTTCGCCGCTGCGTCGCCAGTAACGACGGTGCTGTTAGCGGAAACGATTCGGCATGCAGCTTGAGAGGAACAGAACGCCAGGAGGACAGCAGCAAGTGTGATGGAGATGCAATAGTGCTTCATGGCCATGATTAGACGGAACGGAACGGAAGCAAACAACCTCAGGGCTACTCAATGATATGGAAGTGCATGTGTTTATATATATACAAAAGCTATGGCGGGGGATGCGCACACACGTGGCATTATGAGTGGAGTGGGGGAAGATTCTTACGTTTCTAGTAAATATCTAAGGAGTTTGTATAATTTTTTTTTTTTTGTTTTTGTTTTATAGCTCTTAAGAATTAGCGAGATGATTCTCCAAATAATTACAAAAGGAATTGAGCCAATTATTATGTAAATAAATTATTTACTTTTGGATTGCGTGAAAATTACAATATTCATCGCCAACAAGTAAGCCATCCATTTTGATTCCTGTACCGTAGCTAATAAAACGACGAAATGTATGAGAGGTGGCTAACTGAAACCTTTACCATAACTCCAATATTCCTCTCTTTTTCATGTTCAACCAATCAGACTTCTTCTTTTCTATCACCGATTATTGACAAAATAGTGAGATTGTTAGAATATGACTTGAATTTGATTTGAGTTTGTTTTGTGTTTTAGGCCTATTCTGTTTGGGTTTGGGTTTTGTTTTGGCCTTTTCCTTGTATGTCTGGGAAAAAGTGTTTGGTTTTCTGTTTGGGATTAGGAGAAGAGTTCTATAAATACTCTTCATCACCCTAGTCTGTAGTAAGGTCAGTCAGGTTAGTTTGTTTGGTTTGTCCGTTTGGAATTTGGTTTGTAACCTGTACTCTCCTCAAATTAGTGAAATTTGTCCCCCCTGCCCGTGGATTAGCTAGCACACATTGTGTTAGTGAACCACGTTAAATTTGTGTTCGTTCGTGCTGGTTTGGATTATTGATTGCACGCTTCTGTTCTGGCAGAGATTAAATATAATACATAATTCACTCGCTGTAATTTTGTTTAGTTCTTGCTTATATAAGTATCTATTGGCAAAAAACAAAAACAAAAAACTTAAATACTATGATAATACATAAGTTATTTACAATAAGTATGATCGATATACAAGTTAAAATGAGTCACATGTATTAATTTATATGGGTGGCTTTCAATGTTTTTATAAGGCCTCCTTAATTATCAATTGAAACAAGTTAAAATGAGGCACATGTATTGGGTTACTTAGACTCGTGGCACCAATGTCATTATGCAACCTACGCCCCTTTATCACTCCATTAACTCCAAATTTTGGCTTTGTGTTGATTATCCAACCTCATGGCATGAGAAGGGGGCATCCCATACCCCATTGGTGTGGCCAAAGGGGTCGTCAATGTACCCCTAGTGCAATGAGATGGGTAGAAATTGGCTAGTTATGGAAGAGTGGATTGAAATAATGTGTAACTTGAAGATGTTAGCAGAAATTTGACTAAATATTGATGAACCACAGTCATGCGATGGGGGTCGTAAATTAAACATACTCCTAGTGTGATGAGATGTCATAGGAAATTATAATCCCTAATGTGACGAAGGGGTGTTGTTATAAACGTGCTGCTACGGATCGGGAAATCACAGGAATCGACAAAGCAAGAATACGAAAGCGAGAGTCGAAAACACGATACACGATTTATGTGGTTCACTAACACGATGTGTGTTAGGTACGTCCACGGGCGAGAGAGAGTCAGTTTCACTATATCAAGGAGATTACAGATAACAGAGGAGTATGAGAAGTATTTTTAGTACTTCTCCATGTGGGTCTAAACCTAATCCAATCTGGCAAAGGAAACGGTTACAGACCAGGCCCAGAACCCGAACCCAAATAACATTGAGACCCCCGATTACCAGTCGTAGCGGCTGATAGTCCGATTCAAGTCACATCAACAAATCTCCACCTTGACTTGAATCCTCTTCCTCTGAAATCTCTGATGTACTCTGCTCCTTCTATCTCTCTCCGTCATCAATGCCTCGCAGGCGGAGTCAAACACTCAACACATTCAGCAAGTCCAAGCAGTGTTGGAACTTGCCATGTGGAACCGGCTTCATAAACATATCAGCAGGATTATCCGCGGTGCCAACCTTCTTCACCTTAATCCTCTTCTCTGTCCTCAAGAAATGATACCTCACATCGATGTGCTTAGTCCTCTCATGGTGGACTTGATCCTTGGCCAAGCATATTGCACTCAAACTGTCGCAATACACCACTGCCTGATCATGATGTAGACCCAGATCACCAACCAGTCCCTTCAACCATATTCCCTCCTTAGCAGCTTCTGTCAACGCCATATACTCTGCTTTAGTAGTAGACAATGTCACCGCCGACTGCAAAGTTGACTTCCAGCTCACTACAGAACTCCCAAGAGTGAATACATAACCAGTCATCGATCTCCTCGTGTCAACATCTCCAGCATAGTCCGAGTCAGAATACCCAGACACCAAGCACTCTGTATCACTTCCGAAGCTAATCCCCACATCAGGTGTACCCTTAAGGTACTGGAAGATCCTCTTCACAGCCTGCCAATGCTCCTTCCCAGGTTGTACATAAACCTGCTGACAACACTAACAACATGTAGAAGATCAGGTCTAGTGCATACCATAGCGTACATCAAGCTACCTACTGCACTAGCATATGGGACTCTCGACATGTACTCCTTCTCAGCCTCTGACTGCGGTGCATAAGCTGAGGATAGATGAACATTTGAAGCACTAGGAGTATTTAAGGGCTTTGCTGAAGACATGCCAAACCTCGACAGTATCTTCTGGATGTAGCTCTTCTGTCACAAGAAAAGCTTCTTCTTCGACCTGTCCCTGTAAATCTCCATACCCAAGATCTTCTGAGCAGCTCCCAAATCTTTCATCTCAAACTCAGCACTGAGAAGCCCCTTTAACTTCTGGATATCAGACTTCGACCTCGCGGCTATGAGCAGATCATCCACATAAAGAACAAGATAGATCATCGAACCATCCTCCACCTTGTTGTGATACACACAACAATCATATGGACTTCTACTGTAGCCTAGCTCAAGCATGTAACTATCAAACCTCTTGTACCACTGCCTCGGAGACTGCTTAAGTCCATACAAGGACTTCTTCAGCTTACAAACATAGTCTTCTTTTCCCGGAACCTCGAATCCTTCTGGCTGAGTCATGTAAATTTCTTCCTCCAACTCTCCATGTAGGAAAGTTGTCTTGACGTCTAGTTGTTCGAGCTCCAAGTCATAATGTGCCTCTATTGCTAGTAGCACTCTGATCGAAGTATGTCCGACCACTGGTGAGAAAATCTCATTGTATTCAACTCATTCCCTCTGCGAGAAGCCTCGTGCAATCACCCGAGCTTTAAATTTCATGCCCTCTTTAGAAGTGATTCCTTCCTTCTTCCGGTAGATCCACTTGTTTGTAACAATCTTCCTTCCCTATGGTCGTTTGACTAGCTCCCAAGTCTGATTCCTGTCATGGGATTCCATCTCATCTCCCATTGTGGCAAGCCACTGATCAACTTCGCCACCCGAAACGGCTTCTCTATAGGACTGTGGCTCACCTGCAACCTGAAATGAATACGCCACCATGTCCTCGAAACCATACCTCTGTGGAGGTACTCCTGCAGTCGCTCTCTTTGGTCTACCGGAAGCTATAGACTGTTGAGCTCCTGCACTGGACTTTGAAGTTTCTGGCTCTGTAGAAACATCATCATGTTGATCTTCTCCACCTTGGTGCTCAAACTCACTCTCTTTGAGAGTTTGCAGCTCCACCTGTTTATCAACATTCCTGCTACCTTCAACAATAATAACCTTCAACATGGGGTTAAACATAGACTTCTCATCAAATATCACATTTCTACTGAGTATAACTCGTTGCTCAGAAGGTGACCAGACTTGAAATCCCTTAACTCCATCTCCGTAACCCACAAAACACCCTTATTTGCCCTTGGGTTCAGTTTACCCTCATCCACATGATAATAAACAGGACACCATAAAACTTTCAGTGAAGAGTAATCAGCAGGCTTACCATACCACACCTCATAAGGAGTATTCAACTCAATACCTGTGTGAGGTCCACGGTTTATCAGGAAGCACGCCATGTTCACTGCTTCTGCCCAGAATCTTCTCTCTAGTCCAGCATTAGAGAGCATGCACCGTGCTCTCTCCAACAACGTATGGTTCATCCTTTCTGCAACGCCATTCTGCTGGGGTGTATCTCTCACAGTCCGATGACGGGCAATCCCTTCATCCTTGCAGAATTTGTTGAACTCAGAATTACAGAACTCCAGACCATTGTTCGTTCGCAGCTTCTTGATCTTCTTCCCGGTCTGATTCTCCACCAATGTCTTCCACTGCTTGAACTTCGTGAAAGCCTCACTTTTCTGCTTCATCATGAAAATCCAAGTAAATCTCGAATAATCATCAATAATAGACAGAAAATACCTGTTGCCTCCAATGGATTCAACTCGTGAAGGACCCCAACAGTCGGAGTGGAGGTAATCTAGTATCCCCTTCGTCCGGTGGATACCCTTGTTGGGAAACTTGCTGTAATATAGCTTCCCAAACACACAATGCTCGCAGAATTCCAAATTCTGCACCTTGTGCCCGCAAAGAAGATCCCTCTTCGACAGAACTTGCATCCCCCGTTCACTCATATGCCCCAGTCTCATGTGCCAGAGAGTGGTCATATCTTCCTAATGAACCTGAGACGATGCAACTGCAGCATAACCAGACAACACAGACCCTTGTAATGCATACAAGGTCCCACGCTTCACGCCCTTCAGCACCTTCCTTTAACCTTTGCAGACATACACAACTCCACATTTTCCTTTAAAACTGAAACCCTTGCTGTCGAGTAGACTCAAGGAGATCAGGTTCTTTGTCATTCGTGGAACATGCCTGACATCATTCACGGTACATAACAAACCATCACGTGCCCGAACCTTTATGGACCCGATTCCAACAACCTTGCAGACAGCTCCATTTGCCATTACCACTTTACCACCATCTATCTGCTCGTAGGTTGTGAAGCAATCCCTGTTCGGAGACATATGGTATGAGGCTGCAGTATCTAGAAACCACACATCCCCACGATGTGCCTTCTCATCTACAGCCAAGGCGAGATCGTCTTCAGAACTGTTGTCCACTTCTCCCACGGCAACTGAACCTTGTTTCTTCTGTTGCCCTCTTCTCTTGGGACAGTTGTACTTCCAATGCCCCACTTCCTTACAGTTGTGACAAGCATCACCTGGCTATGAACCGGGACCCTTGGAATTCTTGTTCGAATTCCCTTTACCAGATTTCTTATTTCCCTTTCCACCTGTAACAGCCAAACCCGATGCCTCACCACCTGTACCAGATCCGGACGCCTTATGTCTGATCTCTCTCGTATGAAGAGCACACCTGACATCTTCCAACGACACGCTTTCTTTACCGGAAATAAAAGAATCAACGAAATTCTCATATGAACTCGGCAAAGAAACCAGCAGGATTAGGGCAGCATCCTCGTCATCAACTTGAACATCTATATTACGCAGATCCAGCAAAATAGAGTTAACTTGTTCGAGATGTTCCCTCAAAGGCGTACCTTCTTGCATCCTCAAGCTGAACAACCGTTGCTTGAGATGCAGCTTGTTGGTTAAGGACTTCGTCATATACAGACTCTCCAACTTTAACCACAAGCCCGCGACAGTCATCTCAGCAGCGACTTCAATGATGACGTCATTAGACAACGATAGCATGATGGTCGAGTGGGCCTTCTCCTCCAGGGTATTCCACTCATCGTCATCGACCGCTGCCTTCTTCTGTTTCGCACATAGCGGCCCCCACAGCCCTTGTTGTTTTAATAAAGCCTGCATCTTGATCTGCATATAGCGAAACTGTTCTTCCCCGTGAACTTTTCGATCTTCATGTTCACCAACGTCATTCTTCTGAATCGATAACCCTAGCCTGATTTCCAGCCTCGGCTCTGATACCACTTGTTATAAACGCGCTGCTACGGATCGGGAAATCGCAGGAATCGACAAAGCAAGAATACGAAAGCAAGAGTCAAAAACACGACACACGATTTACGTGGTTCACTAACACGATGTGTGTTAGCTACGTCCACGGGCGAGAGAGAGTCAGTTTCACTATATCAAGGAGATTACAGATTACAGAGGAGTATGAGAAGTATTTATAGTACTTCTCCATGTGGGTCTAAACCTAATCCAATCTGGCAAAGCAAACGGTTACAGCGAGACCCCCGATTACCAGTCGTAGCGGCTGATAGTCCGATTCAAGTCACATCAACAGGTGTGATCACGTCGAGCAAGATAATGAGGAGGGTATTCATGTCTTGACACCTCTTGCCACTTGTAAATTGGCTAAGTTTCAAGTACCCCTTAGTGTGATGAGTGGGAGGGAGAATAACATACCCCTAGGTCGATAAGATGTGGATGAAGTCAAGTAGCAAGGATGTCGCTCCTGCTTCTCCCACGGTCATAAGAGATGGTTTGTTTCCATTTTAACCCACGCGATCCAAATACCAACCCACAGGTGCTAGGAATTGATCTTCATGCCTTAGTCATTTTTCTTAGCCTACAAGCGAATTTAAGAAAGATCTACTATATATGTAGAGGGGACCTAAGACCGAAGAGGAGACCACTATCAATGACAAAGGATCATCAGAGCAGTTGAGAGCGCAATGTAACTCCATGTCAGCAAAGAAGTATCTCAAGGTAGTTACTTCTTGTCGCCGTAAATAGGAAGCAAAGATGATAGAGGAGAGTCACACCAAATTCACTCCATCGAACCTAATGTCAAATTTTATAATTTTTCATTTCCTCTGCAAATTTGATAGAAACCTGCATTTCGATTTATTTAGCATTTGGACTTATTTGCAAGTTTATAATTGTTTACGAATTCATGGGTAATTGGGAGGATTTAATTGGGGGTTTAATAAGTTGGGGTAGTCATCGGTAATTAGGAATTGTTATTTAAACTATTTTTCTACGTTGAATGAGATTAGCAAAAGAGATTAAACCCTAAACCTATTATTCCACTCTCTTTTTTTTTCTCCTCTCTGCCTACCCCCTTTCCAATTTCCCTCTCCCTTTTGCCAGCCACTGCCGCCAACTCCCTCCCTTCCCCTTCTTCTTCCTCTCGTCCCCAACACTTCTCCCTTCCCTTCCCTAGTACACGACCACCACCAGGAGCCAACCAAGGCTCCCTTTTCCATTTCCACCCCCTTTCCCCTATATTAGATAGATCCCGGAGAACGGGTTTCTATCAAAACTTCAATCATTTTTCATTTCCTCTGCAAATTCGACCGTAATTATAGTTTAAATCTCTCACTAAATCTCAATAAGAGTAGGCTAATGTATTTTTATCTTGTACATCATAGAAAACATTTAATATCGTGGTGATATGTTTCAAAGTAAAGGACCTCGAGATATAAAGCCAGTGTTGTTGTACATCCTTCCACACCTCTCTCGCCAAAAATATCTAACCTTCACATCATCCTGCTTTGTCCAATGTACCAAAATCTTCCCAACAACCAAAATTCATGGGAGGAGCATTCCTATGCAAACAGATCCTGACTACATATTGTATGAAAGAGCACCTCACAAACAAGTAATCCATATATTTCCTCCTTCATGCATAACAAACACGTTTCATATATATTTCTGCCCCAAACATGATCAAATATTTTTTGCTTTTACAATTGAAAAAATATTGTAAAATACAGTTTGCATAGAAATTATTCAGGATACCACTCTCAAGGGAGTGGATAGGGTGCTAACACCATTAAGTATTAGCACCATACTAACACTTACTATAAGGGTATTATAGTAACTATCTCTTCTCCCTTCCTCTTCCCCTGCTCTTTCTCCTCTCCTTCCATTCACGTTACTTTTTATGTTTACTCTACAAATTAGAGTTTGGGTACCTAAACTTAATAGATATTAATATTTAGTACCTAAAATTATTTTTTTACATTTCGGTCCTAAAAATATAGATTAAAAATTACATTTTAGTATCTAAATTTTTATTTCATACGACAATCAAACAAGTAAGGCAAATTAGTTGGCCGCCAAATCCTGGTTGTCCAGCCACATTCACCAAACAAGTGTGTTTGAGTCTCCGACAATGTACAAAACAGACAACTTTCACAACCCTTCTCATCCCTCTTGCAGGGGAGCAGATCCGGTGAGTAATCTTATGGTGCTATAACCCCATGCGTAACCGAATAAGAATCCGCCACATCAGCGACTCCTTCGCTCTCCTCGAAAAACCTTTAATTTTCCTTCTTTTAATTTTTAACGGACGATTTCTCACTCGTTTTAACCCGGAATTTGATTTTTTTTTTGCACAGTTAGATTAGATTAATTGTGCTTTTCAAAATAATATCCACTTTGATATTTTTTGGAACAAAAAAAAGTTGCCAGTTATTTCCAGTCTATACCATATGGTATTGACTGGTATGAAAGAACAGCATACCATATGGTATGAAAAATACCACCCCATACTAGGGTGGTATAGTATGATATGAAGTTGGTAACAAGAGTTATGAAATTTTTTCACTCAGAAAAATTTGAAATCCAATAGATCATGATTAAATCGTTCATTCTTTGCAAAAATTTTCGAAAACGACTAAAAAACGAAGGAGTACCCATATGGTATGGAGTTGGTAACGAGAGGTATGAAATTTTTTCTCAAAAAATATTGAAAATGGATATCATTTTGTAGAGCACAATAAACTCGTTCCATTTGTACAAAAAAAATTTGAAATACGAGTTAGAATGAAGAAGATATGATCCAATAAAAAAACTAGTAAAAATAAATTTCTTTAATTCTCCGCCCTTAAATCTGCATCCAATTAAAAGATTAATCGATATTTAATTACTCATAATTATGCACCCTATCTTGAGCCCTCTTATAATAGTTAGCTCCCGTTGGAAGCGCATTGCCACGGGCAAAGCTCCACCCTAAGTATTTCACTTTCGGTGGTATATTTAATCCCATATCCTCTTCCTTCGGTCGAGCCCATTGTAGTAGCCTGTGACTCAACTTTCTTACATGCTTCTAAGCCACGTCTGATAACGGGACTTTACTGTGTATAGGCCACTGTTGGAATTAGGGGTGGCTATACGGTCCGGTCCGGTTAAATTGGACCAAATTGATCCGGTCCCAGTCCGGTCTTTTCGGGAATATAAGGACCAAAGATTGGATTTGATACAGTCCGGTCTTGATCCGGTCCGGTCCCAATTTTATCTTGATTTTAGGTGTTGGAGGTCTCTTATCCGGTCTTTATCATGTTTTTTTACCTCAAATCTAAGTCACAATATGAGATTGCATTGTTTGCTATCCGGTCCCGGTCCGGGTTATACGGCCCTGTTTCGGGTAAAACCAAATAGTCTGGAACCAAATAGCCAGCTTGGAATCCACCCAAACCCCTCTATCCTAGGCAGAAAAAATTGCACTTCTTAGCCTTTACATTTTGACGTGAGTGTGTAGAAAACTAAGTAGACAAAGTCTATGTAAATAACTAAAATGAATAAGAAAAAAGGCAAATGAAATATCCAAAACTGGAAAGAGCTAAAACAAACCAGTAACTCTCAAGCTATAGTGACCTGCAAGAATTATTGTCTTTAAGTAATTTGAAGAAATAACAGTTGTAACATTGTATACGAAAACAAGAATGGGAATTCTTTGTTCACTAGAAAACAGCATATTCATTATCAACACGATGGTCTATGAGAAAGTAATGGAGGTACGGATTGATAATTTGTCATTAGTTTATTATTTTAATTATATTATTATTATTATTATTATTATTATTATTTGAGACTATTCAATCGGAATTTAGAGAATTCAGAGATTATTCAGAATATTAGAGAGATGTGAAATTATTATGGTAGTTGGTAATGGTGGGAGACTAGGGGTGTTCAAACGGATGAAAAACCACAGTAACCATTTTAACCAATAACATTTGGTTAAATTGGTTTGGTTAATTTGGTTAATTGATATTGTTTGGTTAATTTTTTTAGTTAATTTGGTTTAACTGGTTTGGTGTGGTTAAAGATTATGCTAACCAGTCAAACCAATTAACCAATTATCTATATGCATATAATTGCTATGGGCTTGTGTACATTTTTTATAACAAAAACGATAGCGTGTATTAAACAAGAAGAAGAATAGTTACACCATACCCGCCTCCCAAAAGAGTCAAGTACAGAAATCAAACCCAGAACAACGATCAGAAAACAAAGAAAGGGTCTTCTTAGCCATTAAATGGGCTAGCCTATTGCTATCCCGCCTAACAAAACGAAAACGAAGATTGGGGTACATCACTCTCAGCAGACGAATCTCCTCCAGGATGATCCCTCCCCTAACATCCGCGGCCATCCTAGCATTAACTTTATCAAACACCAACTTGGCATCCCCTTGAAACGTAACAGCATCTCTGCCCATCCTTAGACACCACTACAACGCCTCACGAAGCGCCAAAAGCTCTGGCATGCCCGGATCATCAACATCTGCAAACAACCTCCCCTTGGCCAAATCATCCGCACCAGACAAGTCCCTTAGCACCATTCCACCCGCCGCATGGGATCCCCTACAAACCGCCGCATCCACTGAACAGACCATGCCCAAGTTTACATCAGACGCCTCCTCACTAGACTGCAACATCTCGACAGGCGAATCCTGACCAGGGCTACCCCCCCCCCCCCCCACCGTCCCACGAGCCTCCCACTCTGCAACCTGCATCTGAAACTGTTGATGTAAAGCCGTGAATGTCATCTGCGTCTCTTCAAAGGTTGCGAGATTCCGGCTCTTCCAAATCCTCCAAAGGAGGCAAACCACTCGGAGCAACCGACCCTGAGACTCACTCTGCTCCAACATGTGCCAAAGGAATATTGCTAGATTAAGCCGAGGGATATCCAATGCCTCCGAAGCCAGCCCCGACAAATTCCACAATGTCGTCGCCACTGGGCACTCAAGGAACAAGTGTTCTAAAGTCTCTTCCCCCGCCAGCAAACCGGGCACCGAGAAAAAACCAGAACACCTCGATCCCGAAGACCATCCATAGTGGGTAGAATTCAATTGAGCACTTGCCAGATGAAGAACCTCAATATAGGTTGCACCTGGAACCCCCAGACCTTCTTCCAAAATGACCTATCAACAGTTGTTGCCTCCTCCTTCTAACATGACACGCTAAAACACAACACCAAACTACGACCAAGTGTAATCGCAGTCCGGAAATGCTGTAAAGTGGCAAGTTCTAATTATCAACCTGAGGTCTAGATCTACTGCTTACTCCGTGAATACCTATTATCTAGCCAACTAAGTAGATTGATTGTGGTTTTAACTAAAAGCAGTAAGAAAGCAGGAAAAGATTCGGTTTTCTAAAGCAAAGGAAGAGTCACTCAGGAATGAGTCCCCCTAGCTCCTTAGTTAGGTCACAGTTGTAATTACTTTTGGTTGCTTTACTGCTGATTATACTGCGGAAGATCCGACAATAGCTTGGAATCTCTTAAGCTGACCAAGCCCTCTCAGTCAAACTACCCGGCAAACGACTAGTCTTCACCATGATAGAACACTGAGGAAATGAACACAGAACTCCACTACTGGAATTAGATTCCAGTACAAAGCAGTGAATCGACTAACTCTCGTATAATCGATTCACTACTACCGATTGAAGAGGCTCTAACAACCTAATCAGATTCTATCTATCTCAGGTTGCAGCAGAAATCAATAAAAGATGATCAGACTTTAATTGACTCAATCAAAACACTCCAATCGATTATAGTCAAGCAATATCACAATCCAAAAGTCGTTACAACAATGATCCCTACACATAGAACTAGGGTTCTTCATACCCAAGTGAGAGAGGGTTCTACTCCATAAAGAGAGAGGGAAACAAAATACGAAGCAGTCATACTCATCAAGATGTGAAGAATCTGCTCTAGGATGATTATCTTCACTCCAAGGATGATTTCCAAGCTTGATTGATGAAACCCAGCTCCAAAACCACTCTTAGGGGGTGTTCTTCGCACTTTCTCTCTCTAGGGCTCTGTTTTTGCTCCAAAAAGTCGATTCCCCCTCCTTTGGCTCGAATTTGGGTTAAAACCCCGAAATTCCCGACCACACGGCCAGGTCACACAGCCGTATGGCTTTTTAGGCGTGCCCGTGTGAGTGTGCAAAACGCCGCGTTTCACTTAAGTGGCTTCAGGTACGCTACACGGCCAAAACCACAAGGCCATGTGGATTTTAGGCGTGCCCGTGTGAGATCCCTGGACTTTCCACACGGCCCCAACTTCATCCGTGTGGGCTTTTAGGCATGCCCGTGTGGCTTTTCCAGCTTTTCGTCAAACGCCCCAACTTCGTCCAATCGACCCCGAACTCGTGCCAAACCTTCTTTCACGTACTAGGACCTGAAATATCACAAACAAGAACAACCTAGCGTGAAATCGACCTAAAACACGAGAGATGAGACTCAAACGGTACAAGAATGGTGGATAAAAACATGTGTATATATAAAGTCATCGCAACATATTTGCCAAGAGATATCTAGATTTAACAGAATATATCCCCAACTCTTCACGGAACCACACAATTTTATCCCGTACTGCTACCCGAGCGAGTGGAATGGCCCGAATAGCCCTACAGGTTCTTTCCAAAAAATTTCCCCGCAGACACTCCTCACACTACGAACCACTATCCGAATCAATCAAATCAGCCACCAATGCATCTCCTACCGAGGCCGCATCATGCAAGAGCTCCGGCGCTTCCTGGTGAATATTAGGAATCCACTGCTCAGACATAATCTGAACTGAATTCCCATCCCCAACTTGCCAACAGAGCCCCGCGCTCAGGAGGGTGAACCCATGCAAGACACTACGCCATCCCCATGAGGGTCGCAACCTTGGTTTAGTGATGACTCGGTATTTGCACATGTTTTCCCCTTTGTTTCTTGATCGTTTGAGCTTTAATTATCGTGTCTTTGGCCTATTTTACGCTAGGTTGTGTTCCTTTGTCACGTTTCAGGTCCTAGCACATAAATTGAAGCATAGGCGCAAGTTTCAAGTCAATCAGAGATCAATTGGCGATTAGGGAGAAGAAACTCGGGCATGACCTGAAGAAGAATGGATTTCTACCTCACTTTATGGACAAATAATCATGCAAGCTTGTCATGAAAAGAAAGAGGACGAGACTACTAGCGTCTGGGATCAAACGACGACTGATTCATAGTCCGGACGAGGGAGAAACGAAGCATTAAACAGAGGCTAAGCAAGCCACACGGGCACGACCCACACGGCCGTGTGAACTGGCCACGTGGCCGTGTGGAAATCACCGAGCCTTCACACGGGCAGCTGAGAAAGCCACACGGCCGTGTGGCTTGGCCGCGTGGTCGGGAATTTCTGTTTAAAACTCGATTTTCAGCCAAAGGAAAGGGGAGAGCTGGGTTTTTGGTTCCCAAACACCCAAGGGACAAACCCTAGAGAGAGAGAGCGACTTGGGAACATTCTTGGAGCTATTTTGGAGGATTTCTTCGCCATTGGGGCTCGGGAATCAAGCTTGGAGATGGAGATTGAAGATCTAGATCAGATTTCTGCAGTCTCTCTCTTCTCTATGGAGTAACTTCCCTTCACTTAGGTTTTGAGGAACCCTAGTTCCATGTGTTAGGATCTTTCTTGTATGAAGTTTTGGATGCTATATTGTTTGATTATAATCGATTGAGGCATGATTTATTGAGTCAATTGAATCTTAATCAAATTCTCTTGATTTCTGCTTTAACCTATGATAGATAGAATCTGATTAGGTTAAGAGAGCTTCCTTGATTGATGGTGGTGAATTGGTTATACGAGAGTTAGTCAATCTACTGCTTTGTACTGGAATCCAATTCCGGTAGTGGAGTTATGTGTTCATAGCCTCAGCTTTCTATCCCGGTGAAGGTTAGTCGCCTGCCGGGTAGTTGGACTGAGAGGGCTTGGTCAGCTTAAGAGATTCCAAGCTACTGTCGGATCTTCCGCAGTTTAATCAACAGTAGATCAACCAAAGGTAATTGCAAGTTGGACCTAATTGAGGAGCTAGGGGAAATCATACCTAAGTGAGTTCACAACTTGTAATTAGTAGAGTAGTCAGTAGAGTAGTTTATAAATCAATCCTTAATCTAGTATGCTAGATAATGAACTGAAGCTGAGTAATAGTAACTCTAGAGACCCGTGGATTCGATATTTATTACTTGTGCCACTATACTGCAGTCCCTTACATTGGTTACACTTGGCCATTGTTAGGTGTTGTGTTTTAGCGTGTCAAGTTTTTGGCGCCGTTGCCGTGGACTTTCTAGATTATTAGGAAACGCAGAAGTATGTTACTTTAGCGTTTTTTATTTTTCTTTTCCACCCTTGCTTTTCACTTGGGTGTTTTTGTTTTTGTTGGTGCAGATCTGAATCATGGATCCTCATGGCTTCTCCAACTATTGGGGGTATCTACCACCGTCCGAGTGGTATTACCCCGAGACCCCCTGGAGCAATCAAGGAGGAGAAGACTATGGATTCGGGTTCCAGTACCAACCCCCTTACTGCTGAGAACAATCAGACCCCTGGGCATATCAAGAACAATCTCCTTATAAAGAAGAATTCCTCCCACAACAAGAAGGGCCATCAGATCTTGAGTTAGCCACAACCTTCATGGGCCACTCTGCAGAGCCATGCTACACTTCACTAGAAGATCCGAACAAACAATTAAGGCTTCTCGTGGAGCAGTTTGCTCGAGACACTGAGAGATCATGCTCCAAGATGGATCTTCAAATCAAAGCCCTTGCCCCTTCCGATCCCTCATTTCTCCATGATATGGAGGAGACTGTTCAGCGCTCAGCGAAACAAACAGAGTGGGTGGAGCAAGTTTGCTCACATCTTGCTCAAGATCACCTTTCTGCTACCACGCTAGAAGAGGTGGAGGATGACAAAGGCTACGAGGATGTTGAGGAGCATACAGAATTTATCACAGAGAACTCCCATGATAATCATGATCAGGAAAGTCCTCTAGTTGCAGATCACACATTTCCTTATTTCTGCTCTAACATGCTGGGCCCGAGCGAGGAGATGCAAGATGATCTCATTGAAGAAATTACACGGAGACTTGCTCTCCAATCTGTGCTAGAAGAAGAAGAGCAAGAAAGGTTACAGAAAGAAGTTGTGGAGGATGACGAAAGTGAAGCAGAAGGAGTTCTTGATCATTTCCCAGGGGTGATACCACATGAAGAAGAAAGGGGGGTTGAAGAAGCAATTGGCGTCCAGGCTGAGGACGGAGTTAAGGTGGAAGAGGCATGCACCGGCCAAGAGTTACATGAGATATCTCCACCAAACTTCGAGGAACTACTTAGCAAGGACCCATTTGCACTGTCTCTTTGCTAGACCAAGGCCACGTCGACATCGGTCCCTCTTGGTGGACGCGATGCTGGTCAATCGATGTTGTCATATATGGTTTGGGGCAATGAGACGAGAGAAGAGAAGAAGAGGTCTCGAGGATGGAGACTTCATCTGCATCAAGTGCACGAGCTTCCATCACCTGTCATACCACATGCTCGTGACTTGCGACTCCACCTCATTGACGAGAACCTCAACTTCAAGGAGGTTCTAGCATGGACCGAAACTTAGGAGTTATCGTCTGGCTCACGACGTGAAAGAAGCGCTTGTTGGGAGGCAACCCAACCAGTCGGTTTGCATTTCTTTCTCTATTTCTCCTCGGTTGAGTCAGTTTTGTTATTTGATTTTAGATTCAATAACTCAACCTTTGTGAGATTTTGTGTGGTGTTTGCGTTCTGATTACTCTCTCTTCCTCAAATGCACCGCCTGACCCGTCCATCATCATTCACCCTTGATCTGGTATCTTCGTTCTACCCTCCTTATCTTTCCTCCATTGAGGACAATGTCGTGCTTAAGTGTGGGGGGATGTTCGATTATGTATGCGGGTGAATGTTTGGTTGTTTGTGTGCTTGGAGCCTAGTCCACTGTCCAAATTTTTAAATTTGAGGGCTCCAAGTACGTGTTTCCTTGCAAATTGCCTGCTCAGTATGCTTTGAATTGACAGTCTCTATAGTAATGTGCAACCTAGGGAGGTAGTGTATCACTATGGAGGATGTTGAAGTATAAGATTTTTCCTATCTAGCTCTCTGCTGTGTCAGTTGATTTTGTGAATTAGTGGAGCTAAGACCTTTGAATTCATGTGGTAATGTGGACTCTGTTTGAATTGTGTTATGGACTCGTGTATTCAACAGGGTGCTCATGTGGCAAATGAAAAGCAGTTGGTCCTCCATGTCGAAATCATCAAAAATCTTAAACATGGGGTAAGCCCAACGTGTGTGGCACCGTTCATTGCACAAAATCGGGTTTTGGAGGAGATTTTAGTGATCCTTAGTGGGGTACTCCTACAAGGTGAAGCTAAGCTGTCTCCAGTACAAGTAAAACTTCCACCCGTTGAACGGTTTGCCTACTCGAGGATGTGTTTTTAAGGGCACCGATAGAGCTTCCGACCCCCCTTAATTTCATTGACCCTCCACACGAGTTGAGGAAAAGGAGTTAAAAGAATTACTCTGGCGAGCGCTAGATGTACAAAAATTGCTCTTGCTCGACTAATAAGGGTCGACCGTGCAAAAGACTGCAGTTCGAACCCCCGCCATGTGAATGAAGAAAAAAAGAGAAAAAGAAATGTAAATAAAAGTGCAAAAAGGGGTTCCAACGGTGAAATGAAGACAAAGAGCACCCCGGTACAACGAGTCCTTGGTTGTGAATGGTGTGAGTCCCTTTGTCCATGATCTGACTGTATTACTTCTACTTTTTCTCATGTTCCTGGCTTGTGTCTAGTACTCGCAGTGAGAGAGATAGGGGACGTCTTAGAAGACCAATTGACCTCGTAAGCTGCTATATGATCTAGGAAATCCTCTACCGACGATCGGGGTTGTTAGTTGCTATAGAGGTCTGGGGAGCTGCATTGGTTTGAGTTAGGTTTGCTTGGGGACAAGCAAACTGTTAAGTGTGGGGGGATTTGATGACTCGGTATTTGCACATGTTTTCCCCTTTGTTTCTTGATCGTTTGAGCTTTAATTATCGCGTCTTTGGCCTATTTTACGCTAGGTTGTGTTCCTTTGTCACGTTTCAGGTCCTAGCACATAAAGTGAAGCATAGGCGCAAGTTTAAAGTCAATCAGAGATCAATTGGCGATTCGGGAGAAGAAACTCGGGCATGACCTGAAGAAGAATGGATTTCTACCTCACTTTATGGAAAAATAATCATGAAAGCTTGTCATGAAAAGAAAGAGGACGAGACTACGAGCGTCTGGGATCAAACGGCGACTGATTCGGAGTCCGGACGAGGGAGAAACGAAGCATTAAAAAGAGGCTGAGCAAGCCACATGGGCACGACCCACACGGCCGTGTGAAGTGGCCACGTGGCCGTGTGGAAATCACCGAGCCTTCACACGGGCAGCTGGGAAAGCCACAAGGCCGTGTGGCTTGGCCGCGTGATCGGGAATTTCTGTTTAAAACTCGATTTCAGCCAAAGGAAAGGGGAGAGCTGGGTTTTTGGTTCCCAAACACCCAAGGGACGAACCCTAGAGAGAGAGCGACTTGGGAACATTCTTGGAGCTATTTTGGAGGATTTCTTCGCCATTGGGGCTCGGGAATCAAGCTTGGAGATGGAGATTGAAGATCTAGATCAGATTTCTGCAGTCTCTCTCTTCTCTATGGAGTAACTTCCCTTCACTTAGGTTTTGAGGAACCCTAGTTCCATGTGTTAGGATCTTTCTTGTATGAAGTTTTGGATGCTATATTGTTTGATTATAATCGATTGAGGCATGATTTATTGAGTCAATTGAATCTTGATCAAATTCTCTTGATTTCTGCTTTAACCTATGATAGATAGAATCTGATTAGGTTAAGAGAGCTTTCTTGATTGATGGTGGTGAATTGGTTATACGAGAGTTAGTCAATCTACTGCTTTGTACTGGAATCCAATTCCGGTAGTGGAGTTCTGTGTTCATAGCCTCGGCTTTCTATCCCGGTGAAGGTTAGTTGCCTGCCGGGTAGTTGGACTGAGAGGGCTTGGTCAGCTTAAGAGATTCCAAGCTACTGTCGGATCTTCCGCAGTTTAATCAACAGTAGATCAACCAAAGGTAATTGCAAGTTGGACCTAATTGAGGAGCTAGGGGAAATCATACCTAAGTGAGTTCACAACTTGTAATTAGTAGAGTAGTCAGTAGAGTAGTTTATAAATCAATCCTTAATCTAGTTTGCTAGATAATGAACTGAAGCTGAGTAATAGTAACTCTAGAGACCCGTGGATTCGACATTTATTACTTGTGCCACTATACTGCAGTCCCTTTCATTGGTTACACTTGGCCATTGTTAGGTGTTGTGTTTTAGCGTGTCATTTAGCTGTGAGGATGGACCCATTATGGAAGTATTTACCCCGATAAATGCGAGCTAAGATCGATTCGGGCTCCATAAGAACCCTCCACGCAATCTTAGCAAGCAAAGCCTGGTTAAATAACTCAAACCGGCGAAACCCAAGTCCCCCCCTCATGCTTACTACGACAGAGACGCCGCCATGACATCCACCGCATATTGGATTTGCCTTCCGAATATTCCCACCAAAACCTGGCCATATGCTTATCCAACTGACGACAAAACATGACCGGGAGCTTGAAGCAGACCATCACATGCACAGGTAAAGCCGCTGCCATTGATTTTAGAAGCGTCTCTTTACCTGCCCACGATAGATGCCTAAGCTCCAACCCTTCAAGCGGCTATGCAACGCCTCCTCGACATACCGAAAGGTCACCGACTTAGATCGGGCAATTAACATTGGCAATCCAAGGTATTTATCCTTCACACCCACCACCCCCACCCCAGGCTAGTCGTCAGCTGTTGTCCCTCCTCCCCCGAAATATTACGACTGAAGCAGACCGCCGATTTTTGTAAATTTACCTTCTGTCCACTCAGCTCCTCATATTCTCGCAAGACCGCGAGGAGGGCCGAGCACTCATTTTGTGACCCCCACAGGAATAAGAGTTGAAGGCCTCTATTTACTGGATCTGCTTCTCGAGTCAAGGGAGACGCCGATCATGGATGGAATGGAGGGCGAGGAAGTAGAGAAGCAGAGCGTGAGAGGAATGTGGTCGGGATGATTCAGATCCTTCGGCTGGAAGTCGGAGAGAGGAAGATGGTGGAAGTTGACGGGAGTGGAAAATCGACGAGGGAGATTGGAAGGGACGATGGAGGAATTGGGGATGGTCGATAGGAGGGATTGAAGAGACTGGTGCGGAATATCGGAAGATTGGCCGACTATTTTTCACCAAGAGAGCTAGAGATTGGAGAAGAAGGGAAGAGGGAGTTGGTGGTGCTCGTGGCGTTGATGTTTTTGTCGAAGGAAGGAGAAGAGGGGAAACCGGCGGATTGGACAGGTCGGCGGCAATAGCTTCTTCCGCTCGTCTTCTCTGGGCAAGGGATTTTGAGGGTTGGTCAATTTTGGGTTTTAATTTGGGGTAGGTCAGATCATGGGTTAATGGGTTGGGTCACATTGGTCAGGTTTTTATGATGTGGCAAGCTTTTATGACGTGGAAGGATTGGATTTTATTTTATTTTTGTCAAAAATAGGTGACTAGGTCAGTCTGTTAGCCACGTCAGCAAATAATTGACGGTGTTAACGGAGACTGACGGAAGGTAACGGAGAGTGACCAAACTTGAACCATTTAACTAATTTGATTGACCAAACTTGAACCATTTAACTAACTTGTAATCTCAGTGACCAACCATGCAATTAACCCTATTATTTAATATGAAATAAATCTAACCCAATCCATTTTAAATACTTTTTTTATTTTTATAATTTGTATTCATATTTTATGTTAGAAGTCTTTTTTACTCATTTTTATTACCTCTTATATTAGAAAGTAATTCTGATATTTTTTCAGCTAAACACTCAACAGTTTTTTTTAAATACTTCTTGAAAAGATCCAGAGAAGCTACTTCATTCTGCAAAAGCTACAACAAGATCAATTAGTAGCCATACAAATTGAAGCGTCATGAAAGAAATTTAAACATAGATAATCTATTCAATGACTCTTCTACCTTATGCAAGTTTATCAACCACATGCTATTGTAAATAACAAACCTATGAAAAGAATAAGGACTTTGCTATGGTGACATGCATGTCATGGTGACATGCAATTTTCGGTCGACCTCATATAGGATTAGGTCGACCTAATCTGTTGTTTCAGTGCAAAAAAAGTTTCATGGTGCCTACTTTGGAGATTCATATCTTACAATTGGATAGATGAAAATTGGAGATTAATGGCTTGTTTTGATCTGAAGTGTCCCTCTACACATTAAAGTACTTGGGAGCTCGATAGAAAGTTCATAAGACCATTTTTGAACCTGATCAAAAGGCTATGCCAAAACTGGGAAACTGCCTGAAAATGGCTAAGTCTGGGAACATGTTTGTGAAACCTACTTTGGAGCTCAATTTGAGAAGCATGGATGCTTTTCGAGTCTAGGGGCCTCTACCACGTTAAGTTAGGTATGTTTGTCTACAAAGGCAAGGCATTGGATGAAAGATTGGATATCCTAATTTAACGTGATAAAGGCCCCTGGACTTAAATCACATTCACGCTTCTCGAATTGAGCTCCAAAGTAGACATCACAAACACGTTTTCAGACTTAGCCATTTTCAAGCAGTTTTTTAGTTTTGGCATAACCTTTTGATATGTTCGAAAATGGTCTTATAGACTTCCTATCGAGCTCTCAATCACTTCAATATTTAGAGGAAAGATTACAAATCCAAGATAAAAAGACAGCCCAAAACCAAAGCAGCAAGAAAAACAAAACACTCACAACAAAAGAAAATAAGTGGGCGAAAAAGCCCACCAAGCAAAACGGAAAGCATGAAGAACCGCCTCTTCTCGACGAGCCCGGGCAGGGGTATCAGGCCCGGGACCATCATCAACCACCCGCAAGGCGACGACTTTTACGCCGGCGTCCCCAAGTGTGCTTCCGACGATGCGAATCCCGACGGCCGGCAGTTACACTTTAGGAGGATTCAGTTTTGGGGTCCGACTGTTACAATTCCAGAGCATTGGTTACAAATCCAGAGAGGATTCCAACTTCGATCCGTTTCAGATACGCTTGTTCTTTCTCTTTCCTCTCTAATTTTAATATTTATTTATTTCCAGAATTATAATTCTAAAATTTTTAATTTATTTTCCTTAACTGCTCGTATTTATAAACTTTTCATTAACTTTATTGTAATAAAAAAGTAATAAAAAATGTTTTTATTTTGACCTTGTTAGCTTTTGATACGGAGTATCTGACTAAGTCTCAATGGCTTGTTTAAGTCCATTCGGTGGAGCTTAGTTGTCCTCCTCTATGGGCGCTTGTGGATTTGTTTGTTTTTGCAGGGGGCACGTAGTTTCCCTTGACCATACAAGTATCCATCCATTATGATTCAATCTCGTGATGTGGTGCATGCGACAGGTGGAACGATCTTGGAAGAGATTTGTTTGGCGTCTGTGTCTTTTAATTTCTTTATTTGTACTTTTACGCAGAGGTTGTACAACAGGGCTGCCCACTTAGTGGCTTCTAATGCCCTTTCATCGACAGCTCGATATTGTGTCGACTGTCGCGTCTGGTTTTCTAGCGTCCTGTAATATCTATTTCATTCCCGATCTATGTAAAAAAAAAAAAAACGGAAAGCATGAAAACACAAAAGCCAGTAAAAAAAGAGAAAACCCTACAGATCGACCACCCACGGGCCACCCCTAACTCCCAACCTGCCGCTCAGTAGCTGTTGTCGCCCAGCAGATGCCACCTCCGACCTCCACCTCGTCGCCGACCGAACACCCCACCGAAACCCAAACAGAGCTCCCAACAAGAAATAATGCCGCCAACCACCCAGCCCAGCACCGTCCACTGAAACGAAGCACAACCAAGAACCGCCAGAAAGAAATCACAACACCAATCGAACACCACCCACACAAAGACGAACCAAAGACCCATCAACACCTCCAGAAAACCACCATATTGCAATCATGTCATTGGTCCACTTGACCCAAGTTAAGAATTCCTTTCTATGTAATTTAAGGGATGTTATCCTACACATATTTTGACATTTTTGCATTCAAATATGAGCAATATTTTCATGTCTATTATTTTCTATAAGCATTTGTAATTTACACGTAAAATAAAGAATGGAGGCAAGTTCGGAACTCTTTTTAATCAAGTCATTTTTAATTTGTAGATGGAAGGAGCAATACTTAGCTTTCCTTACTCTTTTTTTCATTTATTTGTACGTAGTTTCCACCCTTTCTGTCCTTTTGTGGATCATCCCCTTCTTGTTCTTCCGTCCAGCAACCAGATTCGTTTGCCATAATAAATAAAAAGTTAACAAGAAAACAACGGATCAGTGAAGCTAGGAACTCTATAAAATTAATGCTGGGGCTGTGGGGGCATGCATCCGGCTACCCATGAAAATGGGATCAATTCTTCAGGCTGTTTTGCACGCATCAATTCTCTTGGTGATGGTCCTCCTGATCATTCATAGTGCCCAAGGTTTCCAGTTCAACTGCTTATGCGACTCTGACTCGTTCGAGGCTACTGACGTCCGAAATGAGTGCGTGTTTGACCTCTTAGACACCTTGTCTGGGTCGATAGCCAACCCTCCCAACGGCGGTGACTTTTACCACCAAAAGGATTGCTATGGCTGGCCTGTCTACGGTCACAGGTGGGTGGATCTGACGAAACCTTCAGCGGCTGACTGTCTTGTTCAAGCTAAAAATTATATCAAGGAGACTTGCAAGCACAGGAAAGGTGCTGATGTATCTACCGGTACTACTTGTCGCATGAGGTTTGAGCTTTATGATTTCCATTATTAGGGTTTGGGTCTGCAAAATAAGCAAGCGATCGAGTTGCGGTGGGAAAATATCAACCAACCAATATATAAGCTCTCTGTATACATGTCTTACCTCATATTATCAGTGCCCTTCTCGTTAATAAAAAGTTATCCACACCACTTATGGGTCAGGGAGGTTTAGAATGGTTATTCCAGTGTGGTATTTAGGTAGAATTTCCCATTTAAAGTGGAATTATTGTAGAAATATTGTGTTTGGTTGGGAAAAAAACATGGTAATTGGGATGTGTTATTTTTCAAATATCATAAATATTTTTGAAAAATGTCATTGACTTGTTTTCCTTCCCAATTTGGGTAAATCAAACGCTTTCTCCACTCATATCTCGCCGAATCATCTTCCCCTTTTTCTTCGTGTTCGTTGTCCTCGCCTCTTCTACGGTTTCGAACGAGTCTAACATACTCTTCTATTTATTAATCTCTCAATTGTTAATCAAAGAACAAAAAAGATAATAATCGTGGCCATCTTTAATATCATAACACTCTCATTTATCGTCTACATCGCCAAAGAAATATTTGAAAGACACGTCAATCCCCAACCTATGGTTTCATAAAATTAGAAAAGATCAAAAGAATAAGGTTTATATTTAATTTCTGTAATAAGTACCATAGCTACAATAACACACTTTCTTAACCTATCTGAACATCATATTTGTTGAAATACCACATGCTAAATGCCATAGTATTGTGAAACGTTGTAATTATCAATAAATGTCACACTTACACAATATGCATTCGAAACGATGCATTAAGTACTTGTCTCTTATGTATTCAAGTTGATTTGTGATCCTACCTCCTGTCATATCCTATCCTACCACTTAAATATGGAGGTTCTCCACCAGAACACTCTCCATTCAGAATTTCTAGCTTTCTGAGTGATTCTAGGAAGGATAGTATTGTAATTTTAATTTAAAAAAAATTAGATTATTTGTCGAAGATACAAATTTAAACTCTACCCTAATAATCGGCTGACAAAAAGAAATATTTTTTTTAATTATACACGAGACTATTAGCTTTTTTTTTATTATAAAGGTTAAGTGCACTACAAAAAAGGCAGGAAGTTGTGACGAAAACTTATTGACGACTCAAAAAATGCGTCGAAAAAGATAAATAATTTCGACGACAAACAATTTCCATATGTAATAATAAAATTATTACTGACAGAGGTGGACTTTTGTCAAAAGTTTTTTTTTTTTTGTCAGTAAAATGTTTTTTTGTCCGATTTCCATTTTTCACGCGAATTATTTTTGACGACTTCATAGTGCGCATTAGAAATAATCATCATTACTAACCAACAAAAAAATGTCGTCAGAAAATATAATTATTATTGACGACAAATAATGATCGTCAACATTAAATTATTAATTTTGATGAAATAAATTTTTCGTCATAAGTAATTGGTCAGAAAAATTTATTTTTGACAACACTAAAAGTTCGTCAGTACTAATTGGTCATGAAAAAATAACATTTTTGACGCCTTAACATGTCGTCAGCAGTAAATGGTCTAAACAAATACATTTTGTACGCCATACACAATTCTTTTAAACCATTTGGTTACAAAATTGAAACCTTTTTTACAAATAAATTACCGTATACGTTTTTTCATAAATGAAAATCGGACAAGAATGACATGTTTTAGAAATGATTATTAAATCAATAAAAAAACATAATAAGCACTGTTCTATGAAAAATAGAAATTATATAATATATATCCCAATCTACAAAGACCAAATTAATCATACTTAATCTTTGAACGCTGCTCTAGTCCAGTTTAAGAGATCATCTCTCTCGGTTTGGAGTACCCTAGGATCATCAATTAAAATATTGTCTTCTTGATAGGCTTCGTTTAATGCTCCTTCTCCTTCCGTATTAGATGGCATCGCGAACAAATTTCTTGGTCGCGTTTCAACCACAATTTCCCAATTTGGATCTCTCAAAGATTGCACATAATAAACTTGAATTGTTTGACTAGCTAGAACAAATGGCTCATCTGTTCTAAGCCTTCGCGTTGTGTTGATGGTATAGTGCCATGTACATCCTTCCTGTAACCAACGCATTCGCGAGAGGTGTCATACCACTCACACTGAAACAATACAACGCAAAGTCCTTCAGTATAACGAAGCTCGATGATATCGGTGAGAACGCCATAGTAATGAATTCCACCATCGTTCTACCCTCTCACCATCACACCATTGTTCTGACTGTTTTTGGTTAACTCGCGAGTACGAATGTGAAATCTGAATCCATTGATACAATAACCTGAGTAGTGCAGGACTCGTTTGTCTGACTCTCGAGCTAAGGATAACAAAGAAGGATTCAAACTTGGCACTTTATCATTGTGCATTCGTGTAATATGCAATAATTGCAAGGATAAACTTAAAATTAGCTTGCGATAATTTTTAAATATCAAAATTCTTTATTATATATGACAGAACCACTTAGCAAATTCATACTTATGCACTGCTTCAACCATACGAACACCTCGATTACTTAGTTGTTCTTTGTGAGTTCTGTAATTGCATAATATATGTTATTGATTAAAATAAATTATATTCTAGCATACATTAAATTCAAAAAAAAATGGTATGGATATGTACCTTAATTAGGGAAGACACTTAAGTTTATTTTTAAAACTAAGTAGGAAATGGAATCAATCAACAATTAAAAAGAAATACTTACCTAAATGCAAATCACCATGGACAATACGGTAAAAGAATGCTATAGTAATTATAAACTAACAATAAGCAATTAAAGGTAAAGTAATTACAAATAATTAAAGCAATTTAAGACTCTGCTCAACGTAATTTGGCAGTGAAGACTAAGAATTTAAAGCAATAACAACTAGTAAAGGAAAAAATAAGATTGGCGGGGAAAAGGCAATTTAACCCCATAACATAAGTGACCAATGACGATAAGCCTTTCCCGTAAACCCTACTATATTCTTCGCCCTAAATAGGAATCATATATTCTTCCCTAAAGCCGCCGCTCGGTGCTTCGTCTTCCGTTCTAAAAACTCGCACCCTTCTATCTTCTACTCCCCCACTCCCCTTCTCATTTAAAAAGTAAACCCAAATTCGGAAGAGGAAAACCATTCCCTCTCGTCTTCTTCCTCAGCCTTCTGATCTCTCATTCTGCTTCTGTTCGTCGCCTCTCCTTATGCTTCTGCGATGTCGGCCATCAGACCCTCCTCTTATAGTGAAGTCGTCTTCTTCTGTCGTTGCAGCCTTAATGCATTTTTTTTTCTTCTTTTCTGAATGTTCAATCGGGAAGAAGAGAGATGGATGTCATTGGCGGCAAAGAACGAGGCACTGCCAAAGATTGAGGCGACGAGGCGACTAAGAACCCATTTTGGATGGGATTTTTTTGGTTTGTTTTTTCCTGTATCCTTATTATTGTGGACGATTCTGACATTTATTTTCGTTCTTTATCTGTATTTGTTTGTATCTTTGAGGTTTCTAGTCATAGAGGATGTAGAAGAGCGACGGTGGTCTCCACCTCATCGGCAGTGGAGGAAGAACGACTATGGTTGATCATGGATATAATTGTTGGTACAATTTAAGCAATAAGGAACTTATTTCTTTTACTGTTGTTTTATTTGTACATGAAATGTAATAAGTATTTAGATTATTATGCAATAGCAATGTATTTATAGTTTTATTTGGTGATATACTTATAATTGTAATTAATTTAGTGATTGTTTCAAATAAAATTCATTTGAAACATCGGGTTTCACAGTAATTCTGATAAGGAATAAAAAAAATTGATTTAGCACTTCTAATGTGGCGTCACTGATTTGGTTGTACTCTAAATTATTTTTGTCAATAAATCTACTTTCTCTAACGACACGTTGGAAAGCTTATTTTTTTTACGGTAAACAGCTGTACTCAGTAGATATAATTTCTCCAACGACAGGTTGAATTTTTTTTTTTTACGGTAAATAGTTGTCCTCGGTAAAAATAATTTTTCCGACGACACGTTGGAAAAAACGTAGTTTTAACGAAAAATTGGTGGCATCAGTAAAAATAATATTTTCTGACATTGCGTTGAGAATAATACAATATTTCGGCTTGAAATTCTCGTTACAAATATTTATTTTTGACGATTTGTGGACGTTAGTATAAATAGTATTTATCACGCTAGTCAGAACTTCTTGATTATTTACGAATATAATTCGTCAAAAATATATAAATTGGCCTTCGAAAAAATATTTCGTCAAATTCATAAGTCATGAGTGATTTCATTTGTGACGTCATTTTTTTTACTATTAACAATTTTATGCCGTTAATATTATTGTTGTTCCAAGACTGGTCAGTAATATTTTTATTAGCGACGGGACAATTTCCGACGACGTCCGACGACTGTATGTCGTCGATAAAGGTCATTTCTGACGCAGATTAATTTGTTTTGACGAAAAAAGTATCGTCAATAATGACTGCCTTTTTTGTAGTGGTGTTTTATTCAAAATCAAATTCTTTTTAATTAGTCAACGGTTTATAGATTAGACAATTTAGGATTAGCTATTTTTTGTTATAAAGGTTAAGTATTTTATTCAATATCAAATTCTTTTCATTTATCACTTGATTTTTAGGGTTTTTAACGACCGAATTGAAAATTTCTTCTTTCTGCTTGGCATGCATCTTTCTCCTATTCAATTTAATGGAATAGTTATTTCATTTCAAATTAAAAATAATTTTTCATTTGAAATTTAGATTAATTGATCTCTTCAAAATGATATTCACTTTTATATATTTTGGAAAAAAAATATTTTCTACACCATGGCGGTAATACTTATAAGTACATAAAATTATATCATTGTGATATGGAAGTGTATGATGGTGGTATAAATAGATTTTAGTGTAGAATTGTTGTATATGTGATACTATAAATATATTAATCAGCATTTATCACCTTTCACTATCATCTTCCATCACTTACCACCTTATAAAGGGTGGTATATAACTATATATTTGGTCCTATAAAGTTTTTTTCATAATTTTGTAGATCACAATAGATCATGATGAACTCGTTCCTTCTGTGAAAACTTTTTCAAGATTTAAATCAAAATGAAGGTGGTGGTAAATGTTGTGAAAAAGTCTAAAAAATATATCTTAAAAATATAATTTTGTAGGTCACAATGAACCCGTCTTATATGTATAAAAAAACTTACAATCCCAGTTAAAAACAAAGAAGATACAAATCGATTAAAAAAAGTAAAATAAAGAATTTGAACTTAATTCAACATCAAACTCATTTATTAAAATAATGTAAACCATAAGAGAGTACACAATTTTGAAGATAAGAGGAATGAGCAAATATGGGACAATGTTCAAGACTTGGACGACGTAAATTTTACATGCGTGGAAATGATATTTCATATTTAGCAATATTTTATCATTAAATTTTTGCATGAGTATTTTTATACTTTCTTCTATATATATTCTTTTCTTATGTTTCTAATAATTGAATAATTTTTTGATTATTTTTTAATACCACTAGTTACCACCTATACCGATGTGATATATTTAGTACCTACATTTAATCTTTTTGCATATAACTCCAAAATTTATGGATAAAAATACATTTTAGTATCTAAAATTTTGTCTCTTATAATTTCATACCCGTACTTTTAAATTTTTACAAATAGGTCTAGTTTTGTATGTGTAGTAAAAACAAACTCAAGTAAAGGCGTCAATACCTAACTTATGCCAATTTAGAGAGTTTGGAAGCAATACTCATATCATACCCAAACATATTTACAAAACCCAAACTTATATAAACTTGACCCATACCCTACCTGTCACACCCCTACCCTTGGGTCATGTGGTCCTAGCTCTAAACTCCATTAGATGCTAGGCAGCCTTCTCTTAAACTCATTGATTTTGTTGTAGTATAACTCACAAAGAAGACAAAGAAAGCGGGATAACTATCTAGGTGTATTAGTTTAAAAAAATGATGAAATGAGTTACAAGTGAAGGAGCTTGCTCCTTCTACAGGCCCTCCTCATACAAGGCATCAATGCTCCCTCATAATGGTCTCTCCCCATTACTAGACCTATTAAGTCCCCTCATAATGCACTCTCATATTGTCACCCATAATGTGGCTCATAAGTGCACCATAAAGCTCATAAAGGTGGAGAATCATATAAGCAATGCAGTCAAAAACATGATTTTACCTAGAAGCAAAAAATGGGATAAAATCATAAAGCGTAGAATCAAAGCGCAAAAGTGTAAGTTTTTTACGCACACTATAAAATAGCTAAAAATATGTTAAGTATGACATATACTATGTAAAATATGAGTGAACAGAATTTAGATAAGTTAATAAATACATGCAATTCATGTCTAGAGTAGAGCAACTCATAGCATCTTAACAATAAGTTCGTAAACATAGATCTTAACAATAAGTCACCTTCCTCTCTATGCTAATCAATTTGGTAAGGGCCTGGCTGGAGAATTAGATTACTCTATTAAAAGTGAGAATGCATCCAAGTACCTGGTATGTATCTTTGAATCTCAAATGTATCATATTGTTGGTGCAATGAATACCTATTTTGTGAACGAGAAGCGTAAAGCATTTTGGTGAACAATAAGCATAAAGCGTAAGTTTTTAAGCTTTAAACCGCAATTTAGTCCAATTTTATACACTAAAGGTTTTATATGGAAACAAAAGTGTTTTGGTAACCTAGAAGTGTAAAATTGTAAGCTTTTAAGTTTTAAAGTGCGATTTTGACTGCATAGTAGAGCGCAATGTTGTCAACATGTTGGCGCCATGTCATCATGCTCATGTGTCTTAGTGACGAGTGTTGGTGGGACTACATCCGCTGCTCATCGTCCATGTCCTCTTTGAAAGCCTTGAGTTGGCTCACATGAAAGGCATGTTCGATCTCCAAATGCGGCGGCACGTCCACCTTGTACGCCACCTAGCCAACCCTCTTCGGAATTGAGAATGGCCCTTCTAGCAGCGAAGCAGCCCCTTGTGCACGGTTTTTAGATGATTGAAGCGATGGGGGTAGAACTTCACCATCACCGTGTCTCCCTCTTCGAACCCCAAGTGTCGCATCCTCTTGTCAGTCCACTTCCTCATCTTCTTACTAACTCAGGATAATTAAGCCTTGGCCATCTCCATCTTCTCGTGTCAACCTTTGGAAAATTTGCAAGTTGTTGGACTCTTCCCTCTATATCGTGTTGGGACCGTGGTAGGCATAAACGGATGTTGCCCCTTCGCCAACTCGAATGGGCTTGTGTTGGTTGAATCACCACTGTGAAAATTGTAGGAAAACTAAGCAGTATCCATCAACTTCATCCAATCTCACTGGTTAGCACTCACATAATTTCTCAAGTATAGCATTCACCCGCTTTGTTTTCCCCCATCACTCTGCGGAGGAAAGCTAGTTGAGTGGATCAAGTAAGAACCCATGATCTTGAACAAATCCCTCCAAAACCGGCCCACAAAGCGCCCGTCTCTGTCACTCACGATGTTGTTTGGTAAGCCCCAATACCTCACCACGTTCTTGAAAAATAGGCGAATAACATCTTTAGCCATCATATCCTTTGGCCAAGGGACTCCATACTTCGAAATCATCCATGACAACACAATGCAACCACATCCATCGACTTTGGGAAGTCCGACGATGAAGTTCATACTTACACTATCCCACGGTCATTGAGGTGTGGGAAAAGGCTCTAGCAAGCCTGACGGATTTCTCTACTCCAAATTTTCTTATTGGCACAAAAGACAAGTTTTCACATACATCTCCACGTCGTCTCTCATCCTTGGCCAATAGTATGCTTCTTCAATGACGGCTTTTGTTCTCTCGATGCTAGGATGACCAACCCACTTGGAATCATGGCACTCCTTATTGATCTCCTTCCTCAAGTTAGCCCACCGTGGCATGAACACACGCATTTCCTTGGAAATGATGAGCCCATCCTTCATCCAAGATCGTCGTTTCTTCCCTTTCTCAATGTACTCTCCCACGATTTTGGCGATGGGGTCATGGCCAAGGCCTTCAACGATCTGCTCCTTGAAAAGAAACACGGGTTGTCTGATGCTTGCGCTTGCACTCTTCCGACTAAGAGTATCTACAACAGAGTAGTGACCGCATGTGAACAAGCAATGCACCATGAATGTCATCTCCTTCGGTTGGACCGTGTATCGCCTCTCTGTCTCTTTGACCTTCCGAATCTCAAAGGTAATGGGATGCCCATCCGACATTAAAACACCACCAATATCAAAGTCGGATGCATCGGTATGCAGCTTGTAGGTCAACGTCAGATTAGGGAGCACGAGCACGAGGCTCCTTCGTCACTGCTTCCTTCAAGGCCTCGAATGCTTCTTGGCACAGATCCGACCACTCCAATGCCTTGTTCTCTTTCAAGAGGTTAGTCAAGGGTGTTGCAATGTTGGAGTAGTCTTTGATGAACCTCCGATAATAGTTGGCATGACTGAGGAATGACCAAAACTCTAGAACCTTCATTGGTGGCTCCTACTCTTGGATTGCCTCCATCTTCGCCTCATCCATCTTCAACTTGCCTCCACCTATGATGTGCCCCAAGAATGGAACCTCTTTGGCGGCAAAGGTGCACTTATCCCTCTTGAAATACAACTCATTGTCGCGAAGGAATTAGAACACTTGGCGTATGTGCTTGGCATGCTCATCTAGTGTCTTAGACTACACTACGATGTCATGCAAGTACACCATGATAAATTGATCCAAGAATGGCTCGAACACTTGATGCATCAAAGTGCAAAACATGACTGGTGCGTTGGTTAAACCAAATGGAATCACAAGAAACTCATAAGAGTCATACATCGTCACACAAGTCGTCTTTGGCTCGTTTCCCTCTACTATCCTCACTTGATAGTAGCCCGAGAGAAGATCAAGGTAAGTGAACCATTTCACATCTCCAAGTCGGTCGAACATGTACGTAATGTTGGGAATGGGCCACTTATTCTTCACTGCCAGCTTCTTGATGTCTCTATAGTTGATGCACATGTGCAACGACCCTTATTTTCTTCTTCTGAAACAACAATGGTGCTCCATAAGGTGACTTCGATGGTCGCATGTAGCCTGCATCCAACAAATCTTTGTGTTGCCTCCATACCTCATTCAACTCTGGTGGGGCCATGCAGTATGGTGCTCACAGAGGGGGGGGGGGGGGGCTTGGCTCGGGCTCCAACTCTATCTTGTGGTCCACCTTTCTTCTTGGGCAACTCTTTGGGCATCACATCATCGAACTCTTCGAGAACATCTTTGATGCTAGGGGTTTTGGTTCCCATTGAGCCTCCTTCTTTCTCCATCTTCAAAGCCACAAGAAAGGTTGGCTCCTTCCTTTTAAACCCCTTCAAAACTTGCATGATAGACAAGACGTTATGGGGTCCATCCTCTCTCAAGAGTTAGACCACATGGAACTTCCCTCCGATCTTGTTAGAAACAAAGAAGTTCCACAAGGGAATTAGGGATTGAGAGATAAGAAATTAGGGATTTGAAAGGGGATTGAGGAAGAACGAGAGAGAGAGAGAGAATTGGGAATTTAGGGATTTAGGTTGAAATATTGATTATTGACTAATATGAAAAATAATGTTCCCTCCTCTTAAATACTAAACTGGAATAATTAAAATAACAAAATTGCCACCCCTCACCCAACCGACTCAACCCGTTGGTTTCTAACATCCTCCCCCTCTTCAAGCCCGACCTTGCCCTCAAGGTCAAAGTTCAGGAACTTCTGCTGCAACTCTCTGGTCTCCTCCCACGTCGCATCCTCAAGCTCAAAGTGCTTCCAAAGCACCAAGCTCTCTTCCACCAGCTATCCCTTCTTCTTCGTCCACCTCGTCCAAAGCATCAACACTGACAGGAGGGGCAGTCGTCTCCACTCTATCTGCTGCTCCATGGTAACGTTTCAACAAGGAAACGTGGAAGGTCGGATGAATATGAGACTCCACCAGATTTATCTTCTGCAGAATCTCATAAGGGCCGAAGTAACGTGCAGCCAACTTCTGGTATGCACGCCGAAAGACTGAGGCATGCCGATAGGGGGTGCAATCTCAGTAGTTCCCAGTCACCCACCTCAAACTCTTCTTCTCTCAGACCGACATCCTCCATCTGCTTCATCCGATTATTGGTCGCCGCAAACGTACTGCGCAGCTGCTCCAGTGCCTCATCTCTCGCCCCCAACCATCTGCCTACCACATCCACCGAGCTGGCGCCAAACCCGTACCGCAGCAGGGACGGCGACGCCCGACCATACAAGGCCTCGAATGACGACATCTGAATAGCTCGATGGTATGTGGTGTTATACCATAACTCCGCCCACGAAATCATGGCCAACCAGCTCTTAGGTTGCTGATGGGCAAAACACCGGAGGTACTACTCCAGATGTTTGTTCACCATCTCCGTCTGTCCATCTGTCTGTGGGTGATAGTCCGAGTTCATGGGCAGCGCCGTCTTTGCCATAGCAAAGACTTATTTCCAGAAGTGGCTCAAGAAGACTGGATCTCGATCACTCACAATGGATCGAGGGAACCCGTGATGTCGTACCACCCCCGTCACGAACTGCTCAGCCACGGTCTTTGTCGTGTACGGATGGGCCAAGGGCATGAAGTGAGCATACTTCGTCAGACGATCTACCACCACAAACAACACAGTCTTGCCGCCCAAGGGAGGAAGTCCCACTATAAAATCCATACTAATGTCCTCCCAAACCCGCTCCGGTACCGGTAGGGGCTGCAACAATCCTGCAGGCCGTAGATGGGACAACTTCACCCTCTGCCAGGTGTCACAGAATACCACATAATGCTTTACATCATCTGCCATGCGAGGCCAATAGAAATGAGCCCTGATCCGGCGAAGAGTCCGCTCTACCCCCGAATGACCCCCCAGTGGCGAGTCGTGAAACTCCATCAGCACGGTTGTGACCAGGTTAGACCCCACGGAAGGACCACCCGACCCTTGAAAATCACCAACCCCTGTCTGAACTGGTAGCGGCTTGGATCGTCACTCACTGCAATATCCTAGCAGTTCTGCAGATATGGACTAGCCTCCAAAGTTGTACGAAGCTCATCCCAGAACTCCGGGACTAGTCCGGTCACGTCCGTGAGAACCTCCCCACCCGGCCGCCTGGATAGGCCGTCCGCCACCATGTTGGTGGGTCCCGGTCGGTAGTGGATCTCATAGTCATACCCCAGTAATTTCGAAATCCACTTGTGCTGATCTGGTGTCGACACCCTCTGTTCCAGGAGATGCTTCAGACTCTGATGATCTGTATAGATGTGAAACTTCTGGCCTAGTAGATATGGACTCCAAGTCTGTACTGCTGTGACAATGACATGCATCTCCTTCTGATATGTCGACCATGCCTCTTTCAAGGGCGGTAGAGTCTTGCTCATGAAAGCAATTGTGTGTCGGTCCTGGGACAGAACTGCCCCGATCCCGCGTCCCGAAGCATCCGCCTCAATCACGAACGTCGAGAAATCCGGCATGGCCATGGTGGGGGTCGTGGACATTGCCTGCTTTAGCTTCTGGAATGCTTCTTCCGCCTGCGGTGACCACCCAAACCCTCCTTTCTTCAGCAGTTCCGTCAGGGGTCTCGCTATCATACTGTACCCCTGAACAAACTTCCGGTAATATCCCATCAATCCCAGGAAACCACGTAGCTCGGTCACATTGGTGGGTACATGCCAGTCCACCATGGCTTGAATCTTAGTCTGGTCCACCTGTACCCCTTGCGACGTCACCACATGGCCCAGATAATCCACCTTCTGTACTCCAAACGAACACTTGGAGGCCTTGACATAATACTGATGTTTCCGCAGAATCTCGAACACCACCTGCAAATGTCTAAAATGGTCGTCCCAAGCCGACCTATACACCATTATATCATCAAAAAATACCAAGACATACCGTCTCAAGAGTGGCCGAAAAATGTCATTCATGGCTGCCTGGAAGGTAGAGGGGGCATTGCACAGCCGAATGGCACGACCAAGTACTCATAATGGCCATTGTGGGTGCGGAATGCTGTTTTAGGCACATCCTCCTCCTGCATCCTGATCTGATGGTATTCGGCTCTCAAGTCATGCTTGGTGAAGTAGCTCGACCCATATAGTTCATCGAGCATATCATCCACTATTGGTATCGGAAATCGATCCTTCACCGTAGCTTTGTTGAGGGCTCGGTAGTCTGTGTAGAACCTCCAAGTCCCGTCCTTCTTCTTAACCAGCAGTACTGGAGAAGAGACGGGACTGGTACTGGGTTGAATTAGTCCGGTGGCGAACATCTCCTCTATCTGCTTCTCGATCTCCCCCTTCTGCGAGTGCCCATACCGATAAGGCCTCACATTCACCGCTTCCACTCCTTCTTTAAAGCAAATCTGATGATCTACCTGCCGGTGGGGTGGGAGCATGGTTGGCGCCTGGAATAGCTCGGGATACCGATCCAACAGCTCCTGTATTTCCCCATCAATTTTCGATTTTCCCGCCAGCTCGGTGTCCCCACCTCTCGCGCACTCCTGCATCTCGACGGGCCCCATGGCCGTGGTCAGCCCTCTCAACCTCCATTCCTTGTCCCTCCACTTGAAATACATCGTCGGACTCTTCCAATCACAGGTTATCGGTCCCAAACTCCACAGCCAAGGTATTCCGAGAATGATATCGAACCCGTGCAGGGGCAGTACATAAAGGTCAATGGTGACCTCGAGGCCTTGAATCTCCAAGAGTCAGATCTGGGTACACCTCTACACACTGCATCGGTGCGCCATTAGCCACTCTGACTACCATCGGTTGCGTAGGGCTCGCTATCACCTACAGGGTTTTCGCAAAGTCTACCCCAACAAATTTCAGTGACGCCCCACTGTCGACAAGGACGAGGCCTTGCTACTCGGCCACCTTTGCTCGAAACTGCAGGTTTCAGGTGACGAGATCCCCGCTACGTAGTGCAAGGAGATTGTCGCCGCCTCTACACCCTCCGCGCACTCCCGATCCGTCCCCCGCTCTGCCGTCCGCTGCCTTGCACGCCGCAGGGCGGCCTCCGTCTCGCCTTGGCCAGCCACGTCGAGCGGCGCCAGCTCCGCCACTACTGCGTCGTCGTTCTCCTTCCCCGCCGTGGCGCCCGCTCCTTCCAATAGCCCACGATTTGCCACGTCTTTTCTTTCTCCTGAGCCCACTGATAGAGTCGTATTTGCACATGTTTTCACTCTTGTTTCCTGACCATTTTAGCTCGAATATGTTGTTCCTTGGCCTATTTTACGCTAGGTTGTGTTGTTTTGTCGTATTTCAGGTCCTAGCAAGTAAAGAGGTGCATAGGCGGAAATTTCGGGTCATTTGGAGGTCAGGAGGCGATTCAAGAAGCAAACTACGGGCAGCCCCTGCCCATTTACGTGCGTAATT